TCACCTTATATTTTTATATTGTCATGTAGATCTTCATGATCATGCCTACTAGGCATGAAGATCGTGCTGGTTCATCTGGCATGACGAACTCCCAGACCGCGTCAGAATATGCTCCTGATGGGGCTACTTATCTTACGGCAGTGTATGAATGTAGGCCGGCTGCACTAGTAGCTAAAAATGGCTACACTGCGAGCCCAAGCTTGCCACGTGCATGCACTTGATGCGCAGTCTCAGTCTGTTTATGTCCTGAGCAACAGCCGAAAACTAACCTTGGTGACACTCCCAGCTTCCCTTGACTCTGGGATGGGGACGTTTTTACTCACGACAGTGAGCACTGTGGCACTAGTCCAGCCGTCTCCAGGAGCTGCCTCGACAGCCGTACCGGGCACCACGCAATCTGAGGCTATGCAGTGCAGGCATTTCTGGGTCTGGGAATAAGTTGCAACTTGTGGCGCTTCTATCGCTTTCCTGTAATGCATAATCTTATCAATATCAATAGCTCAGTGCAAAAGCGCAGCTTCCTGTTCATGCGAATAAAAGGCAGGAGTTTGTCCTGCCCGCTAGAAACGCGACGATAGGTTTGCAAATACTTGTCATGTTGCTTGGCTGCACAAGCACATCGAAAAGCTGCAATCTCTTCCAATACAGCCTCACAAGGTTCCAGACCCAAACGCATTTGTAGTTGATTGCGGCTGAGGCGCGTCAGAAGCGCATTGAAGCACTACTCCAATCACGGGGAGTGCCGCTCGTCGGCCCTGTGCGCTACCAACGCCCGGAAAACTGATAAAAGTGATGTTTAGCACCGGACTGCACTACTACTTGCTGTATTGTGGCCAAGCAGATGGTTCTACTTTGGCTGTAGCAAAGTCTACGCCGAAAACGAGAGCTATGCTCGATGACACAAGTACCTGTTTAATGTTTGAATTATATATTATCAGAACCTACGCGTACCCACTAACCATGGGAACAAAGAGTAGACAAACCACAAATCTGTCGATGTTTACAATCAGTCAATTTCTATCTCAACCTAGTACAACAGCCGAAGAAGTAGGTTCTACTCTATGGAAAATATCGTTTGGGAAATAGATTACAAGCTTCGTCGTGTTTCTTTGGCATTCGTGACCGTTGCGGTGGTGTTAAGTAGTGAAGCTGGTTTAGACCTCCAACCAATATGATTGAAAGAACCTGCGCACTCCGCGACAGGAAACTTGTGTGCCTGCGGTCAATGGTTTCGGCGCACCGAGCACAACGTGTTAGTATTGGTTTTTCTCGATAAACCTAAGTGTTGGCCTAAGTGAGTCCTAAGTAAAACCGAAGTAATCCCTAAGTCTTTTCCCGGACTCGTGGCCGACGCAGAACCGCGGGAAAGTGGACCGGAAGAGGGTTCCAGCGGAAAGGAAAATCCCGCGGAAGCAAAACAAGTTGGGGCGTATCGGCGCGGTGCAGGTACGTTCCGGCGGGCAAGATTAGTGGGACCGGCTTAGAGGGAAAAAATGACCAGCGGCGTCCTGTTTGGCCGCGCAAAGCAGGGAAAAATGCCGCGGGGACATAAAAAGAAAGAGCCAGGGCACGAAAAAACTCGCGAAACTAGCCAAAAACCAAAAGGCGCGCGCAGCGTGGAGGGTGCTCCGCCCGGCTTTGCGGGCGACCGTCGGAGCTTGTGGATGCGCCGCGCGCTGCCCCGCCGGCGCCCCCGGCGCTTTCCGCCTGGAAGCCATTCTGTGGCGCTTTTTTGTGTCGAAAATAGCAAAAAAGGTCGCAAACTAAAGAAAAAAGCTCGCAAACTGAAGAAAAAAGGACGCAAACTGAAGAAAAAAAGTCGCAAACTGAAGAAGAAAAGCCACAAATTGCAGAAAAAATGTCGCAAATTGAAGAAAAAAGGTCGCAAACTGAAGAAAAAAAGGCGGTAGCGGATGGGCGCAAGGTGCGGGGGCGCTTGCCGGGCGGCCTCGACAAGAGCCCGCGGACGCCGGGAGCCGTTTGACCCGCGGACGCCGGGAGCCCGCGGACGCCGGGAGCCGTTCGACAAGAGCCCGCGGACGCCCGGCGCGGCGGGCGTCGCGGGAGGGGCGGGCAGCCGTTTGACCGTCCGGGGCCCCGGTGGGCTAGGTTTTGCATGTGGCCAGTTGCTTTGTTTTCTTTTTTTTGTTTTGCGATTTTTTTTCGCGTTTTGTCGCTTTTTTTGCCGTGTTTGGCATATTTTCTTCGTGTTTTTCCGGTTTTCATTCGAGCTGGCCTCCCCCTCAGCCAATGTATGTATGGCAGGCGAACTTGTTCTCCAACAATTGGCGGGAGAAAACTCGACCGGGAACCGGGAGAACACAAAAAAAAAAAGCAGCAAAACGCGAAAAAAAGCGGCAAAACGCAAAAAAAGGCAAATGCCCAGGGCCGGGCTTTCTCTCAGCACGCAGTTGCGACGGGGCCGCTTCTGTTTTTCTTCCGCGAACGGGCCCTGGAGCCTTTCCAACTTTCCCAAGCAAGAGGAAAAGTCGCAAAAGCTTCAGCTTCCGTTCGTGGGGGAAAGAACAAAATGGCTGCGGCCGTAGTGCCAACTTGTAAGCGCTGGGTGCCACACGACGGCACTACGTGGGCAGCCATTTTGTTCTTTCTCCCGCAAGGAGGGGCTGGGGCTTTTGCAAATTTTCCAAAAGCAAGAGTAGCAAACGGCCCCGCTCTTCTCTAGTGCAAACGCCGCGCAAAGAATCGCATCGATCGCGCGGCGTCTCTTTTCGTTCTTTGCCCCGCTATGTCGCTATGTCGCTAAATCATCGAACTCAACATATTATGTTTTACAAAGTAGTGAGGCCGTCGCGCCGAAAAAAGAATTCAGTAAAACTCTCTAGACAATTTAAGCGAAAAGAGAGGGCAGGAGAGGCTCATCCTAATATACGTCGCGCCGTGCGCAGCACGTTGTGCTCGGTGCGCCGAAACCATTGACCGCGAGAATGACAGCTGCCTCCCCATTGCCAGCGACCGGACCCCGGGGGCCCGGCGCAAAAACGGCAAACGCCCAAAATCGGGCGTGCCTGCGAAAGTGTATGCTTACGAAACGCCGCGGCAATTTGGAGTAAGCATTGACTGCACGAGGGCCCGCGCGGCCCCGTGGTTTCATGCGGGAAAAGGGGCACCGGCACCGCGGGACCGGCCGCTTGGTTGGGGCGGTCCGCGGAAGAGTTGTGTTTCCACCCTACACCACAACGCTTCCCGGAATCCGGTCGCGTTTGAGGGTAAAAAGGTAAAAAGAAGCTGCACAACGGCCAAGGATCTGGCAGAAAAAAGACAACCCACTGGTCGTGCGTAACCTAATGCAGCATGGTATGGCTGCGAGGGAAATTCGCACGCAGCGATACCATGCAGCATAACCTCACGCCCGATGTTATCGGGAGTGCGGATATTGCTGCTTGGGGATAGCATCGCGCAAAAGGTTACGCCCGACGGTGTGCAGCGGCTGCGGCAGCCGCTTGTGGCGAAAGAGGGGATTTGTAATGCGGAGAAGAGCCCGGGTTGCGGAGAACCCGAGGCTCCGCGCTTTCCCCTTTCCCCATTTTACCCACAACCCGAGCCCCGAGCTCTGGGGAGCCCCGCACTCCGCATTTGTAATGCGGAGAGCCCGACCTTTCCGCCCATTGCATTTGTAATGCGGAGAGCCCGGCCTTTGAAAGGTCGGGCTCTCCGCATTACAAATGCAATGGCTATGGGCACCTTTCCGCACTTGCAATGCGGAAAGTTCACCTTTCCGCATTTGTAATGCGGAGAACAAAATTGGAAAACCAGCCGGATGCAGATGCAGCTTTTCTCCCCGCAGGAGAAAAGCCGCATCACAAATTCGCAAACTCCGCTTCCTCCGGTTGGAGAAAGTGAAAGACCGCACCTCCGGTTCTCCGCATTACAAATGCGGAAAGGTGAACTTTCCGCATTGCAAGTGCGGAAAGGTGCCCATAGCCATTGCATTTGTAATGCGGAGAGCCCGACCTTTCAAAGGCCGGGCTCTCCGCATTACAAATGCAATGGGCGGAAAGGTCGGGCTCTCCGCATTACAAATGCGGAGTGCGGGGCTCCCCAGAGCTCGGGGCTCGGGTTGTGGGTAAAATGGGGAAAGGGGAAAGCGCGGAGCCTCGGGTTCTCCGCAACCCGGGCTCTTCTCCGCATTACAAATCCCCTCTTTCGCCACAAGCGGCTGCCGCAGCCGCTGCACACCGTCGGGCGTAACCTTTTGCGCGATGCTATCCCCAAGCAGCAATATCCGCACTCCCGATAACATCGGGCGTGAGGTTATGCTGCATGGTATCGCTGCGTGCGAATTTCCCTCGCAGCCATACCATGCTGCATTAGGTTACGCACGACCAGTGGGTTGTCTTTTTTCTGCCAGATCCTTGGCCGTTGTGCAGCTTCTTTTTACCTTTTTACCCTCAAACGCGACCGGATTCCGGGAAGCGTTGTGGTGTAGGGTGGAAACACAACTCTTCCGCGGACCGCCCCAACCAAGCGGCCGGTCCCGCGGTGCCGGTGCCCCTTTTCCCGCATGAAACCACGGGGCCGCGCGGGCCCTCGTGCAGTCAATGCTTACTCCAAATTGCCGCGGCGTTTCGTAAGCATACACTTTCGCAGGCACGCCCGATTTTGGGCGTTTGCCGTTTTTGCGCCGGGCCCCCGGGGTCCGGTCGCTGGCAATGGGGAGGCAGCTGTCATTCTCGCGGTCAATGGTTTCGGCGCACCGAGCACAACGTGCTGCGCACGGCGCGACGTATATTAGGATGAGCCTCTCCTGCCCTCTCTTTTCGCTTAAATTGTCTAGAGAGTTTTACTGAATTCTTTTTTCGGCGCGACGGCCTCACTACTTTTGTAAAACATAATATGTTGAGTTCGATGATTTTTTAGTTTATTGAAGTCCTGGTGACTTATCCTTTTTCTATCACTATTTCATTTTCAACGACCATCTATTTCGTGTCTATGCGGGCTTTCAGTCTCAGGACAGTCTGCTACAGGCACCTCGGGGCACTATGGCACGCTCATTCCAAAGAGGAGCGGAGTCACTTTGTCGCCGTGTGTCGGTTTTATTTCAGATTGATTCGGTGTTGGTTGTAATGAGGGCCAGGATATCACTTGCACCTGACTTCGTACTTCTTTACCCTTTCGCGGCCAAAGCGTCTGGGAATCGCTACCGCTACTTGAATAGCAAGGAAACAGCAACTGACGATGCATTGATTTCGTACTTCGCCCTCGATGATTTTTTTGGTTTTATTTGTTTTACGAGTTGTACTGCAGATGAAAGCGATCATTTCATTCTCTCCATGTCCATCGACCCCCCCCCGAATATCGTGCGTATGATGCGGAGCTACAGGAGAAAATTATTTCCTGGGGGGTTGAGTACTTGAAACATAGTACATTGTGTCGATCATCCAGCATTTGGCGGGTCCTCACAAGGGCCGCTTCACGGGTTGTTCCACCTTGATGCAAATTTTCCATTGAGAATTCAAATCAGCTCATCTTCAGAGCTCGTGGTCAAAAAGAAAGCATTTGCCAAGGTAGGAGACACGAGCGGCTCGGGAAATAGTACGAGTGAACCGCAGAGAGCACCAGTCCCTGCGACTTCTACGTGACACAGCGAGCACACTATCAATCGTCAAATGCTGGAGCGTAGCAGTGCCTACTAGTGTAAAAATAAATATAAAGAACTCTCCTATAAACAAGGAAAAGAAAGACATTTCTTCATCTGTTTCTTTCACTCCATCGAGGCCAAATAGAGTATGACAGTGGATAAGGGATTTGCTCTGGATCAGGGTGGTGCTGCGCGGCAGCAAGTGCTCTCCGGGACGAGTGGATCTGAAATACTTGTGGCGAAGAGCAAGAGCAATCGTCAGGCCGAGGATACGGATTCCCGTTCTTTCATCAGCAGCAGCAGCGGGACGCGCGAAGCAACAAGTACTATACGGCGTCAGAGCAAGAACCTGGAGACACACATCGAAATAAATGGAAAAGACATGCCAGAAAAAACACCAAAACAGGACGAGGATGATGAGGAAGAAGTTTTCATGCCGTGGGCCAATCCAGAGCAGCTGGAGAGAAACTTTGAGGATCAGTTTACCAATGTCCGACCCGGAGAGGATGTATCCATCACGATCATACGCGAGGGAGACGTGGAAACGACGTACGTCTGGTCTCTTGATTTTTCAAATTTTCCTGCGCTTCGCACGAGAGAGTGCCCTTTTGTTCTTCAGTTTTGAAGAAATAGGAAGTACTTATATCAATATCTTTTCTTCTGTGATGACACGAACACCTTCGCGGTTCTTTCCGACATATGTCCATGTGCCTAAAAGCTCTCTTTCATACATTATTAGTACGTAGCCTGTTGTTCTTCCCACCGACCAACTTACGTGAACGGCAGGTACCAAGTCCTCGTACCTCCCTGCGTGAGCGTGCGGGAGTTGAAGCTCGCGGTTACTGCTGAAACGGGTGGTGTAGTTCCTTTCGAGTCACAGGACTTTTTTCGCACGCAAGGGCAAGCGCACCCGCTACCAGACGAAGAAGTGTTACGCTTCTCCGAAAACGACTTGTTGGTGCTTCGAACACGAATCATCGACGCCTCCGAACTCGCTACAATCGCGAAAAAGAAAAAGACCGCAAAGTGCTCCATCATGTGATCATACTGGCTTCTGCAGCATCCTGCAACCATCTCAACAAATTTTCATGGCGGCCATCCATCTTCATAATTTTGTTTGTGCGGCTCGCGGTTTTCGTTTTTGTTTCAACGTCGAACATGGACTACACTGTATGCAAATCATATGAAGTCGGCTTCTCGTTGTACTAACTTTACAGAGTAGAAACAAGATTTGAAATAAAGAAGAAACCGCACTGCGCTTCCAGCTTTGTGATTGAGCCGCGGAACAAAGCAGCCTAATTTTGCTAAACACTGATGAGTTCGTGTTCTTCAAGAGCCTCTATATGAATGACCTTGCGCCAGCAGCCACACGACTGCAAGAAATATGCCCGTAGTAAACAAGCACTAGCACTTCTACTTCCCTGCAATATTATTTCGGAAAAAAGAGGGAAGCTCTGTCTCTGCTGCATGTGTTATTTCGGTTGCGCATAATTCTTGTCATTCTGATGTTTCACACCTTGCCCATTGTACCTCAAGAAGTCGAGTCAATTTCTCATTTTAACAAAACCCGTAGTACGAATCGAGCTACGTTCATGTCTCTGCAGCAAGTACTTATCGTATCGGTGATGAACATGGCGTCCACCTGGAACCCCTCACACTCGTTGTAGATGAGCTTTTCCCGCCGAAAAAAAACATCAGCACCACAGCACCCCAACCAAGACAAGTTATTTTCAACCTTTCCTCGTGTGCCCGAACAAGTTTTTCTATATTGAACGAACGGCGCAAGCTGAAAAAAATGCTAGACATTGGTTGTAAGACAACTGCTGCTACCCTGTTTATCTTCTGAAACTGTTGATACGTTGTAAACTGCATATCATGTTTCTGCGTCCCCCTCCATATTACGCTTGGAGCCTGTATTTGCTACCTCGTCACCTTAGTCATACACTGTAGAAGAAGCGACTTTCATCTTTCATCACGAAATCAGTCGTAGATGCCCTAGAAAGTTCAGTCGGTGTTGCAGTCGAAAATGCCCCAGAGTCTCCCCTGATAATGTGGTGCTGAGTCCTCTACAACTTAGCGTCGAATTTATTATTCCGACGAACTCCTGCAGCCCCCAGCAGAGCAACGTGCAGTAGCATAGGGACCACTATTGCATAGCTGCGGCCGCCACGGAAAGCGAAAGACCAAGCGGAGTTACTTATACGTATTTTTACCAGTGGTGAGAATAAATAATACCAATATCCTCCCGGCGGCGCGGCTCTGCATTGATTCCTGATGCAGACCACAATCGAGCCCATCCAGGGGATCCACCGGGCCGCTCAACATCAGGAGTCGGATACAGACTCCTGCGAGAACGATGTGTCGCCACACTGGAAAAGCCGCAACAACGCCGGGTACAATCCCAATGACCTCCTACGGAACAGCTACAACAGAAATAATGTCGGGTTCGGCGCAGAGGTACTTCTACTTGCTTATGTCCTTAGAGGAACGAGTTTGATATTGACAGACTGCAAAGATGAAAGTATCAAAGCACCACAACTCTCGTGGGACGAGATAGTTGTGATGTGCTGCGCAAAAACAAAACTTTCTGCCTTGGTGGAGGTTTGAATGAGCAGGGTCGTTGCATCAGTCTGCGTGTTTATATACACAATTGAAAATACTAGAGCATGATGAATATTTTTTAGTCTGATCAGGGTGCTAGTACGACGCGCAACTACAGGACTCTCCGAAAGCTGACCCGGTGTTTCAGCGGCCCAAGGACAACGGGGCAGAGCCGCGCTTCGTGAAGCGGTCCTTCAAAGCCCCAGCTGGGGATATCGCACGAAAAAACTGTTTCAGTGTGAACTTGTGATGAAGAGAATGCCACACACACATGTTTGTCTTCGCTAGAAATGCAAGACCATAGATTTTGATTTTATGGAGGTTTCTCTCGGAAAGCGCGCATGGCAAACTTTCTGTGACAGACTTCCAGCAAAATTATCATGATGAAATAGTTTTTCTTTTTTTCGTGGGATAGGGGACACGTCGGAGGCGCCAAGGACAAGTTTAAATCAGGATGCACTGCAGCCAGGAGCAAGCATACCTCCAAAGCCAACCATGCCCGGGAAACGAAATATCCGCTCCCTACGTGCAGACGCGGAGCGGCGTGCGTCGGGCATGTTGGACAACAGTGGCATGATACAGGCAAACCCCGTGGCGCTGGGAAGTCTACCACCCTCTATAGGCAGTGAGCAGCACCACGGGGCGGTAATGGGGCACGATTCGCAAATCGCCCACTCAAGAGTACGCAGGTACGACCTTTTATGCTTCTTGCCAGGAGTGATTGCAAATACGTGTAGCTATAACAGTTTGCATTTTCTACGTATAAATACGTGACTTCTGTTACTGTTTATGTTTTGACAAGAGCCTGCATGTGGCCGCTCGTGCTTTTTTATTCACCAGATGTATCGTTGTAATTCAGCTCGGCAGCTACCTGACAAACACAAATGATGAAAAACATAATGACTACAGTTTGTACGAAGAGGAGCCCCCCGCCCACACAATGGACCAGCTGCAGCCGTCGGGGCCATCAGATCAAGTAATACCCGTCGTGGTAGCGAACAATCCACAGCACCAGCAGATGAGCAACGTGCATTCAGGTTCTTGGAACCCGCCGTCCCCTTCCCCACCGGCCCGACCAAACTTCGGTGGTCCGGTGCCGATGTCAAGCTATGGCAGCACTCAACCGCAGCAGCAGGGCGGATATCCCTGGCAAATTGGTGCGCTGGCTCTGGAAATAAACAAGTGCACCAAACTTGTGACGCGGCGTCCTGCCGCTCAAACTAAATTGCAATGAAGATCAATCTGCTTTGCAGCATGAATATATACAAGATGTTGCCCACTACTTTCGGCCATGCTGAGAAGGACTTTTCATGCAAAAGATGCACGACAGTCAAGGCCTTGCAGAACGTGTTAGGCCGCTAAGCCCTGCGGCGCTCCAGCAGATTTTGAGAGGCCTGAAAAAGCTGCATGACAACACCATTCCAGACCCAGAGGCATTTTCGCATTTGATACTGGCTTGGGTTCCACGATTGTGGAAGCGGACATGCGCGTGGTTTCAGAGAGCAGCTCAGAGGAAGACGAAGAGGAGCGGCGGCAGATGGAGCAACACATGCAAAACAGCCCCATCATGCAGGGCCAGCAGGTCAATTTGCAAATGGGCACGAACGGGCAGCTGATGGGGCTTGAGCCGCGCGTGGAGCCCATCGCGGAAGACGGCTCGGTGATCCAAATGGAGCATCAAAGCCCCCAAGAGGTGGTCGTGATCAATCAGGATAACCAGGAAATCAACAGTGCCGAGTATGTGATGCGCACTTCGCAGCCGGCGCCAAACCAGGTAGTGTTTCGAAACGGAAAAAAAGTACCGTCTTTGCACGCCGCCCGGCCCCTCCACTTACCTCCGGAGAGGTTCGGCACCAGCGTGCAGCTTAGAAAAGATTTCGTCACCCAACCTCTACCCTTCGCGGATCGAAGTCACACATTACAGGTAATTTGCTCGTAGTGAGCTTTTTATTTGTGGTTGACGTCAATAATTCAAAAACTCATCAAATGTCTACATCCGTAGTGCTGTCTGCCGGTAAAAAATTCCAAGACCTCTAAAAGATCCTCAGAATGTTCCTTCTCCTCGATCATTCGATGATGACGGAGGAGGAAAAGAGTGGAATTCTTTGCGTTCATGTTTCATCTTTACCATCCGGTGCAATGCGAACAGGCGCGCGTTGTCCGAGTACGCGAGGGATTGAGCGGTAAGCTATTTCCCACTTACCATCTCTGCATTCGGAATGGTCCCGGGGCCGATGAGACCATCCTTCTGGCCGCCCAGAAGCAAACCGGAAAACGCAGCTTCAGCAGCTACTACCTGATAACTCTGGACCCACGCTGTTTTCAAAAGGGAGCGTCCACCTACGTCGCAAAACTGCGCGCAAACTGGGCAGGAACAGAGTACTTTTCATTGTATGCCTGTTTTACACCTAGTTTCGCAGTTATTTTCCCAGCAAACAGCAACGACAACAGCGTCTTTCGACGCTCTCAGACTTTGGTACAGCTCGGGACCTCAGCTGCGCACGTAGAACTAGCGCTCGCACGAAAAAACGACGAAGGTACACTTTATTTTCGGATGGCGATAACCCGAAAAAGACAAAGCGGCTCCGCGGGTCAGACAACGCTCTCTTCGACCCGAGCGCCGCGGTTCGAGAAGAAATGCTTGCTATCAAGTTTTCGAAGCCCGGCAACGCACCGAGAAGAATGGTGTGCATAATACCAGGTACAGTAGGCAGCTACATCAAAATGATGTGATCAACGTACCACCTTTTCGAATTTTTTGAATAGGAACAATTTGTCTTGCTCCCTGCTGCTTCGTTTGAAGATGATTTTTGGAGAAGGTGTAGGGCCCAAGCGATTGAACGACCACCATTAAGAACATTGAGTAAATACGACCGTGATCTGCAACTGACTCAGGGACGATGCCGGGCAACCCCTATGAGAGGCAAATTTTCCGTTCGAAGCCGTACACTAGTCTGATCAACTACGCAACGGGCAAGGAGGTAGTGACCGAGGGCGAGGGGATTGATTTTTTGAAGTTTAGCAACAAGATCCCAGTCTGGGACGCACGCAGACAGACTTTCACGATAAATTTCTACGGTCGCGTCCGCTTACCGTCGAGCAAAAACTTCCAATTGGTGGAAAGCGACGGCGAGGATGCACCGCCAGTTGTGCAATTTGGCCGTTGGTTCGAGGACGTCTTCCACCTGGACGGAATGTGGCCGTTTTCTGTGGTAAGTTCTGCTAACTACAGTGTATATCATTGATTTACAGTGTTGTCATCTCTCGTCTATCTTGTTTTTATATGATGCTTCTGTGTGTACTACTAGTTTTTTATTTGAACCTTTGATGATTGTGATTTTCAAATGCTTTCTGCAGTGGTCCGTCGACCATGTCCGTCAAAGTTAAATACTTACAGGGTCGTTTGGAGGGGCAAAAATTTTAGTACGAAAGAAAAATACTTCGTACTTCAGGTACGGCATGGTATGTTAGATGCGAAAATCAAAATCGTAGGTACAAATGTTCGCCTTGGCATTATCTACCTTCGACACGCGGCTCCAGGAAACGTTCAAGATGACGTACTGATGCACCACGCAATCCCAGCGCCCGCAACTAAGGAAGGACTATTTTTCCAGCGCAACGCAGCCTATCATCAATAGACGAAGTAGAAGTTGAAGAAGCACATAGTGACGCACCACACTTCAACGGAGGCATCCTCTTCATCCACAGTTGTTCCAACAGTGAATTCATCCTCTTTATTTTACTTGAATCCAATTGCTTGATGTTTTCCACGCGGAGGTCGTGTCGGAGTTGTCGATTATACTGATACATAGTGCTGCTGAACGATAACGACTACAACAGCGGCATCTTCGGCATCGGTCCTTTTGCTTCAAAAACAATAGTAAAACGCTCACTGAAATAAAATTGAAATTGAGTAGGCCCTACAACAACGACCAGGAGAAGGCTGTATTAAGACCAAGAGCAGTGCACGCAGCGCCAACATGCACCAACAAAGGAGATAAAAATTTTATTTGCAGCTTTGGAGCGCTCACGCAGTTTGTACAAAGCAAAGGGTCTTGTGCTTCTCGGACCACGAGAGGGAGGCGCCTCTTTCGAACCCGCACAACATGTAACGCAAAAAGTAAAACCTCTTCAGTCTCCGACTGTACTTCATAATGTTTTCAGATTTGGATAATCAAATGCAGTGTACAGAGATCATGAGCTACCGCATTAGGCCACGCAACCATATACAAAAAGCCTTGAGCGTTTACGAGACGACCATGTACAATGTTGAAATGAAAACCGCGCGAATAGCTTTTGGAAAAAATTGAATTTAGTCAGCATTTCATTGTTTCGCCCGTTCACAAGTTGAGGTCATGACTCTCAAAACTGATCGTGAAAATCGGAGCTATGCAGCTTCTACTTAACTTTTCGGAACAAGAAGAGCAGCCCGCTTTGGAGCTACAACTGAACTGAACCATAGTTGCTGAAGTGACCTGGCTTGAGCAGGATATATTTTTTTATGAACGACTTGGAAGATGAATTTGAAAAGCTTGTGATGGAGAATTCTGTTGTTGATCCGGCCTGACAATAATACACCTCAAGCCCACAACAGTAGATTTCTGTTCCGCCCAGCTTGGCCCGATTGGTTCTTGCTCGTTTCCGTATCAACGTCTTTCGCTAGCCATAACCGTGCCGACGAAGCATTTGTTCGAATATCGCAGGCGTTTGGTGTAGTTTAAATAGAGTGAGGCGGCACTCGCATTTTGGCACTTGTGGTGGTATTTTTTTACCGAGAGTGTTTGTATTATCCTTCGTTTTTCTTTTATTTTCGTCCTCGTTTCGCCAGAGCGAGGGAATGTCGTAGGTCCAATAGCCAGGACTGGGTTATTGCTCCCGACTGACTAACGCTTTGAAGTAATTATTTTTTCTTCATCGTCTTCACTCTTCATCAGATTCATGCAGAAACTGAAACACCGTCGAGCTCGAAGTCACATACTGTTTTGCGCATGTTTAATATAAACTCGTCGTGCTCCTCGTGACTTTCGAATCAATTGCTTCGTAGTTTTCGTCGACTTCGTTGTCGTCGCAGCCAATTATGGTAGTTACGCCACATCGTGGGTTCTCTGAAATACATACACGCCGCTTGTTTTTGGGCCGCCGCTCGTGTGCTCCATGATAGCGGAAACGTTTTATTTTAGAACGGGAGTAAAACTCTTCAATATAATATCTGAAATTCGGGAGGACGATGGGTATTTGTTAGCGCCTTCTTTTCACTTTAGTTTTTGTTGCCGCAGCGACTTTCAGTTTCAGCAACTAAGCTGCGGCAGTAGCGCCATCCCTCAGTGGTAAGTAGTCTCCTCAAAGCAAGAAGGGGCTCATGTTTTTTGGTGGATCGGGGGCGGCGATCAAAAAACGCGAAGAAACAGAATGACGTCATCCCTTCACGTCAGCCAGGGGTTGTTTGACGTCGCTAGTGGGCCGTTGGGTAGCCCGCATCAGCGCGTTGCCTCTCCGTCACCGTCTCAGCGCGCCCGAAGCGTTCCCGCCAGGCAATCCGATGTCGGCTGTCTCTCGATGCTCGAATGGAAGCGGCAGAATGGCGTGCTGGGGCACCAAAAGGTGTTCTCGCTGTCACCATGTAAAGGCCGGAAAAATAAACAAAATCAGCAGCCGGAACCAGCTTCGAATCGCGTGGCCTCGCCGAGCTTTCTGAGCATAAAAAGCCTCCAGGCCGCGTCAACATCCCCAGCAAAGGGCTCCCCTTCGCCGAAGGGCGGCACAAAGGACAAAGGCGGAGAAAATACAAACGCGGAGGATGGATTGTCAGTATTTCTAGAAACTGCTTTTCTTAAAGAACTTTTTTTTCGTCAAACAAGGGACTGGTTACTATCATGGTCGTCATCATCATCTACTTCGATAAAAGAATGTTCATGCTCTTCTTGTTATGTTGTATGTGCTGCTGTCGCCAAAACTACGCATTGGTTTGCCGCATGCGGCCGCAGACGAGTAGAAGTAAAATCGACACTCTTGTTCCAAAATCTACCAACTCCAACGGAACGAATTCCCAGCCAACTCGCGTGAACAGCAGTTCCTCAGCATCCAGTAGCAGTAGTAGCTCCTCGTGCACGGAACAAGGCGCGGACGAAGGAACACCCGCACCCGCCTCGCCCTCCCCCGGAAAGAACAAAAATAAGAAAAATGGGCCGAAGGGCCCACTAGACGCGGTGCGGCGGCACTTCGTTGAGAAGCTATCAGAGTGCACAATTCCCACCCCTTCCCCTCATTTGAAGAGCAGGAGCAGCAAGAGCGCAATCAATTGCAGAAGCATGTCTTCCGGACGGAAAATCTGCACGCCGTTTGCAGCACTTCAGTAGCTGCTTGAGCTTCCGCAAGATGTCGTGCAGACACTCGCCACACGAAACCTGTGGACTATTTGAGCCTTTGCATTACTATTACATGATTATATAATGATAAATGAGGCGAAGGCGTTAGGGGAGTTGTTGTGCACTCCCATAGAAGCTTGGGTGGGTAGAAAATCGCGACCCGAATAGCCCCTTCTGTGATTTTATGCATCGCAAATGTTACGTCAACGTCATGCATCTGGGTGCGCAGAAATCATGCAAATTGCGATTTGTAAGCCACATCACTCTGGAGGGTCGCACACCAATTTGTGTTGCCTGAGCAGCGCAGCAACTTGCACAGTTCTTGCCACGCCATTCGCAGATTTCATCCCAGGCGGGGCTAGCATCAAGAGTCCTGAGCAAAACTTGTCTAAATGCATTTGTGTCCATCCCAGACCGACATCGATCTGCGTGATCCAAAAGATACATAACTATCGGCATGACCCAACGATTTTCAGGGAAGAAGATCGATTCACAGGGCAGACTTTTGCATAATCCCGGAGGATCTCCCAGACAACTCATGTATCGTAGATATTCGCGATGCATAAACCTCCGGTACTCGCTCTCCCGACGGGATCTGGGACTCCGGCCGCAGGCGCTGGCAAACAACAAGATTCCCTACGACATGTGTATCAATTTTTTCGCCTGTTGTGGCGGTTTGACGACAAAAAGCGGGCTGCTGCGGAACCTGGAAAGATACATGCTATGCACTGCAAAGCAAATCGCACTCGTATGACTTGCAGTAATGCTAATGCATGACAAATCTCTTTCGAAACCTGAAACACAATTACAAAGCACGCTTTTGGTCTTGCCGAAATTTGTGATGCTATCAGTACTAGTGCGATACTTTTGCGATGCATACATGCCCAACGTGAACGAAAGGATTAAGGCGGGGATCGCACCCAGTTTCGACCTGTCCGACATGCGTTCGGTGATCCACTTCGTCGACGCGTTTCAGAAGCAGCAGTGTCGGTCGCTCTTGTACCACCACTTCAAAGCGAAGTCCAGCAGCATCATCCCCGAGAGCACACTGCGCCTGGCGTGGAACACCGCGTCGAGTTGCAAGCCGCCGGTCTTGTCGAAAGACCAGTGGAGGCAGCTGACCATCGCCAGTAGCACTGCGCACACTCCGGGGTACAGACACCCTACGGCGGACCTGCAACTTGGTATCGAGCTTACAGAGTCGATAAAGCACTTCGGCTACAACGGACTGGACGGACACGACAACATCTGGATTCTCAAGCCGACAAACGCAAATCGAGGCCGAGGCATTCGGGTTGTCAGGGTACATTTTTTTTTGTAAAGAAAACTCGCGGTCATGGCCACTCATGAGGATACAAAGCAGAAAAAGCAGCCAAGAACTACCGGGCTGAATTAATCCATTTCAACTTATTGCGTTTGTGGTCTGCGCGTCCACTCAGACAGAGACCGAGGAGTACTTATGGTCAGCATGCGCTTGTTGATTAGATGTACACGAGACCGACAGGTGCAACGGATGTGCGCGAATAAGTTATAAATAGTTTTTACCAGGGTGTTGATCATCATCTTCATCATCATTATTATGGACGAGAAAAGCGAGTGCGCAAACGCAAAGCTCCTCGGGGCAAACATGCTTCGGACCTTTAGTTATAACGATTAAAGATTCGAATTTCATCCCGTGATGTACTTTTTATGTTAGTGTTAGGCAAGATATGAAATCCACCAGGATCATAAGCCAAGCAAATTCCCTACGACCTAAATTGAATGTTCATTGAAATCAGGCTCTAAATTTGTCGTTCAAATTTGGATCCGAAGTGAAATCAGCATGTTCATACAAATGAACCAAAAACGAAGTTCATTCAAATCCCACACTGTAAGCTAGTGATGATCAACGATGGTTGATCGGATTTCTCATAAATTTAGGGTGATTAGAATAAATTTGAACTTTCATGTTTTACCCCCCTGACTGAGACGTGAAAATTTGTGTGTTGTCTGGAACGCTAAATTTTTCCCCACAGGCTGTGACGATAGTCACCATAGATTGACTGCGACTAAGAAACACTGAATCCCACCTAGATTCTGCTTGACATCCAAGATGGCCAGTGTTCACACCGCCCGCGTTTCTTCGTCGTTGATTGTCTTCACACCGTAAAAATTCGGTTGACATTCTAACGGCACAGCCTTGAGCGCTGACACCAAGACACGACCAGTGCCAACACGACAACAACTGCCAAGCCTGGTCCCCCCGCAACACGACAACACCTACCAAGCCAGGACCAGAACCAAACCACCAACCACACCAAGACCCGCAGGAAGGTACTAAAAGCACGAAGAAAAATAAAGAAAATTTTGAATTTTTGGTAGTGTTTTTGAATAGAATTTTTGTTTGAATTTGAACCAAAAATTTAGGCAAAATAACCCCCAGCCACCGAGTTCAAATCAACCAACAGTGGTGATTTGCTGCCGTGATATCAATTGCTGATACTCGGTCAGAGGCTGTTTGAAAGTAAGAGAGAATTTGCAATCATACACCTACACAGGTGCAAGAGAGACAAAGCGACCAAAGGCGCGCGCTACGAAGCCCGTAACCTTTGCCGAAGCATCGAGCGAGGAACAAGACAGGTACTAAAATTGTACTTATTTTCGGTCTGTTTTCTAAATCATTGGAAATTTTGAATGCGAACACGCACGGCAAGAACACAAAAAAAAAAAAAAAAATCGCATGCTAATCCTCCCCAACAAAAACTATTACAGTTTTGGGCGGCGGATTTAACGTACCGAGCAGCAGGCCGGTACAAGAGCAAGGACCCGACAGCAGGTCACGAAAAAGGTACTAAATTACATCGGTTTTGAAAATAGAAGTCTAAGCGTAATTCTGATTTTGTCTGTAATTGCATCGCGAATTCAACAAGATGATCGCATATGAGATGCTGAATACCATCTGAATTCGATTGCAAATTTCTTGTACAGGTAGCCGCCTACGCGTGTGCCGAGTACAACAGACGACACAACCGCGACGCGCGTGCTCATCGTGAAAAGATGGGGGCGCTGGGTGATGACCATCGTCCGAGCACTTCCGGCGCCGTCGGAATGCTGTACGACGCGGAACACGAGGGAGAAACTGGAAAGGACTTCCAGACGTTCAAGGGTAGCGTGATCGCTCAGGCGTTCTCGTTGAACATCGGTCCCCAGTTCAAAGATGACTTAGAAGGAAAAGTCTGCATGGACAAGTGGGATGAGGTCGATCAGTTAGCCTGCGACCAGTGGGTTGCTGACGGCAAACACGAAAACGACTTCTGGCCCACCTACACAACCGAAGTGCGCTCAGCTTACGCGAAGTTGTATGGTACAGTATTCAAATCCTTAACCGGAAAGGCCCGATCCAAAGCTCAGGACATTCAGGAAGAGCCCGGGGCTGACGCGTGTGTAGTCTGGTTGATGCTTCAGATCAAGGAAAAGTCTAACCCGCAGACCGCCGGCGCCCGCCGCATGTTGATCAAGGAATATTTCAACAGCAAGCAGGGTGAAGATGAAACCGTGGAAGAACATATTGACAAACTGAAGAACTTCTGGAATTTCAAACTGGGCGCTAAAGTTACGGCTGAAGAGTTACGCTATCACTGTATCTTCGGGAACATGCGCGAGGAATTCGATGAGTGCAACAAGCGTGCCTTGGCTAATGGATTCAGTTTCGAAGAAACAAAGAATCACATGGTCGAGGAAGAACGCGCTCTGTCTAGCAACGGAGAGACCACGAAGCACAGAGCTAATCTGGTCCGCAACAAGAATTCTCGCAACCAGCATGGCCCGCGCCCGGATCACGTTCAGAAGAATCGTGAGAAGCAGATGTTTTCCAATATGTTGAAGAAAGAGATGCCGAGTCTGATCCAGCAAGCCGCTGCGAATCTGATCGCGCAAAATCCGAATTTGACCCAGAATCACACTGCTGGTGGCAATGACGACAGTCATGCGGCCAATTACGCAGGAGATTCCAAGTGGTGTTCGAATTGCAATTCGGAATCACATAACGCCAAGGATTGCTGGTACAAAAATGGCAAATCTTCCAACAAATCTTCCAACAAAAGTTCCGGTAAGGGTAACAACACGAATACTGTTCGCAAGGGCAACGACAAGCCGAAGGGTGGAGGTAAGAAAGGAAAAGGAAAGAAGGGTAGGAAATGCTGAGTCTTAGATGGTGTTTCGAAGAAAAGTAGTTTGTTACACAAACTACAAAAAGTAAGAAAACTATTCTTACGGCTGACGAAAACTCGATGTTATAATACAAATTATTCGCGATGTTTTTCAACTAAATTTTTAACAAAAATACCCCCCCAAAAGAACCCCCCACAAAAAGAACAACCACCTGGTGATGAACCACCAGTGACTACAAGTCATTTTGAAGAAGATGAATGCGCGTTCGACAGCAAGCTTGACATCTTCAATCCAGATCTTTCATCATTAATCGATATGGATGATTTATTCTCGGATCTCGAAAAGAATGAAGATGAAACTTGTACCAATGATGCAGCTGGTCCAACGAGACAGCTGAAAGGAAAACGAAAAAGAGCAGAGCTGGAGCTTGCTGAGCAATTTGCAACCCCAGAGATGGCAAATATGACACAACAAGTCCAGGCTCTTGAGTCGACCGATCGCGAAATCCGTAAGATTTTATTTCCTCGATCTCATGTTTCGGATGCGTCCAAAGCCGAACGAGTTGAAAAATGCAATCTGTCACAAGATGCAGTATTTTCAATCGTAGCAAAAGAAAGCGAGCAAAATCATTCGCCCGAGTACACAGCAAGAAAGCTAGCACACCTCTACAGCGTTCGCGAATCAGCATTGAGGAAGGTGCGCGAGGCGAACGATGCTCATCGGAATAAAAAGGACGAGCAGCACCGAAATCATGAAACAGCTTTTAATTGTGTCGATGATGCAATTTGCGACAGTGGCGCAACAAGTCACATGTCGGGCCGACCAGAGATTTTCGAATCTTGGGACGACAGTAATCCAGTGCGAATAACTGTAGCAGACGGAAAAGAGTTGGATGGCCCTGGATATTTTGGCACATTGAAACCAAACGCACTTGGTTGCAAGCGTGCAATATTCCATCCATTCCTTCCACAGACCCTCCTCAGTGTCGAGCAACTGAAGAAAGAAGGCTATAGAGTTGTTTTCGACGAAGGGGGCAACTACTTGCAAAGTAGGAAGACAGGAAAGAGAATTTTTCTTCACAAAGGGATCGGAACCAAGCTGCCGGCCGTGGCACTTGGGTTCAACGAAGATCCAGGTGAAAAGGGTTTGTTGTGCGAAGAGATCGAGACAGAGTCCACTATGATGACAAAGGCTGAGAAAATGCTTCTTGATCATCAGCGTGCTGGACATCGTAGTCTACCAGGAATAGTAGTCCGATGTCCTGCCTGCGATCTCGCGAAAAGCAAAGGCGCGCAACATGCAAAAGCGAAGAAAGAATGCTACAAAGTTGAAAAATTCAATGACCAAGTTGATTTTGACTTCACTGGACCGTGGGAACCTGACTACTGGTCGCAAAGATGGGTGCTAAATGCCATCGATCAAGCAACCAGCTGGCCTCGTTCTTTCATCTGCAAGAGCAAAGCAGAAGCAGGCGCAAAGCTGCAGGTCTGGATAAATGAAGAGGGACCACCGAAAAGAGTGAGATCCGACAATGCCAAAGAGTTCAAGGAACCAGGTAGCACTTGGAAAAAGACAGCACAGAAACAGTCCCCGCCGATTCATACTGACTACTCAGCTCCATACGAACCACAAGAAAATGGAAAAGTTGAAAGATACAATCAAACTCACCAGAACGGAGTGAGGGCAATGATGGTCGGAGTCGATAAGCGTATGTGGAGTTATGCAGCACGCACTTTCTCCCACATATTCGCCCGAACCCCTACAGCCAAAGGAGGCGAGTCGCCATTTGAAAAACGCTTCAAAAGAAAACCTTCCATCAAGTATTTCCGACGTTTCGGATGCTTGGTATACGCGAAGGATCACTCACAGAAGTCGAAGCTTGAAGACCGGTTTACCCGTGGAATCTTTCTAGGCTACGCCCAAGAAAATTCTACATACCTGGTAGGCATGTGGTCCGCAGATGGTCGATGTAAGAAAAGCTCCAAAATCCGCTTCGGAGTCCACGAGGTGAAGTGTTGTAAGTTTGATGAATCAGTGCTGGTCAGCAAGATAGATGATCTGAAGCCGGACGCTGACAAGTTGTTAATTGATTTTCCGAATCCGGCGCGTCTGGGTGATAGTTCGCAGCTCGTAGAGCCGAATGTGCCCGCTGTAGATCATGATCAAAGCAGTCGTGGTCAGGACGCTCCGAGGACCGATCGTTCGAAAGATGAAGAAGATGCGGACAAACGCAGTTCGAAGGAAAAAGAAACCGTCGAAAACGACGAGGGCAAGAGTTTCGAAGGGGGTGAGCAACCTGAGGAAGGGGGCGAGGAAAATCAAAACCCTAATCAGGATTGGCTCGATTTGTTTTCAGAGGAGGCGCCTGAAAAATCCCCGAAGCAGAAAAAGAAAGCTGAGAATGGAAATCGAAAAAGAAAGTCTAATACAGTTGATGCTGATGAAAAAGAGAACGAGACACAAGAAGCGCCTAGGATCCTCGTTGAAGGACCTACACGAAAGAAACTTCGCAAGAAGGGCCGAGGGCATGACAAGAAAAAGCGCAAAGAACGCAACGACAAAGGCCAAAGTCGTGGCCCTCGAGCAAAGAAAAGGCAGAAAGTCAATCTTGTGTCGTCATCTGACCTTTTGAAAGATCTACCGATGGAATTTGAAAAAGAAGCAGAAGCTATATTCCAGATTCGTCATGAATTAGAGGAGGACGAAACTCCTTACCTCTTTGGCTTGCAGCACACTTGGGCCAAGTGTCTGGAAAGTCCTGACGCAATCAAATGGATCGAGTCAGATACGAAAGAACGCCTAGCGCTAGAAGAAGCAAATACGTGGAGGCATGCAACCGCAGAAGACATCAAAGAGATGGGTGATAAGTTAGAGATTATCCCGACGGTATGCATCTACACGAAGAAGAGAGACGGACGCTACAAGTGTCGTCTCGTAGCACTAGGAAACAGGCAAAAGCTATCTCTTCAAGGAGAAATATACAGCCCAACTGTGAGCCATGCCGCTAACAGGTATTTACTTGTTGAAGCAGCAGCACGCGGATGGAAAGTTAGACAGTTCGATATTTCAAATGCGTTTGTGCGTGCAGCTCTAGGTGACGAGATCGTGTTATGTCGCCTGCCCAAGCACAACAGCTGGAGCAAGAACAAAGAAAAAGGCGATGTTGTCAGGCTGTTAAAGTCGTTATACGGTCTGAAGATCAGCCCACGCCGCTGGTATGACGAATATTCCGGCAGACTCAAGAAGTTAGGCTGGGTTGTATCCGAACACGAACCAGGTTTGTTCAAGAAGTTTGCAAAAGACAAACAGGGAAAAGAGCAAGAGCTCTGGCTAGCAGTTTACGTAGATGACAACATTATCTCAGGCGAAGATGATGACCTTGTCGCTGCAGAAATGAATGCAATTTTAGCAGAGTTCCCAGGAAAAGAAATTCTCGCAGAATATGACAAGGAAGGCAATGAGATCCGCGACCTTCTCGGCGCAAAGTTGACCTTCAACGCGAAAAAGAGAGTCATGAAAATCACTTGCGAAGACGCAATTGATAAGCTGCTTGAGAAATTTCACATGAAGGACTGCCGCGCAGTAGTTTCCCCATGTTTACCAAATTCCCACGCAGACTTGGACTCGCCGTCGAATTCCACATTTCCGATAAGATCGCTAGTAGGCGGAATGTTGTATATCAGTTGCGTTGCCCGGCCTGATATCGCATTCGCAGTACAAAGAGTAGCGACGCAGGTAGCTAGTCCAACCGACCAAACGGTAAAAGATGCTAAGCGTATTCTGGCGTATTTGAAAGGAACCAAATCGCAAGGATTGGAATACAGCAAGCAGCAAGAGAAAAAGTTCAAAGAAATCTACACAAAAGCCGCAGAGCTAGAAAACAAGGAATACAGAGACACTATTGCTTTCTGCGATGCAGATTTTGCAGGATGTTCTGTAAGTTTTCGATCCACGTCAGGAACAATCCTATATCGACGCGGAGTTCCCATCTGTTGGAAGTCGAAACGTCAATCGATTCGAGCTACGTCAACAATGGAAGCCGAGTATTGCGCGATGTATGACTGTGTAAGGATGACTATGGACCAAGGATATTTGAACTGGTTTTCAGAACAAGAGTCAGGATCTCTACCGTTGATCTTCAACGACAACAAGTCCGCGCTTGCGTTGAGTCAGACAACCGTAGCCACGAAAAGATCCAAGCACATGAGTCTTCGACTACACCTAGTACGAGACTACGTAAAAGACTTGTGCTATGTAAACACGGATATCAATCTAGCGGATGGATTGACCAAACCACTTCCAGGAGAGAAGTATATCCAAATCTTCAAAGCTCCCGCACGAAAAGCTAATGAAGTATTTGCGAAAGCCCACTTTGTTGACTTCAATAATCTCTAGGATTGATTGATGCGAATTTCACACAAAGTCATCTCATCTGATTCATTTCGATGATTTAATGTTCATTCGGAAGGGGGAATGTTAGGCAAGATATGAAATCCACCAGGATCATAAGCCAAGCAAATTCCCTACGACCTAAATTGAATGCTCATTGAAATCAGGCTCTAAATTTGTCGTTCAAATTTGGATCCAAAGTGAAGTCAGCATGTTCATACAAATGAACCAAGAATGAAGTTCATTCAAATCCCACACTGTAAGCTAGTGATGATCAACGATGGTTGATCGGATTTCTCATAAATTTAGGGTGATTAGAATAAATTTGAACTTTCATGTTTTACCCCCCTGACTGAGACGTCAAAATTTGTGTGTTGTCTGGAGCGCTAAATTTTTCCCCACAGGCTGTGACGATAGTCACCATAGATTGATTGCGACTAAGAAACACTGAATCCCACCTAGATTCTGCTTGACATCCAAGATGGCCAGTGTTCACACCGCCCGCGTTTCTTCGTCGTTGATTGTCTTCACACCGTGAAAATTCGGTTGACAGTTAGTCGTATACAAGCGGCACAGTGCCTCCACAGTAAAAAAATGCCTTTTCGAGTTGTCGTATCTGTTTTCAAAAAGATTCAATGCCAAACTTTCATCAGGACCTGACGGAAATTCTGAAATACGCGAAGTGTCCACCTGTGGGCATGCTGGGCAACACGAGCCCGATTCTTGCGGCGCACTCGGCCGCCATGGAAAGCGCATCGGCATCTATTCTCGGGGGCATGAATAGCCCCAATGCCTCCAACGCGTTGAAGGGAAACAAGAGGCATGCGTCCCCGGGAAAGGGCGTCGGAGGGGGCGGGGGACACAGCAATCGGATAAGCTACGGACCAGATGGAGACGAGAAGTACATGGTGCAGAAGTACATCGAACGACCTTTGATCATCAACAACCGGAAATTCGACATCCGTCAGTGGGTCGTGGTCACTAGTTTTAACCCGAGCTTGCGTGTCTGGTTCTACCAGGATGCCTACCTTCGATTCGCGTCGCATCCCTACTCCACGAGCTCGATCGACGATAAGTTTGCGCACTTGACAAACAACGCAATCGTGAAGCACACCCCGGATAGCGGCTTCAATTATCCTGATCGCAAAAGTTGTAATATCGTCCCTGTTGTAGAAGGAGGAGGTGCTTGTACTTCTACCAGGAGGACGAGGAGCAGCACAAGCATCACTGCGTGACAACGCAAGCCCAAGCTGCTTTCTGATCACCTGAATCTGTATGGCTGAGTCTGTTTTTTCCAATTAAAAAAGTATGAATATGCAGTTGCTACTTAAATTTTCTACCACATCTGCAGCGATACTTTTACTTTTGCCTTGCATAGGAAAGTGGATGATACTATGTGGCACTCGGACAAGTTTGCGAAATACCTGGCTAGCGAGAATATTCGTTGCCCCAGCAACACTTCCAGTTCGAGTTCTTCCTCCTCCTCCAGCGGGAATAATAGCACCAAGAGCACCAGTGGCACCAAACGACTGAACTGGAGCGACATCCAGCGCCAGATGAAGCGGCTAGTGTGGCTGAGTTTAAATTCAGCGAAGGACCGCGTTGTAGAGCGATCGCTCTCCTTCGAACTTTTCGGCTATGATTTCATGGTCGACGAGTGCGGTCACGTGTGGATTATCGAGTGCAACAGCAGCCCGGATCTCAGCTTTTCGACCTCGACCACCCGCGATTTGGTGTCGAAGATGATGCCAGACATGCTCAATGTGGTGCTGGAGGAGGAGAAAGTGGGCTCGGGCGAACCGTCCAAGAACAACAAAACCTGCGGCCGGTTCGTCCGCCTGGAGCCTGACTACTCGAAGTTGGTCTCGCCCAGATCCAGGTCCAACAGCAGTCCCTACGCGCAGATGCAGCTCATTCCGCCCACGACCACCCTGTTCCCATTCTCCCCGCCACTGCAGCAGAACGGTGGCCGCAGCAGCGTTCCTTACGATAGTGCACAAGATGAATCGTTCAACTCCCACTTCTTCCCTTGGGGCGTCATGGAAAATGTCTAATGGTGGATGCATGCGCCCTTGAATAAAAGTTGGACCTAGTCGTGCAGGCACTGCTCTACGTCGCATTACAGCCGTATTGATTTGGAAGCCGAAACATTAGTAGCATGTGTGAAGACCACAACTGTGCGTGGATTTTCATTTATCTTGTCATGATTGAGATTGATAAACGGTAAGACCATACTACCATATAAGCATGCCCGTGAAATGCGGGGCACGGTGGAGGAACGGTTCTCTCTGCACTCGAATACTTGTAGCAGCGCGTTGATGACGATCAACGGCGCGGCTTACAGTCGCGATATTCTGGCAGCGGTGAATGGTAAGGGGCCGAGCAACAATGGCAGCAAGTCTGGCGGCGGGGGTGGCAGCAAAATGAACAAGACGACTGGATCTTTGTCTGCCGCACTGTTGGGTGGTTATGGTACTTCGGCTGGTATAAGTGGACTGACAAACTCGGCTGCTTTCTACACACCGATTTCTGCACACACGATCCACACCAAGACCGACCGAGAGATGATGGACAGCCTCCTGGTACCGCTCCGCGAACGCATGCTGCAAACGATGGGGCTATCCACAAAAAAAGGATCCATCCCCATCCAATTTCTCATGGCAAAACATCAACATGCATCAAAGTAGTCTGGTTTTGTCATGTAGAACCAAAAAATGGATCGGGATGGGTTTTTTTTGTGGATAGGGGCCGATCGACCGAGGTAGCAAGGATGTTGGTGACAAACAAGACGCGGGGACGAACAAGAAGAAGAAGCGCAGCAGCGTCCTGCGCAGTCGCAGCTTGGTTTTGGAAGGCGAGCAAGGCACTGGCGGACCAGCAGCCACGAGAGTAAGCGGGACAGCAAACGCCTCGGAAAACAAGCAACCTGAACAGCAAGCGTCTTCGAAGAAAAAAGGTAGTGCTAGTACTGGTCCTGCACCACCGGTACCCTCTAGTACTGGCGCAGCAGAGGGCCTCGACGGAAGTGGAGGTCCCTTAATACTGGGGGGTAGCGTATTCTCTGCAAAAATATTGTATTGACTCCTACAATGTGACAAGTCTGGCTTCCTACCAGATCTAGCATGGCAGCTTACATTTTTGTTCTAGAAAGAAAGCTAAGCATTTGCATGTGCGATTTTTAGGTATGGGATGCGATACAACTTTTGCAATGCATATAGCAGCGCAGCTGCTGGGGATTCGGCGGCAGTCACCACGGCCGAGGCCTTAGCCGGTGCAGGAAGTACCGTAGGCAACGACTATCGATTGCGTATTTGTCTCGGTCTGGAACGTTGCAAGACTTGTCGTGACGCTTGTCCGACATGGTTGTAGAGATTATCAAGCATGTTGCAAAAGAGCGCTGCCTTTTTTTTTATTATGCAAAGATGGACGGCCAAAACAGTAACATGCGGAATGCGCGATATAAAACTTTCCATGCTTAGCGGCCTATTGGAATATCTGTGTCATCCACGGGCTGCGTCCAATAGCATGACAGCTTTCCAATAAACCCGGACACATTTACAATCCATAACAACCAGGGAGTAGCAGACTCGGAGCCAAATGCGAAGGAGGGTAATCCAAATCCTCCATCTGCATCTCTCCGCAGGCAAAGCTCGTCGGGCCTGACCAAAAAGAGCAAGCAAACGTCTTGACGTGGAGGAAGATAGATTTGCTGTATCTCATGTTTACCGATCACTGTAAATGAGAAGCAATCGTCGATTTTTATTTTCGTACTATCAGTCGTCTGTTTCGTTTTCGATTAACTGTCGTATGCAATTATTTCATGGTGCTTCGGCTTTCGTAATATTTCACATCATTTTTTCGCTGATTTGTATATTTTCATCTTTTCAGAAGCAACACCCAGAAAGAATACTGATTTTTGTAATTTGCGATGCTTTGGAAATAAATCAATCTTGTCTATAGTGTCAATTAATATCGTATGGCGTTGCAGGAGTGGGTAAAACTGCTCGGCCTTCAGGTTTCTAAATGCTGTATGGTTGAACAGTAAAAGAGTCTCCCGAATACAACGATTACCAACGCACTGTACACAAATTTTGATTGGACGTGTATGATAGCTTGACTGCTCCTGCAGGGCCTGGCGCTTTGCGAAACAACTCACTACATGACGAGACGTGGAAACAGCACGCCGGACATCTGGTCCATCATGTCCATTGTTACACGCGCACGCCCGGTGTCCTGTAATCGAGATTCTGATTTGGTGTAACATACTGCTCTAGCTGCATCTGAGCCTACCACAGAGGGCATTCGGATTTTGGTTGTAGATTAATCTTAGTGGGCAAGCAGCAATGCAGGAATGGAATTAGATTATCCATATCCATCACCATCGCACCAATGGGGACCACTTATCTATCAGCGACAGAGAGAGAGAGTGAATACCGGCCGTAGCGCATGAGAAACAAGAGATTGATTGGCATGAGCGATGTTAGTGCAGCAGCACATTGGCAGGTTTAGAAAGATATTTTTCACTGGAAGCGCCAGGTTAGAACGACACAGACATGGGACCATGAGAGCAGTAGAACACGAGATCGAGCAGAGGTAGCACAAATTCGTCCTGCCCCCGGACGAGTACTTGGCGCCCCGGACGAGTTTCTCTCTGCAACAACAGGACCGACATGGCGGAAGAGGAGGATGCCGAGCTTGCTGCGATGGCGCGACTGCGCGGCGAGATCATTCGGCTCCAGTCCGAGCAGGCGCGCCGACGTGAGACGATCCGGCGCCAGGAGCAGAGGCACCAGGCGCTCCGGGAAGAACTCTATTCCAGAAAGGACGAGGCCTCGAAGCTTGCGAACATCATCGAATTTGAGGCCTCGAAGCTGGCCAATACGGCACTACAGCAGCAAAACGTCGAAGCCGCCCAAGCGCTGGAGAAACAGGAGGCGCTGAAGAAGAGCTGCGCCACGCTGCTCGACGAATTCATTCCGGGCGTGTACTCCCAAGCGGGCGAGAAGCTTGCCGCTCGCGCCGCAAAGCTCGCGAACGCCGGAAGCGCAAACGCCGACGACGACGAGGGCGAAAAGAAGGAAGCCTTCCACGACGTGGTGTGGATAACCTACATCCGCCCGCTCACCGAGGATTTCAACTATCAAACCACCATGAAAATTTCCAAGGAGGCCGTGGTCCGCGAGATTCTCGAGGACGCCTGCGAGTACTGGGGCTGTTCCGTCCGGGATAACAGCTTCTACAAGGGGGAAAAGGACCCCCGGCCGATCACGCAGCAGCGGATCAACATGACCTCCGCGATCGTGGCACAGCGGGACCCGGAGACGAAGCTGACCCAGAAGGAGTCGCTGATGCAGAGCCTGGATCCGCTGGGAAACTGCGTCGCCCCCACGACCTTGGGTCTGGTCGACCACATCCAGGTTGGGGACCGGTTTCTCGGCGTCCTGTTTGCCGAGGAGGGGAAGAAAATGCTCACCGACGCGGTGTCGGAGGTGGACGGGAAGCCGCTGACGGCGGAGCAGCTGATCGCTCGGACCGCGGAGGACGACCAACTGATTTTTCAGTTCGACGACAGCCGCCGGGTCGCGGAGGTATTGCCGCTGACGGAGATCGCGCACATCTACCTCGTGCACGACGATGAGGCGCCCTCCTGGATTCAGCGCGTGCTGTCTGGGAAGCGGCGGGCCACGCCGGAGCAACTGCGGAAGCAGGCGGCCGCGGAGGACGTGAACCCGGCCGCGACCCGCGCGGCGGAGTACCCGACCTGCCTGGAGGCCGTGAAAGCCTGGCCCGGCCTGTTCGTGGAACTGACCAACGCGGCGCAGGGCACGATGAAAAAAAACTACATGATCAAGACGTTTTTGCGACAAACCAAGTGTAGGGACGTGATAGTGTACGGCTTTCTCTTTCTCTTCACGCTCCTATCCCTCTTCATGTCGCTGGAGCGCGAAAAGGGGTTTTGGGCGGTCGAAGGTTTGCGTCGGTGCCTCGTGGATTCCAGGGGCGCGTCCGCGGTGAATGAGCCCCTCTACCCCGTTAGTGCAGCATCCATGCGCCGGCGCCAGCTGGTCGAGATTGGCGAAAGTGGGGGCGAGGAGCAGATCATCTACTCTGAGCGCGATGGACAGCGTCATCTTCGTGCAGGACCGGCGGACGAGGAACCACAGTACCAGGAAGGCAGAGCATTATCATCATCATCATCATCATCAGTCACGGCAGATGGACGCGACGACACTCCTCCAGCAGCGGGGGCGCCGTCTGCGATACCAGGGCCAGCGCCTGGTACTGGAGCTGCGAAAGCAGGGGAGGTTGACCAAGGAAGGGATCAGGATCTTCGTCACCTGCCGCAACATAGAACTACTCCCCTCCGTCGAGTGAACGAGCTGCAAGAACTCCAGCCGCGCTCAAAAGATGGCCCTCTGTCACCATACACGACCTCGAGCGGCTCGTATCTTGTGCAAACGTAATGTCGCACACGCACTGGTCATGGTATCTATGTATAAGGATAACGGATTGATGCCGCCATGCCTATGTCTGATAGATCTGCCCGTCGAAGTGAATCTGCATGACCTTTCTTGTTCTGTGCTGTCGAAAATGTTTTTTAAGTGCAGCTATTGTATATGCAATGCACACAGTATCATGGAATTATGGATGGCTAGCTCTAGTGCGTAGCGATACTTTTTTTGCAATGTATAGCAGCAGTACCATCTCCAGTACAGCAGCGAGCTCCGGAGGAAGGCAGCGGCAGCGGGGTCTGACAGCAGCAGCAAAACCACCGTCGAAACCGCCCCTGGATTTGAGGTTTGTTCCCGCAACGGAGGTGAAGTCGGTGGAGGAGCTGTACGGGTGGCTCACGGGCACGGTCGCGAACCAGGTGTTTGGGCCGCGGTCGACGCTGTGGCAGGACTACCAGCCCGCCTACCAGCTGATCATACGGCAGCACCGCGTTCGCTCCAAGGAGTGCGACCGCCCGGATTTTGTGGCCCTGGCCACGAAAGAGGGCAGCAACATCGTGTGCTACGAGCCCAAAGTGCAAACCGGGTTCACCACCCAGTTTGACATGGGAGCCCAGACAGACAACTTCATCCAGTTTTTCCTGGACCGCCAGACCAGCAGCCGCAGCAACACGACCAGTGGCAATTCCGTATACTGGAACGCGGCTCCGGCCTCCTGGTCGTACACGGTCCGAGGGGTACACGACAGTTACGACGGCGGAGGGTTCACCACCTACTTTGACCTGAAATCCGCGATGCCGGGTCCGGACTACAATGCCACCAAGTTGCAGCTGGCGAAGCTCGACTTTGTCGAGGTGATGACGTTCCTGCGACAACGTGACTACTTTGATGTGACCACCCGCGCAATTCTGGTCGAACTCACGGTGTATCACCCAATCCTGAAGATGTACGTGTCGCTCTCGGCGAACTTCGAGCTGAAGGCCTCGGGGGGCGTCACTGCCACCATTTTCCTGCAGCCCGCGACCCCCCGTGCGGACACGGGACCCAAGTACCCGACCCACAGCACGCTGCTCACCCTTGACCTGCTGCGCTTTCTGCTTTGCTTCTATATGAGAGTGCCAGGGCTACCGAAATCGACAAAGTTGCAATAAATCTGTAAACACACCATAATGCGCAAGACACAGAGCCCCTGTATAGCGAGGATGGTAAGCGGGGCCGATTGAAGTGGGGATAAAGAGAAAGCCGCGAAAAGTAGCATCCATGACAGTGGCAATCGTCGTCATTTGTGCATGTGCTCAAAAAGCATTACGGGATGGATTTCGATTCTACCAAAATTCGTCGCGCACCGCTGAGGAGTGATTTGGGGGCCAAATAACTGGTGCCGATGTTTTTATGCGTGGCGATTTTTTTCAACGTTGTCAATTTCGATCCTGACGCTTCAACATTCTACCTAGGCGGCGTAAAGCCTTATTTGCGGCTGCGCCACAGCATCTTCGACGAAGAGAGAGAGGGTTGGCAAGCCGTAATATTGACGTACGCAAACCTGATCGACTGCGTCCTCGTTGCCGCGCTGTGTGTGCTCTTCTTCGCACGCGGGAAGCACTCACTTCCCTCGCCCGCCGACGGCACGACGAACAAACTGCTGCCTGGTCAGTTTCTGCTGTTCGGGTTTTTCTACACCCAGATCGAGATTATGGAGGTCATCATCCTTTTTCTCTCCGGGCTGCAGTGCACACTGCTGCTGTCGCTGTGGAGCCGGTTTTTCATTTTCTGGAAGGTGATTCAGATGATGTGGAAGACCTATTTCTTCTACTTTCTGGTGATGTCGCCGCTTTTCTTCGGGTGCTGCGCCATGGCAAGTGGCATCTACGGTGGCCACCTCGCAGAATTCCGAAGTTACACGGTCTCAGGGATCACTATGGATGTGTCAGAGTTGAAATCGACAAAGTTGAAATAATTTGTCATGCATAAAATGGATGCCAGTTCGTTGGAACCCAGTTTCCAAGTGGCGCAAGACAAATTTCGGTGGTCCCTAAATCCACTTTGTCATGCTGTTTAGGCAAAGAAGGGCGACTTTCTCATGCTACTTTAGCAGCTCGAGCTGTAACCCCAAACAGGCTTACAATCGGACTCACTTGCCTGCTCTGCAACACACGTACCGCGGGTCATGCATTTTATGCATTGCAAATTATTTCAACTTTGACGATTTCAAACCTGACGCTTCCATAATCACCATCGCGCTCGCGACGCTCGGCGACGTGCCGGATCTGCACGCGATGGCGCGCGTCGACTATGGCTGGACGATCATCCTGGTGCTGATCTATGTGTTCGGATTTATCCACGTCGCGATGAACGGCTATAGCGCGATCACCACTTTGCTCTTTAGCGGAGCCTACACAAAATACGTCATGAAAAATAACAAACTTCTGAACGCGGCCTCTTCCTCCGAACAGCAGGCCCTGATGGATCAAGAAACCTACAATATGTGGACATCTTGGCCGTACGACCTGATTTTCCCTTCAGAGGACTACTACGACGATTTTTTGAAATTCGTCCTGCCAACGCCGTTGTACGTGAAGATCTCAGGGAAGCCACTATCCTGTGAAAAGAACGCTCCCACCCTGTTGTAGAAAGATATTTGTCGCGCAAAGTATAATTTGCATCATGTTCATCAAACGAATGAAACGCATATGCATATCACGATTCTAGTCATGCGCAGTTCCACTTCCAGCTCCGCCATGAGAAACATTTTCACGACTTTATTCCTATCTTGGGATTTGTCAACATGCTTATGCTCTCATTAGAATGAGGAAGCGGAACTTGAAGACCGCACCAAGTTGCTTGGAATTCTAAGGAGAGCAGACGAGCACTCGCAACTCGACTGCACTACGTAACCACGCCTAGTGCACTGAAGAGCCGAAGTTACCTCGCGCAACAGCCGAAATTTCTTGGCCTGTGTACTTGGCACATCTTCCATCTTGTGGACTACGGGCGGGTGGGACCGTTTTCAATCAGGACAGCCGCCAGTGGAGGAGGAAGACTAAGAGTAGGCGGATGCAGCTGTTGGCGTCCTCTTTTCCTGCAGATGTGTCTTCTTCAAGTAAGATCATGAATACCGCCTCGCGTGTTTTCTTTTCCTTGGCAGGCACAGAGTTGATTGAGACGCGCAAGGCAAAACCTGCTTTAGATAATTACGCCGAGCGTCATTGATGATGATCCACTTTCTTGTTCTATCTACCTCTACCTTCTGTGTCGTTTTCTTTTCATGAAGAACAAGAAGTAGATCCTGACGCTGAACACAGACCGCCGTGTGAGCGGTTTCTGCTCCAGTTCCAACAAGTTGTGACGTAAGCAAAAAGAGAAACTAAAAAATACGACCAAGTCTGTCTCGAAGACCACTGTCGCAGGCACCACGCAGCGCTGCGTGGTAATTGTATTAGTATAAGCTGCATGTGGCTTCCTTGCTCACAGCACACTTGTTGTCCTCCTGGAGTAGGATGATGTGTTTTGTTTTTATCGCTGTTTTTCCTCGCAGCGTGGCAGATATGCTTTGGACGGTAGGGGCAGAAGTGTTGTCCTTTTCGATCCTCATCTCACTCTCCATTGCGTTGTTTCTTCATTTTCTTCCTGGCTGGTCTCCTCGGTCTAGATTTAACTCCAAACCAATTTTATCGCTGTTTTTGTTCCCATCTCGAAAGGTCCAACTGCAACTGTTTTCATTGTAGTACGTACTAAGGATCATGTAGATATAGCTGCATTTTTATAAAATATCTTTAGAAACATAGTTCCAAGTGGGTTACGGTGAGTGAGAGAGTCGCTCCTGGGAGACGAGTTTTTCTTTGAGGGCAGGAGCAAAAACATGCGTGCCCGTGTCGGCCGGTTCTCCGGCAATGCGCTGCTGCTAGCTGCGTCCGCCGAAGGGCGTTTTTTCGAGCCGCTGCTTACCGGCAGCCGGTTGGCGAAGACCAATCTGCTAGCAAAGAAGAGCGAGGTGACAGGCTTTTGCGACGGCGCCAAAACGGTTGCGGAATGCGACGCGGAGAAGCAGGTCTGCAAGGCGAATTGCGACGCTAGCCACGGCGACTGCAAGCGCGACGAAGAGCGGTGTAAGCAGGACATTCATCGCTGCAAGGAGGACCGCAATCACTGTCGAAACAGCTGTGGTGGACGCTGGCGGCAGAAACGGCGGTGCAAGCGCAACTGCAACCACCGGCACGCCTGCGGCCGCTCCTGGGACTGCCGCCGGAAGTGCGGCTGGAAGCGGGGAAAATGCAAGGCCCGCTGTCCGCCGGCGTACAAGTGTAAGATGAAGGCCGCTGCGTGCGGCAGCGTCGTGAAGGCCAAGGAGGTGGTTGCGAACACCGGGTTCGGCGCGATGCTGGAGATGGCCATGAAAGGGATGGAAATCGAATCCAAGCCCGCGTACTCCCAACTCTTTCCCGAGCCGAACGGGGTCTACGAAACGGGGTACGACTACAAAGCCAACCCCTGGCTGCTGTCCACCGTCCGCTACCAGCTGGCCGTCACGATGGCGGGCTACGACTTTTCCAGCGCACTCGCGGGGGGCGGCGAGGAGTACGGCAGCAACTTCCAACCGGTCACGCCGAGATCGGTGTCCGACCCGGCGAAATACTGTGGCTTGGGTTCCGAAACCGCGGACGCCCAGTACAAGGCGGTGAAGACGTGGAACCTGAAAAAGGGCACACACGATACCCAGGGCTCCGCGTACGTGTACGAAGACGCGAAGCAGGTGATCGTCACGATGAACTTCCGCGGCAGCGAGACCCCGTCCTTCGAGACCCCGAAAGAGAATTTTGTGCAGTCCCTGTCGCAGCTGCGTGACTGGGTGGGCACGGACTTCGTCTTCTTTCCCGTCAAGGACAAGATCTGCAGGAAGGACAACGTGCAGATCCACCGCGGCTTCCGGCAAGCCTACCGCCACTTCGTCAAGTACGGCAAGGACAACGAGGGGCTCAACTGGATCCAAGCCGTCAAGAAGCTACTGAAGGAAAAAAAGAAAGACGGGAAGGAATTGAAAATGATGATCTCCGGGCACTCGCTAGGTGGCGCGCTCGCCGCCTTGGCCACCTACGACTCCTGGTGCAACAAGCATTTTCACAAAGACCTCGGCTACTCCGAGGACGCAAAGGACTTCCCCAGTGGACCCTTTAGTACGTTTTATTTTTTTGCTTCGTGCTTCTGCTTTCTTCGATTCTTCGCACCAAGTTATTATGTAATCTAGTAGGTCTAGATTCTATAATCTCTTTCTCTCAAACAGAAAAAAATAGCGGAGAGAAGATCATGTTCGTTGATGAAACTCCACCACCGTCGTGCAACAGCTGCCTCCAAAAATGCTACTTCTACTTCATTCTTGTATTTACTATATACAGCTGTGACGTACGGTGAGGCGTTTCCGTTTTGGGGGTTGGAGTCCATTGACGAGTACGCTGCGACGGTTCCGTTGAAAAACCGAGTCCGGGTGAACACCTGTGGGCAGCGTGGTGAGGTTTTCGGCGGCGATACGGTCGGGTCCGTCACCAATTTCTACGCGGACGAGGATGGAGGGTGGCGCCACACCTCTGACGGAGACTTCCAGTGCGCGTGGGTGAGCCGAACTGCTGGGGACTCGTCCTGCGTGGGCCTGTATCCGGGGCGAATGTGTGATCTCTGTCCGGAACAAAAATGGAGTGACTGCGAAAGTTGGCATGTACTAATTTAGTTTTTTCGTGCCAGCCCGCCTACAAGGTCCGCAATGTTGCACTAGGGCGAAGTAGCATCTCCAAGAACCTAGATTTTTGTGCGAAGCAGAATTTTCACAAGCGCACGAGACAGGACGCATGGCAAGCATGCGCGCTAGTTCTACAACCAGTCCGAGGCTACACGTTCGCAATTCATAGCACCCCCGGCACGTTCCTGTGTCACCTGTTGGATCGGTACCTGGAGGGGACCATGAACGCCTGTCCGACGGACACCCTGAGTGACGCCGAGAAGTGCCCCAAGCCGCCGCGCACCGACATGACGGGCTTCTGCCAGGGCGAGGTGCCCGTGGGCCCAGACTTCAAGGGGGACATGCCCAAGTTTTGGTTCGTGGAGTACTTCAAGACGTTCAAGAAGGTCGGGCAGGAAGTGTGGAAGGCCATCCGCAACCCGGGCGAATTCGCCAAGTCGCAAATGGGGAAGCTAAAAGGCAAGTTCGGAAAGGGCCTGGTGCAAGTCGACGAGAGCGTTGACTTGGAGGAGGAAGAGACCAAGCAGGACAAAATCGAACAGCAGCTGGAGTGTGACGAGGGAGACGAGTGGGATCAGGAGCACGGCGCCGTAGGCATTGCAAATATAATGTCTGGCTCTGGATGAATGCTGCAACTGGGCATGCTTAGTCTGCATTGTGCAAAAAATCTGTGTTTTGTGTTGAGCGTCACAAGCAGCCCCCGACTTGCTACGCAGGCAGCGCATGACGTCCCGTGCAGAATCGGCATGAAGAAGCGCGTGCGCCGCAGTCTGTAATGGTTCTGTGTGCATTTTTCCAGGCAATCGGGGTGGTCGATGAGATGCATGACAAACACGCGCGCTCTCCCAGACCACCCAGACACATTTGCATTTGACACAGCGTCGACGAAAATGACGACAGCGCAGAGAGCGAGTTGTAGGGGCCGCTACGGCTCAAGGCGGTATTTAAGGCAGGAGAGCTTTTTATTTATATCGAAACATGGTGTATGATGCGCTACGACATCTAGTAGGTGTAGGGCGATTTGACTCAACAATTTACAATCAGGACGAAAGAGCGTAGTTCACTAAGTAGGTGTTTCTTTTCTTTTCCTCGCTAAGGTTCTTTTTCTTTTCTAGACGATGTAGTGACGGTATGGAAGAAGTGTCAGACCACTTTTTAAAAATTCTGGCCTCTACTGATGATTCACTGATGAAGAAGCCACCTCGCTTCGCTTCCGTGTAAAATAGTTTGTCGTCGTGTAGTTCCGCCAAGTCGCGTTGTGAGTGCACGCAGCTGAACGAGCAGGAAAAATTACTTACTTACTACACGTGTGACATATACCACAGAAAGGCAGAGGCAGAACTTTTAAATGCTTCACCCACTCTATCATAAGAATGAGAGAGACGCACACCAAAGCGAACTAAACGGGACGGGACTGCTTTGTTATTGTGTTACGACGTCTTGGAAAGATGGAGCGGAGCTCACTCTGCGAACATGTCTATCCACGATAATGCGTCGTGGGCATGTTTAGGAGACAAAACATCGCCACTCTCGCACTACTTCGCGTTCACTTGTGGTTTTGTTATACGAGAAGTCACAAGAATTGGACACGCGGTTCGCTCCGCCGTCTGCACGAGACTTTCCCGTGGTATGTTCGTGTTGAAATGATGTTGTGCGTCCTCTAACAGGGATTTCGCTCAAGCCCCCTTCTGAGTGGGTGGTGGAGATGTCGAATGAGAGTCCGTGCTGAGCACAAATCAAAATCGGTGAGGCGAAAGTAAAGGTGCTCTGGAGCGAAGTAACGTATTCTCATTCTGGCGTTTTGTTTTGAGGGCAAAAACACGATGCAGTAGCAAGAATACGATGCTGTATCATGGCAGGAATAAAGCGCGGAGGAAGATGAGGCAAAGAGTGAGCGCTTCGCAAAACGCTTGAGGCGCGAGGAGAATACCTGCGGATGCACATGCACGGTCCACTCATAATTATTCATTGTGTCTTAGTCTCTCCTCCAGTGAAGAAGTTAGTAGAGTCATGAAGTGCCTCCACCCCGAACAAGCGAGGGAGGGTCTCGTGTCGCGGTAGGACGACAGTGGTCGAAGACGACCACGCGGCACTGTCCACCTCCACACGCAACAAGCACCAGGTACAGAGAAGACCGGAGATGTGGTCCTCCAAGCAGCAAATGCGCGGACGGGCGAGTTCGAAAACCACACGCAATCGGAGACCGCAGCAGTGTGGGTGGTTTTATTTGTCGCTTGTCGAGCTGAGTTGCGCAGTCGATCCCCGCTACGCGCCCTACCTCTCCCGTACGCAGCAATACCTGCAGGATGCGAAGGAAGCCAATGATGCCGCGAAGCGGTACCAAGAACTGACGGCGCATACCCTGAGCAACAATGTATCCAGCCCAAAATTTTCATCTTGTGTGTACATTTACAGAAGTGTCTCATACTAGTACGCAGTCACATGAGGAGACGCAAAGATATCTGGACTTTCGCCATGGGCGCAGGAGGATGACACCGACGAAGCACAATGTTGATACGGCTATAAGTAGTCCTAATGCTAAGCAGGACTATGACCCGAGCCAGTTTTGGTCGTGCGTGCGCCCAATGTTTCTTTCTTTATCCTATCGAAACAGGGCAACTTTTCCATGGGGATGTTAAATGGCTATGGCCATAGAGGTGCTTTCCCATTTTGACTATGGGTTGGGTATGTTTTTAGTAAGGACTGGGCAAGCAAAGCAGTCCGTTGCTGCACAAACCGCGATCGCGACAGAAAAGGAACTCGCTCGGCTCCACGTCAAAGAGTGGGCCGCCGCAACAAAGAAGGTGCAAGATCTATTGGACAATCCTGGGGCGGCTAAGGCAGCATCCGCGGCTGCCACAGCGAGTGCACCCTTCGGAAAAGGTACCTATTAACTTCTTTCTCATTCTTTCTACGCCGGAGCCGGACAATTATCAACTTCATAAAAAACTTCGACAACTCTTATTCTTTCTATGGTGTCGCTGGTACAAAATTTTCACGTCATTTCTTTTTTTATCGGTCTGGTTTTGCTTATAAATGCACTACAGTGCAGCTGTAGCTGCGACTTTTTTAGAAACGCGCACACGCTGTACGACAACGTATCCGTCCGTGTCGCATCAAAACGAAAACAGTGGCCTCCTCGTACCACGCCAGTATGTTGGGGTATGACACGGCGGCACAGGATTATGCGACCCGGGTTCAGGAAGATGTCGAGCTCGCGCACCAGTTGCAGGGCTACGCAAATCAGGAAATTCTGGAAGGCCAGCGCCCCGCGGTCGCGGACCAGTACCACGCCCAGGCGGTAAATCTGATGCAGCAGGCACAGGGCTATGAGAAGCTTGCCAAGCAGTACAATTTCATGGCGCTCAAACTCCAGGCGGTCATTATCTTCAAAAAGCAGAACACCACCGCAATTAGCATTGCATGTCTGCGCTACAATTGCAGATGAAGTGTCTGTGCATATTAAAAGTGCACTGCAGCCAGGCCTTACACGACGTGTTTTATCCGCAACAGATCACAAAGACGAAGCTTCGTCGTTAATATTCGGAACACATTTATTCTCAGGCAAAATTTGCCAAGAATGTGATGGTCGTGCTTTTGTGTAGTTTCATATTCATTCCGCAGATCGTAACGGAAGGGAACCAGGCAGCTGCGCACGCTGCTTTCGAGGCCGATATGATGGTGGACACGACTTCATCCCTTTCTCACTCTGTCCTTGTATCTTGTCATGCAAATAATTAAAGCTACTTCAACGAACTTCTCGAACATTGTCCCTGTAGAAGTTTTTGCTGGGGACGACAAAGATACGGCTCAAGATGAAGAAGTTGTGAGGAGGGCGACGTAGTTTTCCACTGCCATAGCCTACCCAGGCAATTCGCTGCCTGTTGAGGAGGTCGTGAATTGGACGGTGGAACCACCCTACCTCGACAAGGATGGAAACCCCGTGATCCCAAGTAACCCTCCTGCGCCCGGTAGCAGCTAGCGTTGTCCGGATTCGTGATTTTTTTCCAGCATGTAGAGAAAAAACACTGTAGCTTTTGGGCACGATCTTCACATCGATTCATTCACCACTTTGGTGTATTGATCATCTTCATCCGCTGTTGACCAAGATCCACCAGGAGAAGCCCCAGGACGGGAGCAGGGATTCTCTGTTTTGCCGTGCGTGTTCCGTCTACGGCCCGCCCGCTGATGTAATCTAGTCCTCCTGCTCCCTTATCGTGTGCATGACTCGAGATGAGATCATCTGGATGCTGGCAGATGGAAGATCCTTTCTGCGCTGTTGATATTCGTTCATTCCCGTTCCCGACTTTCGTGGATGTCGAGTTGATGTCGGTGTTGGCATTGCTAGCAAGACAGCACACATCTCACTGGCTTCATCATTCAAAGGCTGGGGGAGGCTAGTACACAGTTGCAGAGGTCATCGAAAATGCAAGTGTCAGGAGGTTCATGCTTTGATCTTCCGGTAGTTCAGGGCTGATTGTTTGTTTGGCTCTGGCGCGACGTGTCGTGTATTTTTGTGTTGAGGGCGAGGGCCTGGGGGCTCGTTCGATTTCGGATTTCCAGGCCGAACTAATAAGGTCCGGCTCTCCGTCCTTTTTCTTTTTTTTTTTTGTCGCATCGGCGAGCCTTCCTTTTTTTTTCGTTACGCGTATCATCTGTCAGCCCTGCAGGTCATAAAGATACGTATATATTTCTACACGGAGTATTCTCGTTTTCGTTTGTGGTCATGGGAATTACCTGCTCTCTCTGTGATTTCTTCTTCTTTTGTGAATCGAGTGAAGCAGCGCTTCTATCCCTCCTGTTTGCTTCTACTCTGTGAAAATCAGGAGCCTTGTTGGTCATGTTCTTGTAATATGATCGATGAAATTTGCATTGGTTTGTTGTGGTGGTTGATGCTGGCGATGTGGTGTCCTAGCTTTCTCAGTCGCATCGTGGAGAAGAACGTCGCGTATAAGATGGTGGTCCTGCTGGTCCAAATTGATTAATACGCCCAGCAGCAAAATAAAATTGTATCTAACGCATCATCACTTCTCGGCGTCATTTGGAAATTTTGATACGATGTCATTATGCATTTTCGGTTGTATAGTTGATGCGTATATGACATGTTGATTTCTCCCACCGACATAATTTTTGGTTTTTCATCTCCTGTAGCTGAAGCTGCGCACTGCCACTGGCGGCTAAGCGTATCGAGTGCCCATGTAAATCGAAATCCAGAAGTACTAGTATGTCGATCATTAATGGTTCGTTTCTATTGAAGTAAATATAAATTAGAAGGGGAGAGCGACTTCATAGTGCACTTGCCGGTGGACGGAAAACACGATGGTAAAATAAATACGCGAAAGATGATGTATGACTCATCCGATATGATGGATGAAGGCCGCGCAAGCGTTTGTTCCTAAATGTAGAAAGTCGATCGTACCAGAAATTTTTAGTACCAAAGAGACAGGAAGATTCGAAAATGAGCTTGGACGCGTGGTGACAGAATTACACAACTAGGAGCTTACTTTAGTATTCTCACCTACGAAGCTAGTTTTAGTAGTTGATAGCATTGCCATTCCCGGGCGATTCCGTTCCACTACACCCAAGTTGTCAAAGACTCGGCTCCGCACTACTTGTACATAAAGTTGAAAATTTCGAGCATCTTTGCTTCTGCAACGTCCCGACGTGAAAGATTGACTGAGAATCTATTACCGAAGCCTCTGTCTCGGCAGAGGCCCTTTGTTTTTCTCTCTCATCGTGTATCTGTTTGTATGCAACAAGTAAGGAGCAGCTGCACAATCTTCATGGGCCGCGCTGTACTATCGACGTCGATTCTACTAATTTTCTTTCTCTGATCGCTGAACCTTTCGGGCCACACCTTCGCGAGAAAACAAGTAGTTGCACCGCTATCATTGCTCCCTCTTGATTTGAGTTTCTACTCGAAATTCAGAAAAATAGCAAGGTGAAGGGCTTCGTTGTTTCGCGTGTCGGCCTGGAACTGGAGGCACGTGTGGTCCTTCGATAAGAGAGAGATAGATGCACTTGGGGTGCCTCTTCGAGACCGGCGCGATTGCAACAGCAAGTTAGGCGGGACGAGATCAATCAAAAACAGCAAATAAACGCGGCTTTCGTTGCCCCCCATGGAGAGAGCCGATCTGTTACAGAAGAGCAGCGCCGTAGCGCTGGAAGAGGAGGTACTTGAATTTTATTTATTTGCAATTCCAAGAGTGCGTCGACATCGAGAGCATTCTCCTCCTGCTGCAGCTCCAATCGTGGGATTCGCAACCACGGGTTAAAAGGATTTATTTTTTTTAAAAGGTTTCGTTTTAAAAACTTGTTGTAATAAATGAGCCACGTTGGACGTGGTGCGGCGCGACGTAGATGTTGCAAATGAAGCCGGAGTTATACAGTCGTGGTAGGCCGCTGCAACGTTGCAAACGCGCACATCAAAATTGCAAATATAACTTCCAATAGTAAATTTTTCCTACTCGACGTCATGATATCTACCTCAGCATGAGTAGCGTCATCTGGAATGACAGTGTTTTTGGTGACGTTTTGCAGGAGGAGCATTTCTAGGTTGACGCACTCAACATTCGGGTTCGGGATTCATCAACCACAAGTCTGTATTAATTAAACTGTATAAAAATTAGCAGGCGGAGAGCGGTGGGGCGCGTGCCAGACCCGGCGGAAGGCCGAGACCTGGAGCTACTACCGCAAACGGACCAACAGCAGCGGCGGCAGCTACCGCTTCGGATAATAAGCGAGACGGCGAAGAGGTCACACAACTGGGCGTCAAGAAGCAAAGAACCGAGAATGGCATGGTCATCGGAGTGGACCAAGAGTTGGCCGACATCGTAATATTTTACTGGATTCTGATTCATTGTCTCAATTAGAAAGAATTTAGTGACTCTCTGGTTGTGTGATAATTTTCAGCCGTCCGCAGCAGTCCTACAGCGTCAGCGTCTTGTTGCTTTTCGTGGCTGCTCTTGCTCCTTCCTGAATTAGTACCTGAACAAAGGGGAAAGAGTATGGAGTAGGCGCGATTAAAGATCATTTCTCAACAAATTGTTCAGTTCGCGAGACTAAAGGGAAGCGATGACAGAAAACGGATGCTGAAGTCCTGGGCGCTGACAACCGTTTCAAATTTTGAGATGAAAGATCTCAACTACTACCTCCAGTCAATAAAGAAAGCGGTAGAGGAAGCAAAACGAACCAAAATGGCGAATCAGCAGAGCAATGCCGCTGGTACTTTGGTTTGAAAGTGATAATTCCGAACGTGACACAGATGATGGTGCTCCTCAGTCGAAGATAGTATGCCAAAAAGCAACATAGAAGTCATGTGACTCGCTCGTCTTCTTGCCTGAATCTCATGCGCCGTCATGTGGCGGATTATAATGATTTCCTTTCATATTCATTGATGATGTTTCTCCCTTGCATGCGCAGCCAGTGCTGTCCGAGATTTTCGTCTTGGTATTTTTCTTTCAGATCAAGCTCAAGCAGGGGGCGAAGCCGGCCTAGCCGCCGCTCCCGAGGGAGGCGACAAGCCGGGTCTGACGGGGAGCTTCTACCCGCTCAACAACCTACAGCCAGAAGGTACGGAAAAGAAGGAACAGGACGAAAAGGTGTTCAAGCGAGCAAGAGCAGAAAAACGTATCGACTGATTATTATCATCCTAGTGATTCTCCAGTACGTTGTATTACCTATGGAGTGTGCTGCTTGTGGCTCGATTTATATTTTCTTGTATTTGCAGCTAGATTAATTTATCATTCGTGAGCGTGTGCTTCTATACTACCACTACGACTACGAACACTCAAACAATATTCTCGTCGCACGCATTGATTTTGTGCTATTGCCTGATGTGCAGGCAAGCTTCGGGAAGAGGCGGCGAGGGTCAACATGTAGTCGAGGGTACAGGAGATAACCGGTTTACAATATCAACCCACATTTCACAGGATCACCGGACGAGGAGCAGCAGTATCAGGATCTGCTTCACAGTCTCTCGGAGGCACCGGTGATAAAAAGCGGCGCCCTTGATGAGATAAGGTTCGAGGAGGTTCTGAACGAGGCAATGAGATTAGCAAAGAAACTCAAGGACTGGTTCCAAGTGTGGTCACACTGCAACATCAAGACACCGGAAAACTGCGGTAAGGTGTTGTAGCTTTTTGTGGTGCTTGTCTATGCTCGATTGTGTTGCGGATGGGTTCTTTAGGATTCTCGGCGCCGAAGCCCATCTCGAGCCATGTTTTTTTAGCTTTTTATAAAACCTAAATTGACATCAAACTAACGACACAAAAGAGTCAGCGCCGCTGTGGAATAATCTCACAGTCTCGTCTTTTGTGAATCCTGATGAATAACAAATCTAAATAAACAGTGGAGGCGACGGTGTACCTTGCCAACAAGCTTTGTCTCGAGAAAGAAGAGGAAGAGGTTGCGGATATCCTTGGACACCTGATGAAGGAAAAAGAAATAAGTCCCAAGTGCTATCTTCTGCAAAAGTATCGTACTCGTACTACCAATTGCATTTCCAGCTTCAGTCTGGAGGTATCATGACCGGTCCTCTCTGCTTACCTGTTTACCTGAATCTGCATGTTGTTGTTGAGCTGGTGAGCTTGTGGTTGCTGCGTCCGAAGCTGCTTGTGGCTAGTACGGACACGGAGTCATCATACGGTGGCTACTTCTTTGTAGGAAAAGGTAATTAATAAAAAAACTAAAGTCGCAGGCCGAGGAGCTGCTGTCTGGTAAGAACAGATGCTCTACTCTGTCGTGACATCAAGTTTCATGATTTTCATTCTTAAAAAGGATGAAAATGAATCATTTGCCATGCAATTGACGCTAGTAGAGCGCAACTTTTGCGATGCATACAGGCATGGAGGAGGCAATCGGAAAGTTTCATGAGAAAACGTCCGGCAGGGATATCACACTAATCCTCGCTCACTATGCACTACAAATTACCCGTACACGTAGAAAGTGTAGTCACGAACAAAATGGAAATGCACCAAACGAACGTTATTGGGCGCACCACTTGCCATGCTGGATGTCGCTGATGGACATGGACTTGAAAAATTGTTGAGTTTTGTCATGCAGATACCATGTTTCTACTTCTACTGCTACGCGTACGGGGAATTTCCTGTGGATAGTTGCCTGCTGGTGTTCATTTACCCAACGCAAAAGGGTGACTTTGGTTGGTCCCGCGTTGGCTGGGGTTTCGGCCAATGGTGGCCTCAGTGCAAAAAGTACACAAAAATCCTCCCCGAGCCGCTGGAGGCACTGAAAATCGTGGTAAACAAGTTGCTCGAGTACAAGGCGGACTTCGGGCCCGAAAAACAGGAAAAGATGCTCGTGCGCGCGGCTGAGCTTGCCGGCGGCCGCGCTGAGGCCTGCGACGCCCTTGGTATAACGGGCGACGATACCGTGAAGCCAAGCCCGTCACCGCTGTCCAACGAAGACTAACCTAGACTGCGACACTGGCGCCGCAAAAGAAGTTCCGCCGCGCCGAGCCTCTAGGAGAAGTGTTTCACAAGCACCACTGCCACATGGCCACGAATGTTATGTAAACTTAGCACAGACGAGACGAGGCAGGTCGTGGACGACGAGCAAACGCGCAGCCAAAGCCGTAGCTGCCTTGTTTATTTGCTGGCCTCGATCGTGTGCTATGCCAGGCTCCAGAGAGTCGTTCTGCTTTGGTGGTCGAAATGTTCTCGCAAAGAATATAAGACGGCCGCTAGACGATCATCTCTGGAGGTGTCGAATGGGCAAAGGAACCTGCCAGAGACATAGGCGACACGACAGTTTTTACTTTGGAAGTCCTATAAGAAACCGAGAGAGCAGACACGGCAGAAACTGGCGCCTCCGTGAGTACCAGCTTCCGCCCATCCCATCTGTGGAGGTGTGATGATTTGTTCTCTATATTCCTTGATGGCTGAAGATGAAGATCCTGATGGATGCTAATGGGATCCCAATTGCCCCCACGGCAGGCTGCTGCACTGAGACTTGTAGTACAAGGAAGTCGAAGAACACCTGCACGAAGAAATGCGGTAAACGATGACGCGGTCTATTTTTATAGAGAGGATCGTCAAGTAGATTGCCAGTTGACCAACAAAAAATGGATCAAGGACCAGAGGGAACGGAGCGTGAGTGACTTTGGACTGTAGGGTAAGTACGTAAAGTGCTGAACGATCTCCTTCTGTCGCTAGATCGCTAACAGGTTTCCGTTGGCTAACTATTCAGTTACATTCTCCGTAATATCTTAGGATGTACCTTGTGTAAGTAGTAAGTTTGTTTGAAAAGCGATGGCGCTTGGCGTTGATTTGCGCTGGCACCATCGCCGCAAGTTGCGGTTTCGCATTGTTGTGTGCTCCTAAATGTATTGAGCAGTAATTTTTCATGTACAAATATTTTGGATCGTCGTGTTACGTGAAAGTCTTCCCTAATTCATCTGTGGCACCTTTGAAAGAGGTCCAGGTTCGTCGACGTCGTCGCTTGCCCCTTCGTTCTTCGTAGTTGCGCTGTTTCGCCACGGGACAGTCCTGTTTTAGTTTGTTGCTGCTCGCACCGGAACAGGTTTTTCGTAAGACTTGACGTTTGGTGCGGGCTAACGCGGCGAGGTGGACCGACGGCTACGATGTTGTTTTGGTTAAAATCGACGGCCGCAGAAGAGTGCTTGCCACGTACCTCTTGTTCAGTAGCCGGACCAAGAAGTAGGGGAGGGGTGGCGCTGGCAGATATCGAGCCGGTGTGCTAGCAAAAGCGAACAAAAGACGGAGACGCGAACGGATACGGAAAAAATGGAGAGGCAAGAGGACAAGCCCAAGCCGGAGGCTGGCTGTTTAGCCTCTCACGACGTTGCTGCCGTATCTGGAGGTTGGTACCGCAAGAGGAAGCGAAGGTGGAGAAGGACCAGGAGGGACTTGTATGAAGACGCAAACTTCTCGAACTGTTGCTGCTGTTTTCTGATGAACGCACCTCCGGTTCTCGCATCAAGATGGTATTCCTACGTCTTGCAAAACAAGAAAGGCACGACGACGGCGCGTCAACAGTGGCGCAAATTTATTTATCTCATCCTTTGCACGGTTCTCGTTCTCGGTCTGTCGATGCAAGAAGTTGCGGCCTCGACAGCGTCTGCATCGAGCACCTCTTCATCTCCAGTGCAATATCGCCAGCAAATATGTTGTCGGGGTCTCGAAGATTGCGCGAGTTATCATGCCGGTGGTGCATGTGCACGTCCCGCCGCGAGGCCTAAAAAGCATGGCCTAGTAGCGCCACAGGTTTTGCCGGCAGGGGCACCTTGCACCGCCGATTTTGCAAGCGGAATGTCTCGCCGACCTGTCCCTGGCAAGAGATATGCGGCTTCTGCTGCTCATGTGCAATGCAGGTTTTTGTCTGTTGGCCACGACTTCTTGCAGGCACGATCACAAATCCGCACTCTTCCAAACCCAGAAATATTTGCAGTCCATACGCAGGTGCCGCAGCTGATTATGAGCGGCGCGAATTTTCCGACGTTGCCTTGGCAATTTGTGAATGCGCTCGAGAAGGTATGGAAGTGTCTGGGTTGAAATTAATCTTTCGACAATGCACTATCCCTGTCCGGGTTGAAGCTGATATTATTTCCACAATAGTTTATTTTGACGCACAGAAATAAAATCGGCACCCTGGTGTATTGTTCTATTAGATCCCCGCTTCCCGCCGAGTGGCAGATCAGAAATTCTTTCAAATTTTGAATGCAGTCAAATTCCAGTTGTCATGCCGTTTGGTCGTGCTCGTGCAAACGGAGCTGCTCCTGTCAATGTGCCGCTTAGCAACCACGTTCTTCATCTTGCCCCTTATTTGGCATACAATCGGCAACGGCATAGTTTGCTTGCTCTCCAATACAACAAGCACTCTAGTACTGTGCCTAGCATTTCACTCGTCACTGGCCGTTTGAGCTTTGTCGATAATTTCGACCTTTGCGCTTCCATAGGAGGGCGACCCCTTTGCCTGCGGCAACCCCGTGGCGCAACATTTGCCGCAAAACATAACGCCGGTGCCTTTCGAGTGGATGTTTTCCAAGGTCATCATGTGCCGACAGTACGTGAATGGTACCACGAACGCCAGCACGGCTTCTGAAGCCAATAGCTCCACAACTTTTAATGCCAGCAATGCAAGTTCAAGCGGAAGGCGGCTCATGACCGATTCGGGTTTTTTCGTTTTGGAGGACGAAGATGATGTTGGCTCGCCCATGGAACTTGACGCAACTGGAGAAGAATTCGAAAAGGACGACGCTTACCCCCGAAAAAGAACGAGCAGAGAGCGACAACGGAAGTTGAGCACTTCGTCGGCCGCAACCTCCACCGAAGCGCAGACGGTTGTGGAGCTGCAGGAATTCGTAATATCGAATGTGTTGATGCCAGACACGCCGCCAATGCTTTTCCCAGACGACAAGGTGACGCTTACACTCTCCTGCGGCGGCCTCGGGTGCAGCCCCAACTTCTTTGGGTTTTACTCCCGCACGCCAGACTGTGCCCAGCCAGCTACTGAGGTGCAACGGTTCGAGGGCACGGGTGCAACGTACTACAACTTGACGGAGGTGTATCCAGAAAAACAAAACAACCCAGCATCTTCGCAAGGCCTTCGTTTACACATGGACATGCACTTTGCGAGAGAACAACAACTCAAGGAGTGATGCGTGAAAATAATGTATCGTCTTCGTGGTCAAGCTACTTAAGCGCCACAGTATTTTTTTTTACATTTTCACGTTATTTCTGTATTACTATACACACGCGAACACAAGAATATGATTGAATTTGTCACTGTCATTCCGGAGTAATTTCTGATGCAGCCGCAGCGCTTCGCCACCTTCCAACAGTGTGAAGATAATTGTGCTGGTGTAGATATTTTTTTTCCTGGACAAATTGTATCTGACGCTGGATCTGCGAAAGTTGTACGGCTTTTACTACGTGTGTTTTGCACGGAGCGAAGCGCCCGATTTGCGGGTGATCAGTTTGAGTACGGGACTACACAACGCAAGCTTCGCTCCCGATTCCTTCGGACCTGCAAGCCGGGTGCCGATGGTGGAGCACGGTGTGGCTCATCGCCTGGCAGACAGTTCTACCAGCATGTTGGTGGATCACACCGGCGCGGGGCAGGAAACGGAAACCCACGCGCAGTCCTCCACCGCAACGGCGGAAAGCATGGGGGTGGCGCCGCCGGACGAAACGGCTCACGATTACTTGTTTTCCGGTGAATTCTACGAAGGTCACTTTGTGACCGGGTTTCCGCGGGACCGGAACCCGAAGTTGCAGTTCGTCAAGCGATATGCGGGGCGGGACCAGATATACTATCTGTCGCACGCCATCTACCCTGGGCACGCCACGCTGGACGGCAAATTGACGTGGCACTCGATTCCGGACGTGGTCTGCAGCGGCATCCGCGTGTTTGTCTTCCCCGCGCACTCGTGGGAGTACAACTTTCGCGGACCCCGGCCGATCTCGCTTCGCAGCCCCGAGCCCGCGGTTTTTCCTCCCGCGAACTACTACAACCCGGGTGGAGGTGCTGGCGCCGTCGACCCGGCGGACGAGCTGAGAGCGACCTTCCTGGTACTCCGCAGCAACAGTCCAGATCCCGTGGAGTTCTACCTCGCCAATACGACGCGGTCGGAGGAGGATTTCGAGCCCATCTCGCCCTACCGGCAGACCTCGTTTTGCGGGACGCCGGGGGAGATCGTGGAGTCCACGCGCACCCTCTTTCGCTCCGCGCCGAGCACGGACGCCCGGGCCACCGAGGGGTACCCACCAAACGAGTACAAGCTGTTCGCGTACGTAAACACCAAGGACCTGAAGCCCCGTCGGTTTTACACGGTCTGCACGAACGGACTCGGGCAGTTTCAGTTGCTGAAGGTGTGGACCACGGACCTGTTCGCTACCCCGAGCCACCTGACGCCCTACCCCACGACCTCCCTGGTCACCAGTTTGTTCCGCATGCGCCCGGAAGAGGTCTTCTCCACGGACCGCATCTTCCTCGGCGACGAGAACTGCCGGGTGGAGGATTTTTACCTGAAAGCCATCGGGAACTTCTCGGTCGTGCCAAGTTTGGACTTCGGCCCGCTACCGCCGACCCGCGCGCAGGTGTTGCTGACCAAGTATCTGAACTACGACGTACAGCTGAACCCCGACCAGGTGGTCAAGTTTCATTGTCCCAACGCGCGCTCCTCGGGCTGCGTGGAGGGCAAGACGTTCCTTTTCCTCGCGAACGTCACCAATTACACCGTCCCGCTGGGCGACCGCCGCTACACGGGCAACTGCGAAGAACAGGTCACGCCGTCCGTGCCCGTTTCCCTGGACCGGTCGCAGCTCGTTTTCGGAAACTTGACGGAGTTCGTCAACTTCACCGCCACTGTGGACGTTCGCACACTGACCCCGATGCAGCGCTACTCCGTCTGCATTGATTACGACGGCAGCAGCACAACCTTCAGCTCCCAGGGCGGCACAAAGACCACCGCCTACGCGCCGGTCTTTCTGGACATTTTGTTCGTCAACCCGGTGTATGCAACATTGCAAAAGTAAAAATATCTGGTGCACTCCGTATCAGTCCTGGAAATTGCAATTTTCTTCAGTTGTTGCTCGGAAACAAGCAGATTATTTGTCATGCAAAGCTGCAATTTGTACTTCACTTCTAGTTAATTTGTGCTTCCTCGCCCACCCCCCGGGGAGGGGATCCTTGGCCTGTGGCGCTGGGTACGGGTGTCCACTACATGATGACGATGATGATGATAGTAGGCAGGCAGCGATGCTTTTACTTTTGCAGAGCATACGGCACGCCGGTTCGTGCCCAAGGGGTTCGTGCACTTCGGGACGCCGTCGACCTTCAACCTTGAGGGTTTTCCGCTGTTCCCCACCACGAGTCCGGACTATTTCACGACGGTCACCTTTTCCGACGGGACCGTGCAGACGTCAGTGACAGACTCGCTGGATGTCAACGCGGTGTTCGCGTCCGGGACCATCCTCGGGGCGCCGCTCACCTCGCGCGAGATGGTTTTGTACTTTGCGATGGAGAAATCTTGTGACGGCCTGACCGACGACACGCCCTTCTACGCGATTAACCCGGTCGCGAAGGCCGTCACCGTTATCCCCCGCGGGGCGCACCTGTGCATGCGGGTCATCGAACGGTCGAAGGTGACGAAAACCACGATCGGCATGTGGACCGGGGATACGCGGCTGAAGGTGGAGGACGTGTTAGCGAAACACCCGGAAATCTTCCTGACCAAGTTCCAGATCTGCGAGATGCCGGTTTGGAACCCCACTTTAGTGACCCTTCTCGCCACGGGGCGCGAGATCGCGCTCTACGGCGGGTCTCTCGGCGTGGAGGCCATTCTGAGCGGGTTCCAGGGCGGCTCGGTCACCGGGTTTCAAGCCTCCAAACTTGGGCCGTTCCTGTGCTTCACGCACTGCGCGGACGTGGAGTCCACGACCCGGAGGCTCTTTCTTTCCTCCTTTCCGCGCGTCGAGCAGCAGCTGCAGATGGACTACGAGAAGAAGCGCGTGGACCCTAATTGCTTCCTGTCCGGGATGTGGTGTCCCAGCGTGTGCGAAACGAAGCTCGGGTTGTACGACAGGGACGCGTTTGCGCTTCGGTCCGAGCTGGTCACGTCCGAGTACGGCACCGGTGACGAGTTTTGGCTAAACCTGCCGAACAAAACCGAGATGCGTCCCGGGAAACACTACACGCTCTGCCTCTTCTTCAGCGCGCGCGACACCCGCGCCGCCCAGAATCCGCGGTTTATGACGCCGCTCGCGTCTCGCCGCGTGTTTCCCCTGCCCTACGTCCAGGGTCCCTACGCGGAGGCAACTTTGCCGAGGAGCAACGAGCTGCCGGAGCTCAACTATTTTGGCGACTTCAGTAAAACCGGACTGCGGGCGGTGACGTACGATCCGAGGAACGACACGGTGCTTGCTGGCTCGATAACGCCGCCCGCGGACCGGAATTACACCATCACGGAACAGGATGTATGCATTGCAAATTATGCGTCCTCTGGGTCTGGATGGATGCACATTTGTCATGCTTGGCCGACAAGACTGAACACAGGCTGTCATGCTTGTCGCGCTACAGTATCACTTGTTTGTCATGACAAAATGCTATGTGTCATGCGGGAAACGAACGCGAACGCGTGACCTAGCCGCTCAGAAACTTGTGGTCGTGCGTGGTCCTGTAGTAAAGTTGATAGAGGCCACTTATATACTTCGGACATTAGTATCACAACTTTCCTCCAGACGCAGACATATTTGCAAGGCATAGGACGCGCTCGACGACAACTTTACGCAGTTAGTCTCGTCGGGATACGACGTTTACATTTCGCCGGTTCTGCAAACGGAGTACCGCATCGTGAAGCCGCTGCCCAACCAGCAGATCCGCGTGTTCTGCCCCATGGTGCACAACGAGGTGATTTGCCGCAACGACACGGCGCAGTTCTTCCTGGCCGACCACCGGGATTGCCTAGAGCGCAACCGGCGAACGAGCTACAGCACCTGGCGCGAGGTGCAGTCGGACCCGAACTACGAGACGGGGGTGGGCCACGCCGAGGGCATCCGGTCCAGCACGTCCGAGCTCGCCCCGAACCTGGACGAGATCCACTCGGACGAAGTGTTTCTCTCCAACGGGCGGCACTACGTGTTCCACGAGCAGCCGGGCTACTTGCAGCAGAACCGCACGTTTGTCGTCACCATGGACACCTCCCGTCTGCTGTCCGACTACTTCTACTACCTCTGCGTCGACGTGGATGGCATCGACCGACGGCAGTGGGACGAGAGTTACTCGGGCTGGAGCGGGGTTTTGGTGTACGTGACCCCGGTGCACCAGCTGAAAGACAACACGATCCGCCAAAACGCCTCGGAGCGGATCACACTTTTCGCGGAGGAGGGGCTCACGCTGGGGTTTCTGGACAAGGTGGTTCCCCCAGACGCCAATTTGACGTATGACATGGATAGCAGCGTGGTCACCCAGATGTGCCGGGACAACAGTTCGGAGCGAAATTTTACTCGGACAACGGCTGCGTCCGCACAAGTCGTGGAAGCCGACCTCGCGTTTGGCACCCTGGATGGCTTTCTCCGCCCGCTGGTGGAGTACAGCCTCGAGGTGAACGCGTCCGCGCTGCAGGAGGGCGTTCACTACGTCTTGTGCGCCCAGCGCAACCGCAGTCGCGACGTGGCCCTGCAGCAGTCGCTACTACACAACTGGACCGCGTTTGCCTCGCTCGACGCCCCTTCCGGGCGGGACGTCCTGTACGCGCAGGACGGGCAGAGCCCGATCTACGCGGCGGTCACGGACTTGGCCCGGGTCGAGCACGCCTCGCTGCTCTCCCTTCCCGGCCACCAGGGCGTCACGCTGGAAAGCCATCAAGTGGTGCCGACGCTCCAGCAGAACAACTGGTATCCCCTGTCGCTGTTCGGGTCCAGTGACCAGCGGGTGTTCGTGTCTGGGTTCCAGCGCTTCCACAACGTCAGCATGATCCTGGGCCAGAGTAACTACAGTGTCAGCTGCACCGCCTGCGAGCTGGTGGGCCGATACGCCTACATCAACTCCGATGCGGAGACCCGGGTGCATCTGGCCCCGACCGTGGACCAGTGCGGGGAGCGCCCGTGGACGTTCTGGACGTACACGGTGAACGCGCCGCCAAAGTGCATCGAGGTGTCACCCTTCCCGGATCTGATCATCGAGTGCTTTCCCGACGTCACACGGAAGCAGATCTGGACCCCTAATTTCCTGGATTTCGTCAAGTACGGGGCCTATTACCAGATCTGCCTGAAGCACCAGCACAGCCAATGGGGCAATGCTGCGGTCGACGATGTGTACGTGTCGCCGGCGACCGCAGAAGTTGACGTCACTCTTGTCCGCGGGCGGCGAGACTTCTTTGTCACCTTGAGTTGCTACTACGTGTGCCACTTGCAGGATCCCTCGCGGAACTTCACGACGCACGATCCGAGTTTGACCACCATGGAAAAGGGAAACATACCCTACCTGAAGTACTATCGTTTCGCCACCTGGGAAAGCATCGCAGACGCCTACAATGTGAGCAGCAGCGACACTGCGATACTAGTGACAAGGTAAGAAATCATCGAAAACACATTACTTCTTGTAGTTTTGAAGTAAGAAGAGCTGTGGATGTTGAGCTTTTTTTTTGTGCGCCGGCGTGCAGCGCCAGCACGAGTAGCGGGTCGAAGCAGAAGTTGCAGGAGACCAGGGTCCTGGTAGCAAGGCGCACTGCCGGGTATTGTGCGAGCGGCATGGCTTGACATTCATACACTCATAAGTCGTGCTTGCTATAGTGCTATAGTAGAAGCCCGGAAAAACTCACGTGAACATCAGATACTGCACGTCGGAGTGCGATCACGCGAAGGGATTTTTGCGGCCCATCGAGCAAAAGACGTGCGACCGCTCCGCCACCCACGGCATTGCAGTGGATCCCCTGCCGGGCGACAATTTCAACAAAACGATCACCACGGTGCTGCAAAAGAGTGGCACTCCCGCAGAATGGAACGAGCCGCTCCTGATCGAACGGAGGATTACGGGGATCTCAGACGTTAGATTCTCAAGAACTGTATACATAATTTGCCATGCAAAATTGCCATCAGCGCCCACCCCCCGGGGAGGGGATCCTTGGCCTGTGGCTCTGGGTGCGGGTTTCCACTACATGATGATGATGATGACACGGCCAAACTACTTCGCACGACAAATCCTCAAAGAGCTAAATAGAATTGCTATCTGCGCCGCACTTGTGATGTAACAGTTGGAAGCTCCCGCCCGTTTCCCCTTTCAACTGTTGCCATTCTCGCATCACAAATTCATGTATACAGCTGAGATTATCAGTAACGTTTTAGAACGCCATAAGGATGAGGCTGCTCGTCGAGACGGAAGCGTACGCGCCGCGGGCGTACTACGGGGTCTGCCTCAACACGGGCTACGGCCCGGGTCCGGTGCCCACCTCGGCTAGCATCTTCGTGCGCGACCAGGGTATCAAGAAGTTCCACACGGTCGGATTTGTGTTGGGAAACGCAGAGTACGTTTGGTTTGATTGCGACGGATGCGTGCCGGGGGTAACCCGCGCATTCCTCCAGGAGTACAGCATCGATGACAAGTGCTATCCGCAGTTCTACGAGCTGCGTACGGCGAGTGGGAAAGACGAGGGGCGGCCTGACCCCACGCTGCGGTCCGACAGTTTGTGGCTTCTGGACTCGCGGCAGTTGACGCCCAACATCCACTACTACCTGTGTCTGGACCTGGACGGAGCGGACAGCGACATAATGACCTACGAACTGGTTGACGCGACGTTTCTCGGGACCGAGATTCACGCCCTGTTCTACAGCATCATAGCGATGCAGTACGACCCGCGCGCTGCGTTCGCGGAGCGGGACCAGCACATCTACGTGGATTTGCCCTACTGGGGCACCAACGGCAACCGCGCCTTCTGGATGCTCGAGCTGGAGCGGTGCCGGCAAGGGGTGAACATTAACGACATCCAGGACACGTCCCAGTCCGGCGCCAACTGGAATTACGATCCTAACGGACTCGACGACTGGAAGCACAGCCGAGTCTTGGAAGTGAACCCCACGTCGAGTCTCGCTCCCCAGGTCGGGGAGTATGGCCGTGTCCCGACTCCGCGGGAGGACAGCGACTTGCTGGTGTGGTACGGCAAAACGCACCTGACCATGTTGCGTTCCGGCTATTACTACCGGATCTGCGGCGCGGACCAGCTGGGCCGGGGCATGGGCGATACGAATCTGAAGCTCTTTATCTCGCCCGTGCTGGAGTTCGCCACCGAGTCCGCCGAGCCGGAGCGGCGGCAGGAGGTGCGGTTTTCCTGCCCCGAATGTTACGAGAGCGAGACCCTGGCGTTCCTCGACTACAACTGCTCCCAGGCGCTGCAGCCGTTTCTCAAGTTGGCAGAGATAGAAACCCGCGCGCAAAGTCTGAGTAGCTCCCTGCAAGCCGAGTGGACGTCTTTGCTGACGAGCCTCGAAAACACGCCCTCCTACTACGTCGCCACGAACGACGTGAGCGAGCACAAGTACCCGGACCCGACCGACCACGGGATACCTGCCCCCGCGATTTCGCCGCTCGTCGACTTTGTCGCGGCGCACCTCTATCCGCAGATGACCACCACGGTGAAGAAAGCGATCCATTTGGTGTACGACGCGAACCTCGACACGCCGTTGTTCTTGATCCCCTACAGCACCAACGTGACCGGCACGAGCGCGGTCAGTCCCGCTCCGCTAGAACCGCCCGGCGAGTTTCGGGCAATCGTCGGACTGGACGAGGCCGCTCAGCTATCCACTGCAAATTAATATCGACGATCTGGGCCCTCGGGGAGAGCTGTGCATTTGTTTGTGCCAATGGCTGTGCCATGCATCTTGCTTCTGCCATCAGAAGATTACAGATACAGATGAAACTAGGCAAGATTATGCTTTTTGCATCAGCTGCTTCTAGAGCTGGAGTATTGGTATGGCACGCGAAGCGTTATAGGTTTTGAGAAGCCCGCTCCCAAAACATGGGTACTCCTGTGAGAAATAGGGTATATCCGTTGCTGGAAAGAGACGTCAGCGCCATTTGGCACGCGTGCAACACCGATTTTTGTCTGCACGAGGTGGAGAATGAGTATCACAAAGGTGCAATGAACTCGTGGTCGAGACCCAGACATACACAAATTTGCGATGCATAGCAACAGGGGGAGTACTACCGCAAGCAGCTGACGAACACCCTCCCGGTGCACACCAACCTGGAGGCGTGTTGCGGGTTTCGGTACCAGCTCGTGTACCACGCTCGAAGCCTTCTTCAGCAGCCACGGTACCCGGTGAGTTTGGGAAACGACACGTGGTCCATGAGCGTGGACTTTAGCTACGCGGAGAAGGGCCGACATTACGAGCTTTGCATACGGAGGAACACCACTCTCCCAAGCGGACCGTCCAACTGGTATGTTTTCGTGAATCCGATCCCGAAACGGCTAGACATCACGATCAAGATGCTGAACCTGGAGCCGGCAAGGCTGCACTGTCCCGTGTGCGCGAAGCGCGCTAACAATCCCAACGTGTACCAATCGCGACTCTATTTGACCGCCGAGCCGGTGTGTAACCCGTCCGGAAAACGCACCGAGGTACAGTACCTGCACACCAGCGCGCAATTGGTCACAATCGACGACGTGGTGCCCGGGTTCAACGCGCTGACTCGGCAAAATGCCAAGGTCATGCGTGTATCACAGGTGTACTTGTTACACAACTCCCCACGTTGTGGTTGTCCTTCTCGTTTGTCATGAAAAATGCCATCAAGAGGGAGAGCGGCCACATCCACCTTTGCCTTGTGACACTGTGTACCGCGTGGCAGGGTCGGAACCCGAAATTCCAGCGCTAGAGACCTTAATTACCAAATCTTTATTCAAAAAAGAGAGGCTCCTTTGCAACGCTTGGTCCCAGTCAACGCCTGCTGGGACCACGATCCTATAAACATCGTGCCTGTCCGTTTTCATTCAGGGGTCGGGGGACTGCGGGGAGTTGTGCACTCTGATAGTGCGGCGGCCAGACTTACAAGATGTGCATAGACGTTATGGAGCTCTCAAACGTTACATGCTCAACTGTTACATGATTTGTCATGCCAAATTAATGAGCATCAAGATCAACATCCACACGGTGAACGTGAAGGCACTTCGCGCAACAACTTTTGGAAGGGTTAAGCAGCAGCAGCACCTAGAAAATCTGTGCGGAATTTGCAATGCTACAAGTTATGGCAAAAATCAATAGAAGAAAGGTCCTCGCACCTGTAGCATTGCAAATTCATGTGAATAAAGTTGAGAGTGTAACGCTTGAGCGCACCATATACGTAGATGGTCCGGGGCCGCTCGCGCCGCACACGAACCACTGGCACTTGCCGACCATGCGGTACGGGTACGCCAAACCGCACACGATTTTCGTGTCCCCCATTCTAACAGCGCAACGGACCATCTACGATGAGGGCTCGCAAACAATCGACATGGTCTGCCCGGATCTGGTGTCCGCAGTAAATTTCCCGTACACAGCGACGATGTGCAAATGCGGATTCCGCATCCACGACGAATCTTATGCTTGCCTCCCATGCTAGAAGTCCTCAGTGGGACAAGTCGCGGCGTTACAGCACTCGTCTAAGTTGTTGGCTAATAGAAATAATTTGTGATCCATTTTGTGCCACCAGCACGTCGTGTGCGGGAAATTATTTGTGTTGCATATCTGGGTTGCGTGGACGGGCAAAGCATCATCTTCCTGGAGCAGTTTGAGGCTGGGAAGGACCTGCTTTTGATCTGCAAGAACCAGGGGCTGGACAGGCGGTCGGATCCGTTGCCGCAGGTGGACGTGGCCAAGTTGACGGCGGTCGCGAACAACTTCCGCGTCACGGTGAACTCGGCCCAACTGGTCCCAGGGTGGTACCGGATCTGCTTCGACTACGACGGAGTGAGCGGCGCCCTGGTCCCCGGTTGGTCCGAGCACGACGTTTACAACTCGGGGGTGTACAACGCGTTCTCCACGGGCCTCGCCAAAACCACTAGCATGTCGGTCTTCGTGAACTGCAACGGCTGCTCCGAGGCCACCACCATCGCCTACTTCAGTCGCGATTGCGAAGTCACATACACTATCCAGAAGAAAAACGTTCTTCCAGCACCTCAGTCTCAGAGTTGTCATGCAAACGTGCAAGCTTCACAAGTACAAGTTGAAGTTTCTCATGCGCAGCCCCATGGGGTGGTGGAGCATACTGTAATACTGTCTGGCAGGAGTTTGTCGTGCTAGAATCAGGGTAAGGAGGTAGATTTGTAATGCAGCTACAATTGCCAAACGCGATTAAGTACACTGCGAGCGCCAATAAAACCTTTTATGCGCGCCAGCCAAAAGTAGGAAAATCCTGATCTTGACTCTGAGGTGAGGACGTTTTTGTTCACAATATACACTGTTTTTGGAAACAACCGCACACCAAGGCTGAAGGTGGAAAGGATTACGCAGGTGGGTTTCCCCTACGGGTGGCGGCTCACCGGAGACACCAGTCTGCTCACCTATTCCTGGTCGTACCGGCTATGCCTCAGCGTCAGCGGAAACACCACGCAGGAACCTATTGGGACAAGTTTGAAATTTTACGTGTCCCCGCTAGAAAATGTATACAACTTTTATTATATTGATTCACAGTCCTCTCGTCTTACACTTCTGATGTGGCGCTTTGAAAATATCTGGTTGCTAATACTTAATTGCTTCGTTGACTATTTCTGCTTCAAGTTGAAGTTGTTCGCATGGCTACGTACAAAATTGGGATGCTTCGTGCGGTGTTTTTATTTGCCATATAAATAAAACTACAAGATATCCACACAACGGAGTCGTGAGTTGGGTACCAGTTATTTTTCCAATATAACCAAACACAGGTGAACATGATGACCGTGTTGCCGCTCGAGTTCCTGATGTATCGGTTCACCTGTTTTGCCTGCGACACAAGCATGATCGCCTACATTAGTTACCAGTGCGACACGCAGGATGGGTTGAATCCGGTGTACCGGAAGGAGGGCTATTTCGATTTGTACATATGCTCTGCAAAAGTATCGCACTGGCAGTAATTGCAGTCATGCATAAGAAATTTTTTTCTTAAGGTGTATCAGCATGACATCCGTTTCCCATGCTGGGCTAATTTGTCATGCGATTCAATATACTAGTAGGCGCGATACTTTTGCAATGCATAGCACACCTCGCAAAGCAACTTTCTGAAGCGAGACAAGGTCCTATCAGAGCGCAAAACCACTCGGAGACGTCCCCCTCTGCTAGCATGAACGCCAGGGAAGGCAGAAGCTATACCAGGAGTGCAGAATTACACAAAGTTTGTGTGTGAAGAAGATAGGTTCTTCATGTTGCACCGACTGCAGATCTGTATGGATGCTCGTTGGTCATGCAAGAAGTGCTTCCAGAAGGCAACACCAGGATACAACAGTAAATGTGGGGAGCCGGAACGTCGAGGAGTTGTGCACAGTCATAGGGCCGCGCCGAGCAACCGACCGAGTTCGATTGGGCCCTGGAGATCGATGCCGCGAACCCGCTTCCCGGCCTGCGTCTATCCTGAGTAATTAATAGCTGTTGTAGCCGCACTCCCAGGACATTGTGACAAATCCACGCTGGTATCATCCTGGTTAGGGCATGGACGACCCTCTCGCAAGACAGTAGAGAACGCCTCTCAACAACAACATTTGGAGCCGCTTGTATGAGACGCACACACGACATGATAACCCGGGAATCATGGAAATTTGTATGACGTCAGCATCTGGTGTGAGTACAACTACGTTATTTTTACACAGGATGGCTTCCCGGACGACACTACAGTTTATGTGTGTTGCAAAACGGTGAATTGGGAAACGCGGTGCCGAACATCTACACCACCCCGATTTTGAAGAAACCTCTGTGGAACTGGCGCCCGTCCAACTTCTCCAGCTCAACCTTCACAGCCGCGATCGGAGACAATGTGTGGATCTACAATGAGCCGGAGCCTTTGTACATTCACCCGGGCGGGATGACGGTGTGTGCGTGGTTTCAAATGACGCCTTTCGACTATCAGACCAAGACCAAACCCTTCTTCCCGCTGAATCCCATCATCGATGGCGAGCGGTACGGCATCAACATCATGGCCAACACGCTGGAGATATCTTTTGTAAAGACGACGCACCCGCCATCCCATAGTCAAGACGGGAATTATTCTGCAAGACAAATAAATCCAAAACTTGTATATGGGAGTCATGCGTCGGCGACGTGACAAGCTTGGCTATAATGCTGCGTTGCCGTGCCAAGCTAGTCCGGACGCGTCGCAAGTCCGCTCTCTTTTCCTGCACTTCGACTTCGCCCGACAATTTTACTTACAGACATGACGTAGACTAGAAAAATGCCAGCCGGGTCGCGCGAGATGTTTTGCGCAAGCAGATTTGCATGACAATCCTGAGGGCGCGGCGGGGACGTCTTTACTCAGGACAGGAAATCAACTTCTTCGTGCGTGACGACATGATATGCGTTTGAAATATGTCTGGGCGGTCTGGAAAGATGCAGGCAATATGTCTTTTTCGTTTTTACTGATGGAAGCAGCTAGACCAGCGCATGGCAGCATCAAGTGCAGCTGCATTTGTTGATTTACTTCTCCGCCTCTTGGTTGCGAATTCATTTTCATTGGTGGTAATTCATGTATTTTACAGTTTTAATCGGGCTTGCAGCAGCTCAACCACTGGAAAACTCGCTTTTATTCCTCTGCATCTGTCAGAGATGTCTATTTTGCCTTCGAAATCTTGCATCTCTGACATTTTTGTAATTGCGGTTGATACCTGACGGAGGGCTACAAGAAGGGTATCACGTGCGGCGTGACCACGGGCATCCATCATGTCTGCGGTGTGTGGCAGGCCACGAGGGAGAGCATCGGGCAGGGACGTTTTCTGTACTTCACAAGTTTGAAGATTTTCCTCGACGGCCGCATTTGCAACGAGAAGCCGTACGAGGGAACCGGCGTGATAGAAAAGGACTGGGACTACCTGTACACCATGGTGGGCGCGGAACGGCGCTACATGACGGAATTCGAAGGCAGCATCTGGGATGCCCGGGTCTACGATGAACCATTCCATGATCGCCTGATTTATTCCCTGAAAATTACTTAACCATCCCCGTCCAGTTTGTCACGCTCACGCGAGACATGTTAGTAAGTAGTAAAGTCACGGCTTTGCAGTCATGCAAAAACTGTATGGGAGTGGTAAATTTTGAGGGAATAGGATTGAGCAGATTTACGAGGAAGGCTACGCCTACCCTGCGCTCTCGCAATCTCTCGTGCGCTCGAATGAAACAGACGTACTAGCTTTCATGCGGGTTTGTTATCACTGCGATTTCTAAGTTCGTTGCCACAACAGAAAAGGCCTTTCTTTCTCATGTTTCTGTTTCCTGTTGTGTTAGTAAGTAGATTTATGGAATGAAGAATGAAGCGCCATGCTGCACGACTCCTCTAGTTTTGAAACGAACGTCGAAATTCAAAAATACAACAGATCTACTTTTATTGTTACGTACCCTGCCTGGGCAGCAAGGTGGTTCTTTCGACTGACTGCGATGATCTCGAGGATCCGAGCAAGCGCGGGGAATTCGGGTCGGTAACAACGCAGCGGGCTGGTGTAATGGACATTCTGCCCACGACACCGGGTGGCGTCTACATATCGCACCAAAAAGTGCTAACATTAGAGGACGGATTTCGTACCCAGTAATACATCAGGATTCAGGAAAGGCGGCCAGCTTTGGATGAATTGCATGATATCATGCAAGCATTCTAGGAATTTTTTTGTCAATGCCCTAAAGATTAGTCGAAGCCGTTCTTTGCGCTAGCATTTTTTTTTGTTTGATACTGGAATTTATGTTTCAAGATTCAAGACCCGCCGATCAATTTTTCGCCGTACAATCCGAAGTACGGTGACACAGGGGTGCGCGTGTTCGTTCGTCCCAGGATTCATCTTGTGCAAGTTGTGAGTATTCAGGTTTCCAGTGCGCAGGTGATGGTGATTCAGGAGGCAACTTCGTTGTTTGCGTGCCAGCCCTTGCTGCCGGAAGAGGTAGGGGAGACGTTCCTGGTGTTACCCACCTGGATTCGGGAACGGGGCATCCTCGCGAGTGGTTGGACCCAACTCCCCGCGGAGAAAGCCCTGTCCGAGTATGGGGTCTCCTCCGACGTGCCGCTCTATCAGGGATTCGTTCCGTTGGACAAACTCACGCCAGACGTGGGCTACACGGTCTACTGCGCCGCGCACCTAAACGAGGACGAAATCTGGATCCGCCCGTTTCGAACACAGGTGGCTGCGATCTTTACAGCCAAACTGCGCATTCACGACGTGCAGCAGGGCCATCTGCAGTATGGAATGCACAAAAACTACTACGTCCCCGCCGTCCCAGCTTCGTCATCGACAAATCTGCATGCCTGAAATGTTTCTCATGCGCAGCCTGCCTATGAGGAGTGTTTTCTACCGCTAGCGTCAGGAGTTTTCGTTTTGGTGTCATGGCCTGAGTAGCATAATGTCATCGATTTCTGATCCAACTGCTTCCGCTTCGCTAAGCACGGCTACACTTCAACTAGGCCTCAAGTTGCAATCTGCAACAGTCAAACCTAAAACTTCTCGGCTTGTGCAACAGAGTGACACAGCAGCTGTCATCTTGGCTATGGGTGCTGGGGGATGTTTTTACAGACGATATGCAGTCGCCCTACCACAATGGCCTCGTTATTCGTGCGACGGCACAGGGTTCGACCTTTGTCCAGTGTCGACTCGTCGGGCCCAACCGGATTTACCTCGCGAACTCTCCAAGTGCGCGGGAAGGCGAAGCGCCCGACGGCAGCACGCTCAACAGCACAGTACCGGGACAAACCATCTACAAAGGTGTAGTTTATTGCTCTTCTTGTTATTCTTGTGATGTTGTCGGTCGCGACGCTCTGCTCAACAAAGAAATGGAAAATGGTCAGAAGTAGTTGTCGTGGTTGATAACTCCTCTACTAAAATATGAAAATAATATAGAATTGTTGTTGTCGTGGTTGCAGTACTTGCACAAGTCCTTATGTATGGTCCTCCTCTGATGTACTAGTTCTAGTTCTCGTAGTTCTGTGATCCACAGCACACCAACAGGGCCATCGTGTTTCAAGTCGAGCGCCGTACCTCCCTACCAGCTGTCGGATTTCCTGTATCCGACGACGGGTCCCGAGAACGGGACTGCGGCTGGGTGCGGGTACAGCAACCTCACCTACTGCCCGGACTACTGCAGCGTCGGGATCGACGGGTTGTACCCGGCCTCGGACTATGAGTTTGAGTGCTGGACCTTGTCCGTGCCCCACGAGCGCCTGAACGGCACCGGGCGCACCGCGGTGCCCCCGCTCGCGTGCGGCGGGTTTCTGTGCGTGGCCCTGGATTCCCTCACGGGAATGTTGACGGAATGGAACGTGTCCGCCACCCGTTACCTGCCGACCGCCAGCAACTTTCCTCTCCGGACGGTGGACACAAACGGGCAGACCTCCTGTGGTGTGCTGGCCGCCGACGTGCGTGTGGACGTGCAGATGACCAACCACCACGTGGAGTGTGTGGGGGTGCAGGCAAGTTTGTTCCAGGACACCACCCAGCCGTTCTTCTCCGTCTCCCTCGGCGAGTTCCACAAGTGCAGCGTCAGCCGCGGCCTCATCGCCAGTTTGAAGTGCGCCGGTGATGTATCCAATCGAAAAGAGTAGTAGCCCCAGTGGTTGTAGTAGTTCCAGAACATCAAAAAACGTTTCTCTCGCGGCGAATTTTTCACATTCAAAGAAGAAGAGCCTCCCTTTGGGGGCTGCTTGCATGAAAGGATTGGGACTCGCTCCTGGTGCGGGTCTTTCAGATTGTGGGCGCGCGAGCACATGATCCACGCGTGATTCCGTACATGACAAGCTCGAGTTCATCTTTCTTGGCCTTTTTGCAATGCAGTTTCTTATTGAAGAACCTCAACCTGCATCGAACTCGAAGGCGCGCACTTGTCCACCTCCTGCGGTGGCAACTGTTTCCAGGAGTAGTTGGTGGTATTGCAGCTACTACGGAAGTAGTGGTCGTGGTCGGGCCGAGTTCTGGACCGGCAACCAGGGGACTTGTTTTCATGTTGATATGACGACCGGTGGGGGCAGTTAGTCACGCTCCGTGGCGAGGAGCTGGTGACCAACTACCTAGACGTTTCGTGCGGCTGGACGCACTGCTGCGCACTGTCGACAACCTTTGCGCTCAAGTGCTGGGGCTACCTGCCCAGCGAGGTAGCCGCCCCCGCGGGGGAGGTGCGGTTTGTGCAGGTGTCCAGCGGCCGCGGCTACAGCTGTGGGGTACGCGCCGACGACCGGCGGGTGCAGTGCTGGGGCACGAACGAGTTCTATCCCAAGAAAATGAATGCGCTTACATGTTACAGTCATGCGTTAGCGTTCGGTGGAAATTCAGCATCGAAAAGTAAGAAAGTAGTTTCGCACCATGTAGTGTTGACAAAGAAAGGTTTTCATTGAGGATACTATCCTGATGATCTCTGAGTCTGACTCTGCATGACAACGCATGAGACTTCTGGGCTCGCGTGCTTAATATCCGGCATGACAGACCTTGCCCGTCGTCTTGCCTAGTCTGCGAGAACGCATCAAGGCCCGGTGTTGTAACTGTAGTTGTCGTACCTTTTTTCTTTGCATTCGTTTGGGCAGTCCATTCCCAGCAACGCCACCCTGCGCGACCTCGCTTTCGAACGGGTTGCGTGCGGGGTTCACCACACGTGCGGGATTCTGCAAGGCAGCCGGAAGATATCACGGGAAAAAGTGTTAACGTTAACGGAATTTGTGATGCGGCAACGCATCACAAAACGTGTCAGAATTTGTCATGCATAGCATGCATATTTATTGGGCTACATTTGTGATGCATGGCTGCCATCTGTGAAAACCGTTAACGTTAACACTTTTCCTTGGGATAGAAGATCGCGTGCTGGGGCGCGTTTGAGCTGGGGCAGCTGGATTTGGGTGCGGAAGTGGAGCAGGACGAGTTCATTAATGTGGCGGTCGGTTCCTACCACGCGTGCGGATTGAACCTGCACGGGTTTGCGCGGTGCTGGGGCCCAGGGATTCGGGAGGACGCCCTGATTCAGAATTTTACGCACCAGGCCCTACTGAAACAGGACCCGGACCGGACCTTCGACTACAATCTGACCGCTCTGCAGGAAGATTTCGTCTTCTACATACCGAGGGAGCGAAAGGCTTTGTCCTACAAAACGATCAACTTTTTGCCTTTGACGAGCAAGTTTGGGTTCGTGTCCGCCGGAAGCGGGGCGTCCGGGATCCCGAACAATTTTTCGATGTCCGACCCGGTATATCATAGGACCAGGTAGTAGTAGAACGGGCTGGCTGATTTTAGGAGTCGCCGAAGCGGCCACGGAGTTGTCCTCATCTGCGACGGCGGACTGCGACTGCGACGAGGGAAATAATTATATGGATACATAGACGTAAGAAATCAAATAATCTTGGAAGGAAACAACGCGAACCACCACTGACGAATTTATCTAGAAAATATACAAAGAGGAACAGAGAGGCACAGACAGAAAATGGCTGTGCCAAGAAATCTTCAACTTTGCATAGCCCCTGCAGACACGACAGAAGTAGCAGCGCGGATCCGTGCTCTTTTCTTTGTAGCGCGAGACCGAAACAGACCTTTTTTGTACACGTCACGTATATTGGAGCAGAAGTCATTTTGATTTGAAATTGCTATTTACCGCGAAGAGCCCGTGCACAAGCTGTATCTTGTTTTTTTTTCTTTCTTGCAACAAGCCACCGTAAAAATGAGGTAAAGGTGCACCTTTTTTCTTTTCCTAAGCTCACAGACGGATTCTCCCCTGGGCCCTAAGAACGGTCTAGTCTAGCATCTTTTTTCGAATCGGTTGTGTACAAGTAGATTTCTAGCGGAGGTGGACTAAATCACGAATCTCGTGCATCTTGTGCTGGAGTGTTTTCTATACAACTGCGATGAAACTCTTCGACTCTCCCGCCACGAGAGACTTATTGATGACTCCAGTACGGGACCGCTAGCGATACTTTGGTATTAGCATCAGGATCAGATCATCGGCGACGATCACGCTCATCATCGCTATTCACGGCAGGTTTCACCTTCCATGTTCTCCGAAGAGCAAGCATTTTGTGTGTATTGGTAGCAAGTGTGTTCTTGTGTTTGTGATTCTGGTGTGGCAAGGCATTGGCTATGAGATTGAAACAAAAGCGAAAGCGTCGGTGTAGTTCTTTTGCACGTCTAGAATCGAGGAGCGCAGCTGCAGAGTGGAGTTCGGATAGGAACATTATAGCGTGCTTTTCCCCTCCCTGCTGACACTCACCGGGGTGTTCTGGTTTCTGAGAGCATGTCCCTGAGTATGCTTCCCAGATTTATATGCCGCACTGACAAAGAACAAGCGAAGTACTGGAAGTCCCAATATCAATTCATTCCAAAAAGAAGTAGACATGTAAGAGCAAGAGCCTGTGACATGAGTATTTGTTACCTGACACCCCCGCTCCAGTTCCTATATGAAGATATTGCCCACGCTCAGGAAGTATTTCATTTATTGTGTATATTCAGCCACTCAAACTCAAAATTATTCAATTTCTTTTTCATATTTTGATTGTCTGCGCAGAGACAAAAAAACTTTTTTCTGGGCTACAGACCCACAGAACAAAGACTAGAAACAAAAAGGACAACAGGTATGGCTTGCTTTGCGCCGAAGAAGGCTTGGCGAGACTTCGAGGAGGCTATCTTCGTTACGTGGCCCGGAATCTGCGAAGCCTTCGATACGTACGTTGGCCACGTGACGAATGCGCAGGAACAGGACGAGAATTACGGTGGGGCGAAGCAAGTATACCTGCGGAAGTGCGCAACGGAAAAAATTGCGGTGCACGAGAAGTTTGTGAATGGGAACAAAAGCTACGATCAGCTGCGGGTCCAGCTTTTCGAGTATCATGAAAAATTCTCGATTCACCATCACCGCGTTCGGCTGGCCATCGACCGCATGTACCTGGAATTAGAGCTGCTCCCTCCGGGCAAGCGCGGCTGCGTCCCGCCGTGGAGCCGGCGGCGCATGGCCAACGTATTCTCCCAGCAGCAGGACTGGATGCAGGCTCTATATCACGGGTTGACGCTGCTGGAAACCACGCGGGCTGTGATGTGGAAACTGGTGGACCCCAACTGGACCGGCACCCGCGATTCTGCGGCAGAGAAGGAAAAATTGACTAACCTGTCGGCTTCGTTTCTTTCCTCGCCATCAAGACGCGGTGAACGACCGGGGTCGCCCTTCTCGGAAGCGCTTGCGGCCCTGGATAACAACGAAAAAACGTTGCTCACGAGTGACATGCCGGGAATCACACACCCCGCCCTGAACGTGTTCGAGGTGGTATCCGAGCAGCGAATTATCGGTGACAACTACACGAAGACGAAGGGGGGCGAATCGGTGCAGTCGGCCACCAAGATGCGTTTTTTTCAAACCACCGCCAGTGCCCGTGCGGGCGAGCTCGTGTTCCCGGTGCCGATGCTGCGCTGCACCCTGGGCGAGGCGGTGCTGCTGATCGCGGACGTGTTCCGGAAAATGCTGTGCACGTACCTGCAACTTCCCCCCACGGCCGCCGGGCGCTTGCAGCTTCCCGTCCTGGCCCCGGAAATTCTGAAGCAGAACCGCAGCCGCGGGGTCTTCGCCCAGGAGGAGGTTGTCACGCAGCTGTGTTTGACCGCGTTGGCGCTGGCGCTCGTGCGCCTCAGTGTCAGCCAGCTGGCCACCTTGAAACAGCGGAACCCGGACAAGATCCAGCTCTACTACTCCTCCGCGTCGTCCGCCGTGTCCACCACCGTGCAGGATCTTTTAACGAAAAAGCAGGGACTCGTGAAGAGTGTGCTCGTCCTGGGCCCGGAGTGGGGCGCGGTAGAGGAGGGCGGAAAGTGGCTACGACAGAGCAACTACGCATTGGAAGCCCGTGCAGCGTCGTACTCGTACTAGTCCATGATAGAATGAATTGGAGCAGGGTCATTTTATATGGGCGACAACTTTTGATCTTGTAATTTTGTTGAACGTCGAGTAAAATAAATCACTGATCTGAAGTCATTCTTAGTGGAAGGAGGGAGTAGCACGCAGCAGCCTGTCAAAGGGCTCACTGCCAGCATTATCATCGTCATCGCTAAGCTTCGAAGATGGTGGCGGAATTATATCAGATATCTTTTATCTCAATGCATGAACCTCACATGGTACTCCACGGCATTATCGCCATCGCGCTTTATATATTTTTATTGTCATGACAATACTATGTTGCAATTCGTATGAGTGCGGTAATTTTGCACAGAATAGCAACAGTATGGAGAATCGGTGCCGGCGCTTGTTGGAGGTGATGCGCACCCTGCAAACTCTGTGGGGCGGCGGCTACCGGGTTCCGGGAACGGGGGAGTTTATCAAATGTAAAAATGTCTGGGTCTGGAAGATTCCGAGATTTGTCATGCAGTATTTCCAAGGTCCACCAAGTCTGGAATGCAGGGCATAGCATCACAGGTTCTGCAGCCCCTTGCTGATGCCCATTATGCATGAGAAATGCCCTCTGAGCATGGCGAGAAATGGGGACCTTTTGCAAGTCATGCAACACAGATTTTTGTATCATCCGCAACACGCATCACAAGTTCGTATTCTTCCAGACCCAGACTGACATTTTTACATTTGATGGAGTTGCAGTCGCTGCAATTTCCGAATTTTTGTGCGGAAAAGACGCAGGTTCTTCAGTTGGATGCAAACCTCGTGAAATTTATGGAAACAAAAGGAAAGCTGAGTGCTGAAACGACAGCCAAAGTGGCCGCACTGTTTGGAATAAGAATCGAAGATGCAGCAACTGCCATAGGACCAGGATCGGCCGCAACTGCAACTACCTTGAGAGACGTTGACGTGGCCTCCAAAAGCTCAGAGAATAGACCTGCTGTGGCCCCCAGCAGCACTAACGCGGACATCCACATCGGGGCTGCAACCGGAAGCGCAGCGACTGCAGCTGGTGCCCCAAACGCTGCGCCAGTATCATCCACCGTACCTGCGAAAGTGAAAAATAAAGGTGGCTCATCCGGTATGTGCTGTTGTGCCCAGGACGGTGACGCACAGGGTGCGGAGGCCGAAGCGGCGGCCGTGCCTGACGTCAAGGGCCTGGCACGATTTTCGATTGCATCGATCGACGATATTAGGGCTGGCGAGGGTGAGGAGGGAGATCCGCTGGCCGCTCTAGCACAAGGGCAAGATGATCCTAGAAGTACCAACAAGAATAATACGAATGGTGCTACCAGCGGACTACAGCTAAATGATTCGCCCGTCGTATCACCGCAAGCGCAAGAGGGAGCTGCCGACGGCCAGACAACGTTCGAGATCCTCTCTGGTGCCCCAGTCAAGGGCACAACCGCGATGGGGGTCGCTCGCAGTCGGGCGGAGAGCGGTGACAAGCGAGTCGTTGCTTTGAATGCCGCTGCAGCATTCAAGGTGGGCGGGGGTGCCTTGACCGGGGGTCGGCATGCGCTCGAGGAGTCGTGGTGTGCGACCACGACGCTGCTCCGCAGTTTGTTGCAGGCACAATTTATGGTAGAGCGTGGATCCATCGGACCGCGCAGCATTTCTTCCGGTCTACTCAAAGACAATCGTGCTTCAGTAGCAAGTGCCGCAACCACTCGCAGTCCGCGGATGAGTGCCAACGTCAGGGTGACCACCACCTCGACTGCGGCGACTACTCCAGCGCAGTCCAGCACGCATCATGGGGCAGAAAAACGATATTTTCCGAGTTACTCATGCGTGATGTCACCCAAGGTAGAAATTTTCCGCGGGTCCATCTTCGACAACTACAGATTCTTGCCGAACTATCAAGGCAAAAAAGTTCTTCGTCACGAAAACTCATTGGGTTCGGCTTCGGGGGCGGGCATGAGCTTTGCAATACAAGCAGCATATTTATTGTCTGCGAAGATGATCCATAAGAAAGCATCACAGGGAGTTGAATTGTCAAGTAGTATGCGATGTGATTACGGATGTGATTGCTTTTCTGCAACAAAAGAAAAAGTTGGAATCTTCCTTCGCAGGAGATGAAAGCTTCTGCAAAACCCTCCAAACCTGCCGATGAATAGTGACTAAAGCGATCTTTTTTCCTTCCACGCCCAACCAGTGGCGCTCGCTGGCGTGGTGTCCATTGCGGCCTTCAACTGTAATCCGAGTGTGCGTGACGCTCCCATCGACGCTCCGCAGGACCCCAGTGCGTATCGAGACGGGCTCCGCCGAAAGTGGTTTGTGGCACTGTGCGGCGCCGCACTTCTAGAAGGTCAGGTTCTTGTAGTTCCGGACGTCGGCTGCGGCGTGTTTCGAAACCCGCCCGAGGAAGTGGGCGACGCTTTTGCGTTTGTGTACTCGCAGTTTTTCGCCAACACATTTGAGCGCGTTGTTCTCTTAGGGAATCCAGCTTTTTGCGAGCGTGCTGCCGCCGGGGCCGCAGTCGTAGTCCGAGCGCAGTGAAGTGGACGAGCTCGTCCTCGCCGCAACTCTGTTTCGGTTTCCTTCTTCTTCTTCTTCACCTTCCTCTTCAGGAAGCAGGAGCATCAGTATATTCGACTCGCGAAAAATTTTGCGGAAAGGCAGCAGCTCTTGGTGCTACCAGCGGGAGCCTATCGCTTTCCTTGTGTATGATGAATGTCTGCCTAGTACTACTACCGAGGGCTTATTTAACATTGATTGCAGGTTTCATTTACATTTTAATATCATACTGTGAGATGTTTATATATTGCGTTTGCGCTTGAATCGACGAGGGCCGCAGAGTTTTCGTAGAGGGCGGCAAGAACTGATTTCGCGTGCGTATCTTTCTACGAGGCTGCTCTTGATGTGAGTTTCCATTGAGGACAGGAGACTATTGAGGTGGTGGAAAATCAAAGAGGCGAAGTAGAAGGCTTCTTAGCTGCATCAAAAACCACCTCAAACTTTTGACGCGTCTACGCTTTCGTCGAGAATGACGATGGTAGGATCTTCCGCACGTTAACGTCTTCTGTTCTTGTTTCAATACTTTAATATAATACCAAAAGAGCTGCATCAGATTCAGAGTACTCCTTGTCAGTGATGTGCGATTTTGCGAATGAGTAGATGCTGGCGGAGCAGCTCTGTGAAGGTGAACAAAAAACAAAATAAAGAATAGGACGGAGTGGAGATGATTTTTGGTGCACTCTGTTATTTCCTCTGTGAGCGAGTGTGTCAGTGTCCAAAGCTGAGAGTCCGCTCTGAAGCGCACTATTTGCAGCGCTTTTTGTTATTTTTTTATTGGTTCAGCATCAGTGTGACTGTTTATCACGTCTAGCAGACCGGTCGGTGATATGGTGAATCTTCCGGTCGCGGGCAATGGCCGTGTGCCAGCTGCTTAACAAAAAACACGGACTCACGAAGATCTAACAAGATGGCCCGCTCGTCGGTGGTGCGCGGTTCCGCCGCGGCCCGCTTGCTTGTTGGTGTTATCCCGCATGAACACGTCCACAACTGCCCATGTTTGTGATTCAAATCTGCAAGCCTAAGAGTAAGATGTGTATGTTTGTGCTTCTCAGGCACGGCTCCATGAGGATCATTTTCTAAAAATACTAGCAGTTGCACAGGACGAGGAGTCCTTCTTGCTAGACGCAAGTTGCGCCGGCCCATCTCAATTTATTGTGACGTGGCTTCGCTAGCTACCGACGATCGTCATTATGCGAGCCCAAAGTTGTAGTCGCGCAGTCTGGTATTTCTACTGCCGGCCCAAACGTGTCATGTGCAGCATCAGGAATCAAAGCTTGTTATTTGTTGATTTGCGTTGCGAAGGCCCCATCTTCAGGACTCTTCTGAGGCGGGGACGTGTTTAGACAGGATAGGCGTCCTAGGAGCAAGCACGCCTTTAATACGGACTGTATATGGTATCGGGGAAAATCAACCGTGGCCAATCGGAGGTATCCTGGACTACAAGTGCAAGGAATGCCACTGCCCCGATCCTTCCCTGGCGGACCAGATTCTGACGGATTTGGAAAGTTCCTGCAACATCCCTAAGTCGATGGGGCTCGGCACCGTCGACGATGTTAGCGCAGGGGTTACCGAGTCGCTGATCTACCACTCGAAGTGGACGCAGACATCGCAGGTGCACCCGGATTTAATGGATCACCTGTGCATCTCGCCCATTTGCCGATGGCGCATCGAGATGGCGTACGACGCATTCGCTGAGTGCGATACGCTTGATTTGCCGGAAAAGGCAAAGACCACATCCTGGAGGCATTACAGCGAGCTGTCGCTTACTGTGGTCAAGCACTTTGTCATGGTGCTTAAGTCCTCGAAGGAAGCTTGCAAGTCGACCACCAGCCCCAAGAATATCCACACAGGGTACTATTATTTGGGACCAGTTAATATGTCCGCAGCGTAATTTGATAATTGATAAAATATACTTGCAAAACAAAATCCGCTTTTCTTCTGGTATTTTGATATCTTCCACTTCCTCTGTGTGCGACGTTTGCGCTCGTTCCATGGTGGTTAGGAGCGCAAAGCGTCAAGAAGCGGATGGCGAACGTGAGTGCGCTATCTGTGAGTGAGCAAATAAACTCGTGCGCTCAGACAGTATGACATTTTCATTCGATGTCATCGGAAAACTACTTAAGTAGATAGATTTAGGATCTTCAACAGCCATTACTGTCGATGGACAAACAGGGCCCTAATCCACCAGAAGCTGCAGATAACGGGCATAGACGTGCGTAGTGACACAACGATGCGGGAGGGTGAGCTCGCTTTCCGAATGGCCCTCGCTTCCCTTCTGGATGTACCGATGCGCCGTCTGGATGTGCGGCTGGAGATGCAGCCCGAATTATGCAAACCCGATGCTGAAGACAACGCCCGGGGTACCTCGTGTAAAAACGTCCTCTCGCGCGACCCATAATAACTCAAAGACGCATCTTTGGCACACACTTGGCCGCTTCGCACTCCAACTCTGGTTCTTCAATGTAGGCTTCGTCAATGTAGTTACATCTGTGCTATCATCTTTTGCATTCACAATCACAGCATCGAACACATCGATCACCCTGTAGTGTTGATTTTCAAAGCATGTTGACAAGCTTTCAGAGTCCACTGACATCCAAAATTCTTTTCATGATCATGAGGCGGCGCAAACGCACGAGTAAGTAAAGCTCTGTTCGGCACGCCGATTCGCTTGGTAAGTATAATTGGGAGAAAGGGATGCTTTTACACAGGATGTGGAACCCCCAAGTCACCAAGCCGCACGCTTTTCGTAATCCAGTTTGTGAGCATTCTCAATGCGGTTACGGTCAATGCGTGAGCAACGAGGATGGCGACGGTTACACATGCCTCTGCAACGAGTGCTACAAGCTCGGCACTGTGAATGGGTATAAATCGACGTGTGGTTGTACTTGTAGAAGCCATTTTGCGACTTTTGTATATGTTCTTAGCACGTGCCTTCATTTCGTGTTTTCCATTCGATGAAGTGCGATTTTTCATCCAGTAGTGAATTGGGGGCCACTTCTACTTCTGAAGGTATCAAACTTGTGTTCCCGACGAGATTTGCTTTTTCAAAAATCCCTGCGACACGTACCCGTCGCCCTGCAAATGTGGATCGCAGTGCGAGCCGTGCCCGGAGTGCACTGGACAAAAGTTTCAGTGCAAGTGCGGACCGACGTTTTCGGGACCTACCTGCGAGACGCTTGTCTGTCCGAAGGGCTTCTCCGAAGTTATGCCCTGCCTGGCTGGACTAATCTTCACTGGAAAAGTTGTAGAAATAAAACCCAGACGAGGCAGAGCATGATCAACATGCTAAAGCTGCGCCTCGCACTATATCGGGCAAAAGCAGAAGTAGGTGACTCCGCTTGTCCTACTATCGTTACATCTACATGATACATCAATATAGTACAACCGTGAGTTGCAATGCGGTGCGGAGTCAGAGTTTATTTCCCACCCTGGCATGAACATGATAGCGAGTAGTGGAGGAGAGGGGGGGGCGCTGTTCCGCGTTTTATTGCTTCACCAATTTATTTTCCAGTTGAGATTGTAACATCAGCTGAGCCAGGTATAGAAGCAGGAGCTGCTGGTGGACAGTGCGGATCTTGTCAACCAATGGACGGTATTTTTAGTGCGCCGATTTGATATTAAACGACGTCTTCTGTTGATGTAGACGTAGTCGCAAAATGTTCTAATACCGAAGTCAGACCTGCTCGACGAATCTGTTCCTGAGTTAATGTTGCTTTCGCCTCCCCATCAATTCCAAAAATTCAAAAATACACACAGCAACAAACCCGTGTGATCCCAACCCATGCAAGCACGATGGCGTGTGTAAAGTGGAAGGGGAAGAGAAGACTTATGTGTGTCAGTGCCCTGCTGATTACACGGGTCCAAATTGCGAAACCCTTGTCTCTATCAACTGCAATATGTCTGGGTCCTCTGGATGATTCGACTGCAGCAGGAAAAGGAATTTGTTATGCATCTTCGTGGATCTCGCAGATCTTCCAGATGTTCTGGAATGAACGCAAAAGCATTACAGGTCTTGCGCAGGTCAGGCGATGCCTGTCTTGCGCAGGTCTTACGCCAAAAATGGCCAAGCATTGGTGCTCTTGCAAAACAATTTTTTTTCGTATTCGAGAGGCTGCGTGACAAGTGCCAATCTTTCGAGACCCAGACACAGTTGCAACGTATAGTCTGCCCCGACGGCTTCTTTGAAGAGGCTGGGAAATGCGTCAGCGTCCAGACCGGCGCTATGAGAGTGCACACCCCCGCCCTCGCCCCCTCATTGGCCGTGGAAAATACCAAGTCCGTGCTTTGCCTCTCGGCACTGTTTGCGTGACAAGTTCTGCCAGCCCAAATGGCACTTACAATCCTGTGCAGACTTGTGATGCAAAACCTTCAATATTCCTGCTGACGTGTGTATTCGTGTTTGTTCAAGTCAAATGCGGGGGAGGGTGGAGGCTGTGCACCTTCATAGGCGCGGCCAGCACTGCAGAAACTGCCGCCGATCCCTGCGCGAAGATGCCGTGTAAGAACGGAGGCGAATGCATTCCCGACGGGGAGTACTACTCCTGTGCCTGTCCGTATGCAGAGAAAGAAGGGAGCGCTACACCACTTACACACGACACGCACACACACACTATGTTCATGCAGGACACACAATACAGAGAGGTTGTAATGCGGAAAATGCTGTGAGCCTGGTCTTATACGTGTTTTTCTTTGTGATCTTCGTCATGTAGATTCTTCTTCTCGTTCTCATGCAGATCACATAATGTATCTTCTGCGTTGCCAAACCCAAATCTGCAAAGCTGTGTAAGAACTGCAGCACCACCACTTCTTTCCTGGGATAGTCCGCCACTGTATTCGGGCACGGACTGTGAATATAAAGGTGTTTTTTTATGAATTAAAGTATGTGCTGCACGAGTTGTGCTTGTTGTATGTTCGGATGTATCATGGAACTAGAGCTCCTGCATGTGATGATGATGATGATGATGCTTCATCGTGAAAATAGAGTTTCAATTGGAATTATGTAGTATAATCTAAGCCCCAAGAATATCAATCTCCATGTGGCCTGAAGACGAGAACAGCAGTGCTGCTACACGTTGAACAAAAAACAGAAAACCCTTGCGACGCCGATCCATGCGATGGCACGAAGTGCATTCCTGACGATACAACGGCCCTGGGTTACTATTGCCAGTGCGAAGATTGCGCGCACGGAGACTCGACGGGCTTCTTTGGCTTTCGCTTCAACAGCCGCTTGCTGCAGGAGATGGCCAAACGGAGAGTGGCTAAGCGCAGGAGGCGAATGCAAGTCACTACAAACCAAGATGGTATTCTATTTGCACAATGCTTGTCGCGATCATGCAACATTTACTAGTTCTGATGTGCCGCCGAAGTTCACCTTACCATTTGCATTTCCAAAGCTCACGATGACTGACGAAGCAAAAGCTGGTACGTAAGGCTTTTTTGTTCCTAGTTTTTGTTTTGAGCCCCTCATCTTCGATGAAACCCTAAAAAACCATAAGAAATTCATTGACAGCGATGCTCTACAACTGGGACGCGGGGCGCACGGTTCCCGGCACGCGCCCGCTGGCCTCTGAGGCCATGGGCTACATATTCACTGCAACATGTCTGGGTCCTCGGGAGTGTTGTAATGCTCGTTGGTGAATGATCATGCGCGCGCTGCAATAGTGCGCAGCCAAGCGTAACTTGTTTTTGAGCTGATATTTCTTGCGTATTCATCATCCTCATCCATGTGATAGACTGTGGTTTTCCATGACAGGCAGAAGCAGGACGAGCACGTCTTTGTTTCCGAGCAGGACGACCACGTCTTTGCTTCTGCCATGGGTCGCGGAGGTCTTCCGACTCGTTCTCAGACAGGCATGACAACAAATCCAGACCCAAACAGATGTGCAACGCATACTGTGGCGGCGTAGACAAAATTGCGCCCCACTGCGCGGTGTACCAGAACGCCCCCAACATGGGGGCGGAGGTGACGCTTTCCATCAAGTGTCCCAAGAACGATATCGGCGACGGTGTCGACTGTGCGGACCTGATGAGCAAAGTGACAAGACTGCAAACGTCGAGCAGCATGCAGAAGGAGTTGACCAAGCGCGCGCGCAACAACTGCGTGGCCACCGATGTGCACTTCGTGAGCTCCCCGATATGACAGCGCACGAGCCTTCCGCCCCCTCATTTGCAGGGCATGCTGAGCAGGAATACAAGGAACAGCAGAAGTCAATGTGGCATCCGTATAGTAGTACTCTTTGAGCTGTTTCAAAATTTGCCATGTGCATTCTGTCCAAAATTTGCCATGATGCGTATTCTGCTCAGAGAGGCCATGACGCCGATTCTGCCTTCCAAATAAGTGGGGCAGGGACTTGCTCACTCCCATACCCGACGGAGGAGATTCAGATCGCGGATTGCCCTTCCACGGCGGAGTTCGACTTCCGCTGGAACAAGGTATGGGCTGAGTTATTCCACAATGAAACAAGGGCACCCAAATCAGAAACGAAAAAATGTCCTGCGGCTTTTTGCCTCACACACAAGGTCTTTCTGGCTCTCCAGGGTGACAAAGTTTTTGCAGCTTTATTTCTCGAAATGTGCCAAATGGTCGCACTACGACCTGCAGTCCATTTCTAACACGACTGGGACAGAAAACTACCTCTCTCGCCACGGTCCGTCTCCGCGTTCTTGCAGAGGTTTATTAGCGACGAAACTTTTTTTTCGGGTATGGGTGTGCTTTTCTGTGGAATACGATTGCGAATTTGAGAAGCTGGGTTTCGCGGAAGACGACCCCTGGAAAGTGTATATCGGACATGAAGGCGTTGAAACGCTGGACATGGAGTACCTCTTACGACAGCGCACAACTACGACTTCCCCTCCCCCGCATGTTGAAGAGATGAGAGAGTAGACGCAACAGAAGATACAGAAGCTGCACCGGTAAAGAGAAAGATGCAGCCTTTGCGTCACTAGATTAGGCATAGTTGTGCTCTTTATTAATTTGGCTTTGGGGCGCCGCTATCGGAACCGATTACGCATAAAGTGCCAAGAAACAATCACTGAATTTCCTTCATTTAAATGAGTGGCAGAGCAGGGAGTAGTTCTTGGGCACCTGCATACATCCCGCTGCTGTGCCACAATCCGGTGTGCCGCGGCATGGCCATGGACTTGTCTGGCCTCTTTACCAGCTGCAGCAACAGTGCGCCGGGCTACCTCGGCCGGCTGGCCCGGAAGGCCAAGGCCTTGAAGAACTCGCTCAAAGTGTGCGGGAACCCGAGCGGGGCCGTCATGAGCCGCCAGCAGGTCGCGGTCGTGGGCGTCTTGGATCCGTTGTCCAAGTTATCTACAAAAAAACGACTGCTCATCCCCATACAATTCGTCATGCAAAGCATGCATCAAGATCAAAGTCAAACCCAGCGCTTGCGCTTCCCATACAAAAAAATGATAGGGATGTGTTTTTTTTTTCTGGGGATACAACTCGGAGCTCCTCCACACGGAGGCCTTCGTCGAGGAGCTAATCGTGAACGCGACCGGTATCGCCACCGATCGTGTTGTCGTTTTGACGCAGCCGGTGTTGCACGTGAATGATTTCTGGTCACAAATTCCGCAAACACCAAACGTCGTTGGCGCACGAAGCGCAGTTGCGATGGGGTGAGGAGATTTTGACTTTGCTAATTCCATTTTGTGTAAAGTATTTCGCCGCATGGAGCTGCGCACGTTTATTCATGTTGCACTTGCATGGAAGATTCGAATTGTAATGAAATACGATTGCCTTTGCGACTGCTCATCTGCGCACGCAGTGCGGATACGGGCCTCCTGCATCATTCTTAAGATCTGGGTGCTCGATGATGAACTTGGAGTAGCTACTAGGACTACAACATACATCTCAGGCCTTTCCGTCCCGTCTCCCTAGCCGGTCTGCAATACGGCGAGACACCCCACGCAAAAGTCTGTTTGGGCCTGTGCATTGCCACGGCCAGCCCCGGACCGGACCCAGGCATGACTACGGACCCGGCAGCGCCACTCGAGCTGACCTTTTCCGAACCCATCAAGATGGGCGACTGCCTGACCACTGGGTACTGCAAAATCAGCTTGAAGCCTTACAACTCCGCATACGGTTACTACAATCTAGATGCCACCGTGATCACTTCCGAGATTGTCGTCGCAGGCATGAGCGTGAAGCTCAAGCCCCGCAGCTTTCTCAAGGCAAACGCAAACTACACTGTCGAAATCGAGGAGGGTGCCTTCGAGGGAGAAAAGACCGGTGAAATCATGAAGAAAACGGTACAGAAGCCAGATTTTCCGTTTGACAAAGACCCGAAATCATAACCGTCACTTGAAGATATCAATTTCGTTATTTTCGCGTACGACCAGATCGTAGGAGTGGTAGAAGTAGAGCATAGATAGTTTGAGTTTAAGAGTGGACGTAGTTGTTCATCACCGGTAATATTGCGTGATGGTCATGAACATGATTTACACTCGTGTGATGGCGGACGTCTTAACTTTTCTTAGGATGGACCACGACCACCACGTCGAGCAGGCATAAAACTGTGAGCATCTTTACTGTAGTAATATCGAAATTTCTTCAGGCTTTTTGGTTTTTGACCGGACCGCCGACGAGCAGTGTCGTGAAGGTTTCGGTTATGCTATCCTCCCGGAAACAAGTGTGCCCGTGCCAGAAAAGCGATAAAAAATATTTCGTTCTTGCAGCTGGTGCTGGATTCCTGTCACTAAAGCTTCGGCAGAAAGAACCACGAGGAGAAAAAGGCACTCTTCTGTCATGAACCGTGCCTGTTGCAAAACTTGCACTTCGACTTCTCGCTGGCGACTTACTAGAGACGGGCACCAAAGAAGTTTGTCACTGTGAACAACCTCTATTTTTTTCTTGTATGGGTGTGGTTTTCTGTAGGATATATGCTGGGTTGCGATGATCACGCGTCGTGTCACTACTACACCAGCTACCTGCCGGACTTTGTCGGCGATATTGAGGGGGCGCTGATCCAGCCCTTGCAGGGCAGATTGAAGAGTTTGCGCTCGCAAAAAAATCCTGAACCAGACAACTTCGACGAGAATGGCGACCAGCTTCCTACAGACCTGATTCCGGCGCCGGAGCGACGGCGTGTGCTCCAGGCACAAGCACAGAGACTTCTTTCGTCGACGGAGGATAGCGCGGCGACGGCTGGCGACCCCGTCGTGGAAGGCAGAAAGCCCGCGAAGTGCGAAACCGTGTCCACGTGGTTTTTGATGTGCGTGTTGAGTATGGTACCCCTGTTCCTGAGTTTTGTCACGGCTGCGCTCGCGGGCCGCGCCATCACGCCCTGGGTGCAAGACGTCCGGAAGGAGGGCTACCAGAAGACTTTTACGTATGCGCAGCACGTAGACGGTGGTTGGAAGTCCAAGCTGATCGAAAATCCCCGAAGTTTTTCGGCCCGGCTCGCGGGGCCATGGCTCTACCTGCCCCTGTTGATGCTACTGTCCCTGGGCGGCGCTGCGACCGTTGCAATCATCTTCATCAACTCCACCGACGACGTCATCAATTACATGGCCGCTGTGATGTACAATTCCCTCTGCTGTTCATGATCGATGTTTCAGCTTTATTATCTTTGATTCTGCTTTCGCATGATGATTTTTTTGGGTGATAAAAATTGAACCGTATATAGTAATTAAGGTCGTGCTCGTGGTCCGATTGATGCTCCTGAGAAGAAGTAGTGTACGAGTATGTTCTTGTACATGAAGAACATGAAGAACACGCTTTCAACATCAACTCAGGTCCATGTCTGTAGCGGGGATCATTTGGAACCTGTTCAGCATTTGTGTATCCACCTGGGTCGCACCCGGGTACCTCCCTTTCCAGACAGATAGCCCGAAGCAGCCACTCCAAGCGGGGGCGGGACTCTGGAACCTGGGCAGTAAGCACCACCGGAGCCCCTTGTCGCTGTATCCGATACCGTATGGGTACTCGGAAAAACCGGATTACGATGTCGAGGGACACGAGAACCAGGCAGATGTCGATGATATGGTAAACTCAGTGAACATCAACGTGCCGAGACATCTCGCCCAATCCACGGGAGCAATGAGCCGACTTACGAAGCCGATTCCGGAAGTAGAGCAGATAGCAAAGATATGCTACGCGATCGCGGTCTTTATCGGGATGATCTCAAGCGTTTTACATTCGTCCGTGTTACATGATTTTGCGTCCTCGCTACTAGAATGCCAAAAGTAGTCAAGCACACAGGGGAGGTGGTGCGTCTTACATAACATACAGATTATTTCAAAAGGATTTCAGCGCTATTGTAAAGTGCGTGGAAAATAATCTCTTGCCCCACGAAGTAAGTAGCTTGATCTTGTAGACGGGCGTCGCGATTTCATCGTATGGCAAGTCATAGTTAAGCATCGATCAGTGTATTAACGCTTGAGAGCGCCATAGTCTTCAATAGCTTTGTCGGGATGATGACGCTCACTGGTCTGGCCATGCAACTCTGTCCGCAGCCCGTCTCTATGCATTTGGTACAATATCAGAGACCTTCTCCTTCAAATTGTGTATTTTTCGTGATTTGCCAGGTAATTATTGCCATGGATACTTTGAGGTTAACGATTACTATCAACCAGGTTCAGTTCTGCAGTCTCTTCGGTTTCAGTTTCGCCGTTGGGTTCGTAATTTTAAGCGTGTCTCTGATGAAGCAGCACACGTTCCAGCCGGTTGTCGCAGTGAGCTACAAGCAAGATAACCGCGAATGGCTGTCCCAAAGCTACCTAGCCCACGATGTGCAGTTCCAGGAGCAGAGTAACAAGGTTGTGTCATTCAATCATCTTCTCCCGCATATGAGACTGCACAACTCCACTCCCCCGCCTCATTTTTGCATAATGCTAAAAAATCCAAGACCAAGATGAAGTCATGACATGCCTCGAAGCACTTCTTGCGTGACACATAGTGGCAGCACACCCTCCTCGAACAGTACTACAATCGTATTCGTGTTCGGAGATTGCATAATTTGTGGCCTTGCTTCTGTTGCCACTCATGCCCTAAAAAAAAGCGGGAGGGGGGGTTGTGCAATCTGATACCGAAGGCCGCGAGCTCAGAAGGGGTGCTACCAGGATACGAGCTCGTACAGATCATCGAAAGGCAGGCAAATGGAATAGTGGTACCTACTCCGATTATTTTTTATTTTGGAAAGAAAAATACTGTTGAGATGCGGGCTTAAGTAGTCTGCTGTAATGCGTCATTGTGACACCTCAAAAACAAAACAGCACGTTGAAAGAAAACAGAATATGTGAATTTGTATTTTATGCGTTCCTGCTGCCTGCTGACAACCGCTTGATGTATTTTACATGAGCGGCACAGCGACCCTGCTTCTTACAAAAAAACACCACTCTCAGAAAAACAAGCGGGATCTTCGCGACAACGACGATGCGAGGAACGAGTTGAATTACTTTGAGCGGTATGGTAACGAGGTCACCCTGTTGTTCAAAGCAAGCTATTACCCCCTGCAGAAGGATGTGACAAGATTCGAACGAAGCAACCCATACCTGCCCCCGTTGGTGCGCGCACCCATGAAAAAGAACCTGCCGCCCTCATCACCCGGGCGGTCGGCGCGAGGGGGTCCCGGGACGACGATGATGGCGGGACCAGGCTCACCGTCCGCCACAGCTGCCCGCGCTTTGTAAGGGAATTGTGACACCAACATGCGTTGTGTACTAATGAAAAGAGCCGCTTCAATTTTTTTCACTGACTGCACCTCATAGATGCAGAACACGTCGCGCCGGCTCGCGTGGTCCGATGTCTTTTAGTGATACTCCTTTACGAGGAATGAAAGGGTTCTCATGGTTCATATATACTAGTAAATTGTATCTTTATGCAAGCCTGAAGTTTACCCCTATACGTGGATCGATGTACCGACTTTCGTGGTGAATGGAATTATAGTGATGTGTGAATCAAGCTTGAAAGAGGCTCCTCTTGGGACCGGCGTCTGCATTAGGGGGAGCGTTTGATGTAGTTCACTTCTAACTCACTTCCAACCTATTGTAGCCGCAAAGTGACAAGATGATAGCTCATCAACGGTCTTCAGCCACTCTGCGCTTCCTGGTGATAGCTCTGGCCTACCTGAAGAAGTGGTGACGGCAGAATGTAGAATTGATGAAATTTTGATCTTCCACGCCTGTGCCACGAGTGGGATTGGCGCGCGCTGCCCGAGGTGGTGTCATAAACTTGCATCATCCAAAACTACATCGCGTCCCCAAGCGTGTCGTGTCGCTAGTAGTTAAATACTAAATAGTTTTCATAGAAAGGGGCTATGACTTTTTATAGTTCGCTGTATTACCGCTTCGAACATCAACATGTTGTAACACTTACTTACGTAGGGTGCGTCGTATGCCTCCGGTCGTGCCTGCTGAGCTGAGGGCAGAACTCGCTCCATCAAGAAAATGCGTGAAAATGGTATATGGGTCAAAGTCAATCGTTATGTAAAACAGAGGATGTGAAGGGCGTTGCAGTTGTGGAGAAAAGAAACTAGTATCCGAAAATTTGTAGCGGAGCTCTCGTCTGCTCCGTCGAATGATATTAGCAACACCTGAGGACAACGACAACTACACCAGCTATTCGTAAATTCTAAACAGTGTTTTTGTTCATCACGTGACGCTGCTTCAAACACTATGTTCGTGATTCATTGCCGAACTTTTGTTCGATCGTGGTCGTGCTGGCTCATCCATCGCATGCGCATGCCATGCTCGAGAGTGTGAGCGCATTTTTGTCGACCATCCGATTGTTTCTCAGGAGTCCCTTCCTCGTTGACAATACAGAGAGATTACGTCACAGCAGAGCTCGATGCATCGGCGACAAGAGCGATTTAGCGGGCGTGATGTAGTCGTCCACCTCCCGATTTATTTTACATGAACTGCAGCCTGCTTGCGTCGATAGCAAATTCGACTTCGAGGCTTGAGATATCGTATATCTACTATATGCTAGTTATTCTAATGTTAATCTCGGAGTTGTGTTTGTGAGTGAGCATATGTTTTAGTTACAGCCCTCCTTTGCCATTCTGAAGAGTATGAAGATCGAGTTATTCATGGTTGACGTCTCAGTAGCGAGAGCATAGCGAATCCAGATCATCTTCGACTAAGTACACTACCGCTGTTGCGCGCCAGTGAGTGTGGACGACCTGCGCTGCGGGCGCTAAAAAGCGTGAAGATGAATAACGGCCCCTGCGGATCGTTTTCAGTGGCTCGTCACTTCTTTTTGTGTCTGTTGCTCCAGCTCGCAAATGTCTCTCTCCGGCGGGGCGACGCCGTCGCGGCAGCTGCAGCTGCGCCGGACTACTCCGTGGCGGCAGCTGCTGCAGGTGCGCCGGACGCAGACTTGTTAGAAGCAACGCTTGATGTGGGTGGGCATCCGCGCGTTACGTCCACCGAGAAGAGTCCTCTTCAAAGTAGTGGCTCAGCACCTACACAAGACGAAGACAAGAAGATGAATATCATAACTTCATCCTCAAAAGTAGCAGCAGCAGCACCATTCGTCGCGTCATTATCGGGCGGGGGTAGCACCACCACCGTGAACACGATTGAACTGCCGGAAATAAATCCGGTAACTGCGAGAACAGCACGAACGCTGCAGAGTAGACCAGGCGAGCATGAGGGTGTAGCGTCGCCGCAGCAAATTTTTATACCGATCCAAGATCCACTCCACGAAGAACAGACACAGCCCGGTGACGCGAACCCTCAGACCTTGACCGGAAACGTATGAGAGTGCACAGCTCCACCTCCGCCCTGTCATTTCCATTAGTTGTGTATGGCACAAACAGCGAAGAGCGACAGAAATACTAAGAGAATGATGAAACATCCCGCATTCGCCCCTGGGTGCTGATCTTGATAAATTCATTTACTCTACACGCGGAATAGGGTAGGTACAGGTCGTACAGTTTGGACGTGGAGTGCTTGTGGTATAGCTTGTCATGAGGACTAGGCCTCACCAAGAACAGCAGGGGTTGTAAATTTGCATGTTCTCGGCCGCAGGTGAGTTAGAGGAGAAGTTGTGCACTGTCATAACACGGTTCGTGGGCCTCTCTTCTAGAGCAACACGGAACCGGACCAGGAGCAGCCCCCTCGCGACTCGTCGCATCGCAGCCCGGTGCATCAGATGCTGCGGCTTCGAAGACAGTAGCATCTGAAGTAGATCCACGATGGGCCGCTGAGCAGGAGCTGCCAGTGGTGCGGAGCAGTGACGGTAGCAACACGTCGGGGCGGGTATCAAATGGACATGTCGCACGGACTTTTGAATCTGTTGCTCAGGAAAGGCAAAGGGAAAGGACTGCTGACCCAGACGCAGTGGAGCACGGAGAAGCTGGAACAGAAGATCTCGTAAAGAAGCCCCTATCCTTGTCGTCTTCATCTGTAAGTGTAAGCAGCAACCGCAGAGAAGTTCACGAGCAAGCGCCAAGGGAAGATAGCGCAGTGCTCGCACTACAGAATAAGTTCCAGAAGGAAGAAGTTAAGGCTGGCGATCAGAAATCTGCCACCGAAGGTCGCGATCAGGTTCAGGATAATTGGTCTTCATCAGGATCAGGAGCTCGTAGTGTGGAGGAGAAAGAAGGAGCTGCTCTCCTGGAGGGCGACCCATCACACAACCGCGGCGCCGACATAGTAGCGACGGCACCGACCACGTCGCCAAGCCGAACTTCACCAGTTATAAAGAATCACAACGAGGAGCATGGTCCTCCTCTCGGCCTGGAAATTCCATCAACAAAGGCAACAGCTTTGCCACCGAGCACCAACAAAATTTTCCTCGAAAAAACAACAAGCACCGCCAAACCGCAGAGCTTCCTCGGCACCTCGGCGAGCAAAATTAGTACCAGCAGTAGTGTAGCTAGCAAAAGTAATAGGGCGCACGGAAAAGTGGATGTTGACACCACGGTCACGATCGATCTAGCGGCCAACGGCCTCCTGGCAAATGCGAGTGGTTCAAATTCTTCGAATAACAATTCGAATACTACGGGAAACAGCTCCGTCGCTGTCGTAGTGTCTCCAACGATGAAGAGTGTTGCTCCCGCCCTTGCGCCATCTCAGCATCTGGTCAACAAATATTTTTCTCCCCTGCAGTATCGAAAGAAAGAAAATTTACAGTTGCGCATTTGATGTAGCTTCACCTTCAGCAATTGACAATAAATTTTCTCTGTGTGGCAGAGAAACTTGCATCAATGCAGAGATCATAAGGGAAAATACGCATGAGGCTGTGCTCTTGTGCATATCCGGCATGAGAGGGCTTGTCTCTCATGCTTGTCCCGCAACACTATGTGTAACTGTAGCGCTTTTTTCTTGGCATATGCAGGGAATAACCAACGATCTCTACAATGTCTTTGGCGGAGGTGGGGGATCTACTATGCAATTCTCAAGCGTTACATTCGCAATTGCTGCGTGGATTTGTGACGCAAGAAAAGCAAAACGGAGGAGGTTGATGCACGTCTAGCATAACAAATTCGGCACGGGAGATGTCCATGCGCATGTTGTCTAGCTCTTCAAAAAATTGCCGTGCGAAGTAGTTTCACCTTGTGGACGTTCATGCTAATTTGCGTGGCAAATCATGTGACAGCTCTTGAGAATGTAGTGCCTGCGAATCCCATACCCACAGCACCGACCATGCAGTCGAGGGAGGAGGCTGCCAGCATTGGCATTGGCTCTGGCTACGACCTATTGCGGGACGAGCGTCGGGCCCCCGCACCTCTTTTGACTCGCCGAGGCAACGACACTACGCAGGTGAGTCAGCTGTCTTTTTATTGTTGCTTGCAGCAACGATGGACCGGCACCGGGGCGAGGACGAGTTTTTGTGTCCCTAGTAGGTTATTTACCAAGAATCACATAGACATACCCGCTTACTCAGTACGGCTAGGGGCAAATTACTGTTGAAATATCAAGAGCATGATTATTCAATAGCATCATGGTCTTCACATTGACGAGAGACAGAGACTCCATACCCCACATCAACGAACCGATCTGATTACAGGCTGATGCCTTCTCAGTGAAAGACGCCATTTTGACACGAACCGGACTTCTGGTGCGTGAAAGTACCGGGAACGGCGAGCTAGAGGGGCCTGGATACGACCGAAGTGACGTCACGCAGTCCGAACGGCGCACGCCCATTATTCTGAGCCGGATGTCGCCGTACAGCCAGTACAAAGCGGATCCCGGGCCGGCAACGGATCCGAAGAAGTACCTGGACAGCGACCTTTACCACCGGGAGCTCATCATCCGGGACGATAAATATCGCATCCTGTACTTTTACATACACGTTCTATTTGGTAGTTCGTAGTCGGCTGCTGCGTGATTTCGTGTCAGTTGTCCACTCCTTGCAGGGGCTCATAAATTTGTTCCTTCGTATTTTCTGATGTTGATAAGCTTCCTTTTTGTGTGGCTTTGCCTTTGGTGTTCTAGAATTATATATTCATGAGGTCAAGAACAACTGCAAGGCATTGCATTGTTCGTTTTTCTCGTGGTTTCAGGTACAACGAGGAAATGCTGCGCGCTCGGCGACTACTGATCGACAACGCGAAGCGGGATCCTCAGCGGTTGGGCTTGACCTCGAAGGTCGGTTACTGGGACGAACGTGTTTGCTCCTTCACGGGCAACGTTATTCCGTTACGGACGTACGTCATGACCCGCGTGCCCATGCTGGATCAGCAGGCAAAAGACACCAGGACCAGGGACGGAGTGAGTGGAAGTTATCCGAACTTTCGGGTGCGACAAGTCCCCATGCCCGAAGAACCGTGCCTACCAAAGCCCGCTCCGCTCTGGAACGCCGGTACTTATTTATCTTTTGCTGTAAAACTTGCAGCAGGTCTAATACGACAGTACTTGCTTTGCTGTGAGGCCAGTTTATCTTGCTTCGCATATGTTGTGTAAGTACTTCTTGAGTGATGAAGAACGGCTCCACATGAAGTTTGACTGGTCCACGCTAGGCGGTCGCCATCGCGTACGCGCTTCCCAAATACGCACTTGGACGTGTTTCTAATTTTATGCCATCGGATTTATTATACACTCAACGATGTTTTAGTCTAGAGGAGCTATAACACGACGCATGAGCTGCGTACGCATGATGCACCTGCAAGAGCCCTAGGCCGGCTAGGGATCTAGGTCAACTTCTAACTAGTTTGTTTCACTAGCAAAAGCGCTAGAATCTTCATCTTGAACAAGATCCCAGTTTATACTTTAACATCCAGCAACATGATGATTATGCTCTTATCGTCCACAATCACAGCCTCGCCGCAGGGTCTCGCCTTGATGAACGCGACCAACGTCACGGGAAAAAATGCCTCCACCTCTTCGGCCTCTGCCATGTCATTTCTGGATGAGAATTACAGGACAGCAGGAGCAGCAGCACAAGGACATCAGAGAAACATCGCGCCATCTGGCAGCATGCTGCAAGCGAAAGACGTGGCGGTGGACACCGCGGCTGAGATTTCCTTCTCCACACGGGCCAGCAACGACGAAGTTTACCGGGCACTGGCGAAAAGTAACGTACCAGCCTCGGGGACTCCTGTCTACGACGACACTGTGCCGCCGCCAGGAACGGAATTCGACGACGACAAGGAGTTCAAGCTGGACTACGGTAAGTACATAGAAATTACGGGTGGATGAACATAACTTGTTTAGTCTTGCCTGAGCACTAATATTTTTCGTCCCTGCAACAAAAAGGTTTACTCGACTTGTGAGAAGGGCGGTCTACTCCGTTTCGAGCAGCGTCCGCTGCTAGTGCATGCTTGTATCTTCATCGACGTATTAAGATTTTCATTCGCTACATTTATGTATGCCCGCTAATTATGTACGGGAGAAGCGTATGGTGTCTTTTTGCCGCCCTAGATGACACAGCCTCTCCTAATACATAGCTATCGACGATATTTTCGCAATTTTGAACAGCCGGCCTCGCCTTCCACAACGTTTTGGTTGAGCAGGATTGTTGGATGTTGTGCGCATATCATGTAGAAAAAAGTGCTATGCTGCAGATTGACTATACCTTTAAGTGCAGGAGACGATGCGAAAAATTCGCAACTGCTTTGCTTGCTCGGGGATGCTGGACTCGGAGCCGTATTTTCTTCCCTACTTGGGAAGTACGTATGGACTACATGAATCTTCATTATCGACGTCTAGTAGAGGAATAAAACTGAAACCTGTGAAAAATAACAAGATCAAAACCTTGTATGTAAAATCAAAAGTCGTAATACGGTGCAGCACTTTTTTCTTGCAATACTGCACAGCATTTCAATTGTCTGACCTGGAAGTATACCAAGTGTCTCTCCGCCGAATCCTGCGGCGTGACCGCCGGAAACTGCTTCTTGTATGACTCCAGCGAAGTGGTTTTTGTGCCGGAGCCGTTGGCTGATGTAGACGCAGATCGGGCAGTGTCGATCATTAACGATGATTTCACGTTCGGGTTCCGCTTCTGCCTCACGGACCCGCCGGTGAAGTCGTTTAACCTGATGCCCTGGATCACCTTCTCGATCATGATCGTCTTCTGCTGCATGTTGGGCACGCTCTTCCGCGTTTCTCGGGAAAAAAAAGACAAGCTCGTCGCGGCAGACGCGGGCACGGCCGGTGGTGCCGCAGGGAAGAACCGACAACAAGGCGAGAATCAAATGCGCGACCTGAACACCCTGCGATGGTCACCAAAAAAGGGGTTTGTCCTGAAGCAATAGGACGGCGACTCGTGATGCTTCGACGTCGTTCTATCTGAAAACTAGGCTTCTACTTGAGTTAGATTGTAATAAAGAATGAAAGTAACGTAAGCGAGCTCCTGCTACTAAAGCTCGAGCTCCCCGGAGTCGATAGTAATCAATGTGCATCATGCTGTGGATTTGGAGGTTTGATGTTGAAAGTCTGAGTATTATAAATTTCAATGATGAGTAAATGTTTAGCGCGAAAGTACCCCTAACGAAAAAATCTCCAACAAATTGCAAGAGTTTTCAAATTTTCTTGTCGTCGCTCTTTTGTTGCGCGTTGCGATGGTATGGACCGAGATGCCCAGCAGGCTGGGTCTGTGGCCGGCGTGGGGGAGTTTTGGCCGCGAGGCCTGTTGAGGCCGCAGGCCCGGTGGAGCATAAAGCTTGGGGCTGACAGCCCATCGCCTCATGGCACGTGAGCCGTTTTAGTGATTATTTTGGCGATGAAAGCGCTCGCACCTTTTTTCCAAAATTCGGCCAAAAATAAATCGCAGGCGGGCCCGTTTTTCGGCGCCCAAATTTCCGGCGGACCGCAGACGGACTGCAGACGGACTGCAGACGGACTGCAGCCGGACCACACTTGTGCACGCAACAAAACAAATTGCCAAAATTCCCAAAGTGAGGCGATTCCTTAGGGTTTTTGCAGGCTCGAGCCAATTCGGATGATTTTGTTTGCACAAAAAGGATTTGTTTTTGTAACAAGCGGAATTTGGGAAAAATTTGTTTTTGCACAAAAAAAATTTGGGAAGGCGATACGAATGGGGGGTAAGATTGGGGGTTGGAAACTTTTTTTTCCCGGGAAGCAGGACGCCACGCTGCGTGAACGCAATCCATGTCGCGGCTGCAGAATTAGTGTTGTGGGCCCGGATGGTTGGGCAACCTCCCGCCCGCGCCAGGCCCACATTGCGAACGCTTCAACTTGGCAGGCCTCGGCATTTCAATTTTCCCGATCATGGCCGCAGGAAGGGCCGCGAACTTTTTGGGGATTTTCGCGACGACAAAAAAAAAACAAATTTGTTGGAATCAGATTCCTTAGGGCAACTTTCTACCCAAAAATGTAAACAAGTGACGTGTAGTTTGTATCTATCGTCCCTAACTTGTAGTTGCTTTGCGTTTGCCCTTGCTTCATTTTTTGTACGATTACGGATTCAAATCTGCGTTCTTCCCGGGTCTCTCGCGAAGAGCGCAATGCGCTATATGAATTCGATGCGAAGAACTCTGAATCTTTTTTCTCCGACTTGAATCCAATCCTACGGCGGGATATATCAGGAAGACCCAAGCGAAAGTTAGCAATTGTAGGATTTTTGGGGTTTTTAGCTCCTGCATGGTCCTCCTGACGTAGGAAAACAAGAAGAGACTTGATTGTATCAAAGCCTTGCAAAATGTACAAGAAAACATTCACGGACCCCCAGAGTACTTCGTCTTGGCCTTCTAATTATCTCATTTTCGCGGTTTCATCCACCGTCTTTGCAGATGAAGGATAGAAGCCACTTTTTTTTGCGTATGCGCGTTGTGGTTTTTGAGTGAGTTCATCCAGGAGGTGTCCCTGTGTGCTATGGCGTCCTCTGTCTTTTTGAGCGAACAGTGAGAAGGTGTCGACGAATTGGCTTTCTTTGTTTATTGTGGTCGGTGCTGTTTGCAGCGATTGCGAGGTGGCGGGTTGTGATGATGATGGTGATGATGCGCTGACTTACCACCGGTACTACAGACCTGTACGAAAGGCAGCGCCTTCTGTTTTATTGCTTCCCTCTGTTCAACATTTCCACCATCAAAGACCAAAATCTAGAAGACGTTTACTCAGTCACTCTATTGCAATCGCTTTCGAAGGTCGCTGTGCATTAACGACCAGAAAAAATGCAGATGCATTCAGTCGGCGTCGGTCGAGTCTGATCGCTTCAATCCTCGCAGTGACCGGAAGAACGAAGGAGGGGGGGCTTGGACTTGCGGGGAGCAGCTGCGAGGAGTGGGCAGTGACTGCACGGCTGCTTACCCGCCAGGACGCTGCACACTTCTGAGGTTTGTCGCTTGTACGCGGTCCCGGGAAGAAGTGTTTGATACTCCGGCTTGCCGTGTTTCATTACGTTGTAATAGTTCCAAACCCGCCGACCAAGACGAACAACAAGATGTCGCAGCGGCAGATTCATCCGGCCACGGGCAGCCAGAGCATGGCACCGCGGAAAAGCATGGTGGCCACGCCGTTGACAAACTTCGGCAGTATTGGAGGACGTCGAAACTCGAAGGACAATCTGGGCGTGATCCCGAGCTTCATCACAGACCAGGACCAAAGTTGGCAGCGCGCGTCCTCAGCTTCGGCGAAGGGCGGCGACCTTTTCCGTATCGTGTGTAGTCCCTGTTGTTCACGGTCAGAAAAAGTCACAGCATACCTGAAAAATGTAAAACCCAGTCGTGGGAGGTGACTTATAATGATACGCGGTTCGTCTACTTCGTCCTGCTGTAGTTCTATGTCTCAGCGTAGTTGTGGGCATCGGCCCTACTTGCTCCTAGGGAGAAAGCCGAGCTCTCGTCAGGACGAGATGGAGCCATCTTATTGCGATACCCTTAATTTTCAATTTCGATTACAGCTCCCGGGGCGTGTGCAAGTACAACTACACGTAGCTCATTTTTCAGTCTCGGGTATACTAGCTGCACATTCATGTTCACAAAACAGCGATGAGTTTACTTTTTACAACAAATATCAGCGGCGGGTGAGGGCTCCCCCGCACGAGACAGCAGCTTGAAGCGAAACAGTCGAGAAAGCCAACAAGAGCAGGCAGCTGTGTCACCGGCCCGCTCACACCGGCGGTCAAGCACAATCGAGAGCAGTACCGGGGAGCAATTAATCGTCGCCCCCGAAGTACCAAATGCAAGGGTGTCTGGGGCTGGAACAAGAGAGAAATTTTGGCCCGTGCGTGTCATGCATCTTTTGGCTTACACACACAGACCGACGAGAGAGGTATTGTTGATCGACGCTCGTCGTCTGCAGATAAAGCATACAGGTTCTTCTTCTGTGCAAACCTCTTGATGCATGATGCTTGTCTCGCATGAGAATTTTTCGATCGCTGAGTGCGCGTCAACAAATCAATGGGGAGCTTTTGGCGCTCAACTATGCAACACGAATTTTGAATTATAAAAGGAGACTCATCAGACAGAAGGTTCAGCAACTCAACAAATACAAGTTTGCATCTGTGTCCGAGATCCATCTGCGCCAGACATATTTGCAATGCATGTGAAGAGGAGACGTACGAGATGCGGGGTCTGCTGATCAACGTGTGCATCTCCGTTCTCCTCGGCGTTCTTATCGGGGTGTGCGGTGCGATGTTTCACAACGCTGTGCACCTGATGAAGGTGTTTTTTCGTGTCGTGCTAGGGTCGGCGATGGTGGACGCGTTCGACTACGGACCCTACATTTTCATCCACATGTGGTAAGATACCAATCTTGCTACTATTTCTCATTTTCATCATGCGTCGACACATAAAAATCGTCGCTCGCCGTCAGTTGTGTTTTTGTCTCTTTTCATCATAAATAAATTCGCGTCCTGTGGTGCTGTGCTGCTGTCACCCATTGATTTGGTGTCGTATGTCAGAATATGCAGCACTCCCTACGTCGTTTTTCTACCTTGGGAGGCACCAGCACCAGCAGGACAAACCATACGCAAGACATTAAATGAAGAAAATGTTGCAGTCAAGTCGGATGATGTTATCACGCAGGTTGGGAGCTACAGCTTGCTCGATGGTTGTGTCCTTTATCACAAGGCACATGTGCCCCGAATGCATCGGAGGCGGGATGGTCGCCACCAAAATCTGCATCTGTTTGTCTTGTATGCAGTGCAAATGCAAAAGTGTAATTTGCTCGTGCAAAAAATTGCATAAATTTGGGCTATTTAGATGAAATTCATGTGGGGCTTCGACTTGTATCGCTGATGCGGGACCAGGATGTTAATATGAAAGATGCATGGAGGGTGCACGAATTGGCACGAGCGCGTTACGTTTGCAATGTATATCTTCTCCGATCCAGCTGCAGATTATTGCTTACCGCTTTGTTGTACAAAATTTTGCTTTTCGTTTTTTAGATGTGCGTCATGATTTGTCGTGTAATTGCTTATAGTTATGATGTAGATCATGTGCCGGCGCCCGCACGGCCACTAGGTTAAAATTTTGTTTCGTTCTGTTGTTGAGTTCTCTAATAAAGTCTGTAAACAGCAGGACCTGTAGTGCTACAATTTGTTTCGCGAACCAAAGCGAAATCTTATTGCGCAACATCAACAGCTCTCCGCAATTTACATCGGGGGAGGAAGTCCTCTGGGTATCGAAGCGCCAACGTTTCACCTGTCTGCCGCGCTTGCAAGCAACGCCAACAAATTTATTGAGCGGCTCGACAACACGATTCTGAATGCCGACACCATGCCGCAAATCGTTCTTATCGGCTGCGTTGCGGGACTAAGTCAAGCCTTCAATACGCCCATCGGGAGCCTCCTGTTTGTCCTCGAAGAGTTCGACTTCGTCCGCCGCTCCCATATTACGTTTGTTATGATCGTCGCCTGTTCGGTCCCGGCAACGGCGGTGAGCTTGTACTTGAAAAAAGCCTTCGACCTCCACTCCAGCTTTCTGGCACTGCCGCCCCCGGAGAACCTCGCGAGTGACGGTATAAAAATTACTCAAGCTAGTCATTGACATTGTCTTTTTGTGAATGCGATTGTAAAGAAAAGAAAGAACGTGATAATTAAGTATATATATCCAGACACAGTAGATCCGATCCCGATGGCGAACGTGTTGCGGCGCGCTGCCGCGCCGAAAAAAATAGCTGCAGCGCCAGTGGTCCACTACGTCGAAGGACACCAGTAAAAGCAAATCAAGCTCGAGCAAGTGCACGAGGACGATCATTTTCTTTCATAAAGTTACCAACACATTGAAATTTAGTACGAAAAATGCACTAATAAACGCGACGACAAATTGTAGATGTCTCCCTCCTTCTCCTGTACCTCTACGCGGGTTTGATTGGGGCGATCACCAGCATGTTTTCGGAGCTGTTTTCGACCCTGGTCTTGCGGTTCCGCAGCCGGTTCGCGACCTTTGTGTCCAGTTTTGAGGTTGAGGGCGAGGACGAGAGCGACCACCGAGTCGGGGAGGAGGAGATGAGTTCCTTCCCGATATGCATTGCAACCATGTCTGGGTCTGGACGAAAACTACAACTTCTTGTGCCGCAACCTGTACTGAAACTAGTTGTGTTGCGCGGGTACTAGCAGAAGATTCCCGTAATTTTCATTTCGACCATGCTGAAGTGGTACAGTATTTTTCATGCGATGAAATAGGCAGTGGCAATGCAGTTGCAAAGTCATCAACATAATATACAAAACCTGTGATGTTGTGCCCTACAACATTCCGGATACCTTGGAGCACGAACATGATCCGAAATCAGCAACAGCATGACAAACTGCTGCACTCATCAAGACGAGCCAGGCATGTTTGCAATTCATACCCGACAACCACGAACAACAGCGACCCGAAAAGCACCAAGGCGAATCAAGACCGGAGGTTGTCGCTGGACAGTGACGACATGTTGGGAAAGAGCGACTCGGGCTGCTCGGGCTTTCCGCCTTCGTCCTCCGATCCGCCGGGGTCCGAACCCCGCACCGTGAACCGGTTTTCCGGCGTGTCGAACATGACGCCTCCGCCTAATGCTTTTGGCGGGAACAACAGCGTCTCGGCCGCGAGCAGTCCCGGCGCCGGCGGGCAAACCGCTGGTGCCGCACCTGCAGGACCCACTTCCGCAGTGGTCGTTCCTGGGATGGTCAACAATGCTGGCGTATTGACATCTGGTCCTGTTCCTGGCGGAGGAGGTGGCCAGGGAGCGGGCGCCACACCCAGTGGCAGTTCCAACAAGCAAGACGTCAGCACCAGCAGTTCCCACGTCGAGCCGGACAAGGACAACTCAAGTTCCTCCAACGCCGACGGAGTTGGAAATGGTGCTGGTGGAAGTTGTATTAATCACGTGTTTGCGATGAACAACCAAGTTGTAGTTGTTCCTACTTCCACAGGACCACAGCCAGCGCACCAAATGAACAACGCGAGCGCGGCTGGTGCTGGAGGCCCGATAATAATACCAACGGTCCACCGAAACCCGAGCGGAAATGCCTCCAGCATAGACCCGGACGCCTTTAACCAGGGGTCGGGGGGCGCAGCGTCTCTGAGTTCTCTGTCCGCTTCGACGAGCGCGGGCAAGACAACCAGCAAGTCGAAGCCCGGACAAGCAGCAGGGTCACAGATCAGTACGGTGTCGCCCACGGCGGCTGCGCAAGGTGGGCGTATGACCATGACAAACTTCAACCAGAACAACCCAAACGCGCCCTACGGTGGCGGCGCCGCGGCGCAGATCTCGGGGCAGGCACTCGTGACCAGTATTACCGGCCTCAAGAGGCGCTTTTTCTCTTTCGAGAAGATTAAACTGAAGCGCACCGAGCGGGGCTACTTTCTCCTGAACGTACTCGCGGGCAGCGTGGTGGGCGTGTGCGGAATTATCGTGTACAATGTTTCCCGTTCGCAAGCAAACATCGCCTGCAACCAGTGGAAAAAGGAGTGCCCCGACTCGTGGGGCACAGGCGAGCAGTTGCTGGAGTATCTCCACCGCAAGGCCCACCAGGCTGCCAATCGCAACGATGGCGGTGTAGTGAGAAGGATGAGCAGGCGGGGCACGAACGCACAAACGGTTCTTGAGGAGCAGGGAGTTGTAGTAGAAGAAGAAAGGGCGGCGCAGCTGCGGCAGCTGCGCGCCGGAACTCCATCCTCTAGGATTTTTCCGGAGCAGACGCGCAGGAGGAGCAGAAATCGACCTCCGATACGCAGCTATAGCGCAACATCTACATCGTCTACCTCTGCACAACACGGAGAAAATCGTGATCGTCCAAGTCGTGGACTGCAAGCTACTGGAAGAGCAGAGCTCCCTTCGTATTTTTCCCCTTCGGAAGCCGAAATACAAAGAGAGCCGCTGGGAGCTGCTCCTGCGTCTGCGCGGCCACTAAGTGGAAGTAGACCATCGGCACAAGAAGAAAGCAACTTTTTTCCGAGGGCGGAAGATTTCCAAGGTACTGGCAGGGCGCATAGTTTGCACGAGGGTACTAGCTGGGCGAGCATTGGTCGAAAACTTATGCAGACCTCCGGCGAGACCAGAGAAACGGCGCCGCGCGCAAGCATCGTCGAGAATGATCAACTTCAACCACGAAAACAAAAAACGACATCGCCAAAGAACCTGCTGCACCGGTCATCTCGATTATTGTCTAAAGGACCAGCTGATGCTTCTTTTTCGTCAGCAGATGTTGGCAAGAAGGTCGACATAGGTATTGAGGAAGATGATGAAGTAGGTACTGAGCAGCACCACATCTTTGCCAGTGATTCCTTTCGGACGTCCTCGTCTTCTATCTATCCCAGTGCGCCGCCGCGTTTCCGTGAGCGGAGCCAGAACCCGCCTCATTTACTTCGCGATGGGGATGTAGAACAAGAAAAAAGGTTGATGATGTACAGCAGATATCATCATGATTCTAGGCGAGGGCTTTTGACGAGCCCGGAGGACGAGGAACAAGAGGCGCTCTTCTCATCATCAACACCGGAGTACTTTTATGAGCAGCACGACCACCTGGAGCCCCTTCAACAACTCCGAGCATCACCACAAAGGCAGCTCGGTAGTAGCACATTTGTTGACTACGGTGACATTCCCATTAGCAGCATGGCGCTGACGTATTTCGTGGTGGGGTTTCTGAAAATGATCGCGGTCGCGGTTTGCACAGCGGCTGGTGGCAGCGGTATCCTGCGGAAAAAGTGTTCCACCGCCACGGTTATTGCATTGTGTTTGTGATGATGTTGTTGTTGGCCGGTTTTTTGCATACCAAACCTGTCATGCGCGCTTCCCAAGAAGTACGGGATATTAAACGGCTGAAAAAGCTGGCCTCTCTTGCATTTCGATTTCTGGCAACCGAAAAAGTTGTGAGTGTCGTGATCTTGCATGTTCAGTATAAGGACGTGGCAATGGAGCAGTTTTTCTCTTCGATAAGCGGAGGTATGTTCGCTCCCGCGATGATTATGGGGGGCTACCTATGCGGGCTAAAAGCGTACACTTCCTCCCGTAGCCAAAATGGGGGCGTGGCCCACAATTTGAGACGTTTTGGGTTTGGGATTCACGCAGGCATGACAGTTTCGGGGCCATGCTGTACTCGTGGTTAGCTACAGGGCGGCAGCGTCCGCCTCAGTTGCAGTCGACTTTATCAACACTCCGCGACGGAGCGTAACAAGGACAAAATTGGAAGCCGCGGCTGATAAAAATTAGAAACTTGATTATTCAAATACTACTCGTCGTCCTCATAATTTTGCGCGTGAGAAACCCAAACCAAGAATAGCCTTTGCATGCAGATTTGCAGCTTCCTGAGACGAAGTATGTACTTAAACTTATGTTGAACTTGAAGCGGGGAGGAAGCTTTCGTTTTTATAGAGCATACTAATTCGGCGGGGGCCTCGGTAGTCTTTTGAAGTGGATAAGCGACGAGACAGACCCAGTAAATGGGACCTACCTTCAGCTCTGCGTTTTATTTGGCATGGTGGGATTCTTTTCTGCCTCGCACCGACTACCGCTGACTGGTACGAACGTACCCTCTCTCGTGTTTCTTGTCCGTTTCTGTTTCAAATGCGATCACGTTGTAGGATTCGGGAAAAAAGAATTTTACTTAAAAATCCAATTTGATGATCCTCCGACCAAGGAAGACGACGAGGATCAGCTTGATGCTTTCTTCGTCGTGTTTCCATCTCATTTTGAAAAATCACAGGCTCACTGTGCATTTACGAGCTAATTGTGGCCTCGACCGACGAGGACAAAACCATTGCTGGAAGCTTCATCGTGTCGCGGCTGTTCTTTCCCATGTTGGTGTGCTCCATTGTCAGCTTCTGCCTCAGCATTTACATGCATCCACAGGCCTTGTTGGAGCGGACGATGGAGCAAGATGGCCTGCATGACCTGTGCTTTGGACCTGCCGCAGATTCAGATGACGACAGTTCTGTATGCATTACAGCCGTGTAGTCTGGGTCCCGAAGTTTGTGTTGATGGATGCTACTTTGATGTGAAGGATGAGCGCGTGGCTTCTGCATTGCGCAGCCAAGCATCCTCAGCAGGAGTTTTCGAGAGTCTAGGCCTTGTGGAAACTGCTGTGTTTTTTCATGACAGATAGAGAGTTGTGTCTCCCGGACATCAACATCATGCGTGACAGATCTTCTCAGCGTCGTACCGGATAATCATGAATGATCTTGCTGGGCGCTTCCATTATCCAGAGACGCAGACCCAGTCCCAGACAAATTTGCCATGCATATTCCGAAGAGGATGACGATGACGACGATGAGACCGACTCTGATTCAGAGTCCACTTCCGAAGAAAAGACGCTGGACAAAGACAAAGATGGTTTCAAGTTTGATTTTTTTAGTACCTCTCCAAGAAAAAAATGACTTTGAAGCGATGCAAGCCTTTATTTCATTTTGCACCCTGGTTTTGATGCCATCCTATTGGCTATCGCTACGGTTATGCTTTCGCGAGGACGAACACGTTGTAATAAATCAAAAAGGTGGGAGCGCGGAGTCCAACGGGAAGAATGGCAGCGTAGCAGGAGACCAGGCAAGCATCATGAGTCTGGTGAGCAAGACTCTTCTCCCTCCCGAGCTGATGGTGGCGGGGAAATCACGGCGGCAATCCGTGGACCTTGGTCAGGTGTTTCGAAAGCCACTCTATGAGACCGGTTCTTTCGTTACCTCTAGTGCGACCCACAACATGCAGAAAGACGGGAAGCGCCACAGCCTGAAAAAGCCAAAAAAATCCAACCACTCCTCGAGCTCTCCGAACGCAGAGCAGAGTGCACCATCGGCCGAGGATGGAAGCTCGCAGCTATTCTTTGAAAATCATATAACCATCCCATGATCTTCGTCTTCCACTTTCTGCGTGACAAAAGCCGACTCTGCTCCATGAGTTTCAGGTTCGCATGGGAAATAATTTGATGGGGATGTTGGCATGTTGATGTTGTTTAGCGTCACAAATTGGATGAGGATGGTAAATTTTCTGAGAATACTCGCAAACGGGAACCAACAGCAGGAACAGTCGGAACATGGAGGATCCTGTGACGGGAATGGATCCCGGATCCATGATTTCGCAACATGCACTAGCGCAGGCACAGGCAGAAAAAGGTACTTAGTTCTAAAGGCACTACGTCCTCACGAACAACGAGGTTTAGAGTTGTTGACTCGACTTTTGTTCTTTCTGAGCTGTGGTCGACAGGTCGTCCTCATGCGATTAATACCTTGTAGCTCTCTGTCGTAGTCATGGACGAGGACGACACCTAGCTTACGTCGCACAGCGATTTGCTTCTTCATCTTCCTGTTCTGGCACTCCTTTACTGACATGACAGACCGGCTGAAGATCCGGCGGGCGAGCCATCCACCAACGGCGTCTGCAGTCAACACTAACGCGCGGATTGTGGAGTTCTATCAGCGGAATTCGCAAGATTTGCGGAAGGAGTTCGAAGCCCTCCGGCAAGCTACTGCAACGCCGTCTAGCTCGACGAGCAAGCGCAGTTTCGTGCCCTTGCAGATTTTACAACAGCGAAGGCCCTCGGCGCCGGACGCATCTAGTATTTCCGCGCGGCGCGCCGATAGCAAGGAGGCTCCGGACCGCATTCAGAACGTGATACGCAGTGGCGGGGGCACCGGCGATGCGGGTGGTGATAGCCCCCCCCTGGTCCACCGCGAACTGAGCATAGGCGCCGGCAGTGAGGACGTGTTTCGGGCCCGGCTGGCGTCTGCGGCTGGAAGCAACTTGTCGTCGGATTACAACACCAGCACCGAAGGGAACCTGAGCGGCGTAACCGGCACCTCGAGCATGCTGATCAGTAGAGGGGGCATTCTCCCCGCCGGCTCCCCGAGCGTGTGTGCTGTCACGACCTCAGCATCCTCGCAAAGTGCGGGCTATGCCTTGCAAAATTATCGCGCTAGAGCTACTATGAATTGCATAGACATACACACGTTCACATGATTTTTCCGAAACAATGCAACTTGTGGCGCCGAGTTCCTGTCGGCCATACCCATAGATCATCTGTCATGATGCATCACTGCGGCCAGCAGCACTGCAATTAGTACGAGTGCGATGCTTTTGCAGGGCATACGGGCATGGCAGGCGCGGGGGCAGGCGCAGCCAATGCCGCCGCGAACAGCAAGCGAGCGACGAAGCGAAACACGAAAGTTTCCTCGACTAGCACTCTGCGAATTCTCGAGAACGCAATGAAGCGGCGGGGCAACGCGGCCGACACCGCGTCTTCCTTGTCATCCATGGGCAGCAGTGCGGAAAGCAACGCCCTCGGCTATCCACACGAAAGCTGCTCCTTTTTTACCCCAGACCGAGGAAGTGTCTGCATTGCAAACCATCTCAATGTTGTAATTGGAGCACTGCACCACAAAATCCAGGTGCAGAGTATCGCCTGGCCGTGTTGCAAATCGTGTTCTCGATGTCGATCAGGAACTACGCTTTGAGTCCTTTAATTTGGGAAAGGAAACTTTGCATGGCCATCGGAACAAATTTCCACTCGTGGGACGCGGGGCACTTTTCAGCATAATACTGGCCAGGGCGCCGCGATGGTAGTGGGCAGTGGGGGTCCGATACGAGATTGCACAACTACTTTCCCTCCGCCTCATTTTTTGTAAAATGAAAAATACAAAGCCCAATACTTATTCACTATGTAGCCGCTCGCATAATCGATTGACAAGCTCCGGAGAGGGCTGACACAGCACTGAAAGGACACAGTGCAAACCTATCGTGCAGCAAAAAGACGCATCGCTGTCCACGCTACTTTTCTTGCAGTGCATGCTCCGCGTCCACCCAAAGCGATGAGGGGGAGGGAACAAGGTGTGCACTCTGATACGCGGGGACGCTCGGGTCTAACGTACCGCGACCCAGTGCCATGATCGGGCGCGGGCGGTCCGGTAGCATTTCGACCACACCCGGGCAGCTCTGGAAGGACCTCCGGGAGTCTCGGGCGGAGCGCGATCGGTCCGTCCACCTCGCGGCGACGTTGGAAGAGGAGAGCAATGTCAACAGTTGGGAAATGCTCTCAAACCTGGGGACGAACCTGTATGGATTACAAATATGTCTGGGTCTGGAAGAATGGAACTTGTAATGCTGTGTGCGGATTCTAGAAATATCTGTGTTGCATGAGCAGCAAGAGGAGTCCAGTTCCTAGCACGCGGAGAGGGCATTTCTCATGCGCAATTAGCATCAAGAAGCTCTCAAAAAATCTGTAATGCTAGCGCCAGCATCACAGACCTCGCGGGTCATGCAAAATGTGCATGACATTGACAAGCCTCGACTCTTCCAGACCCAGACATTTTTGGAGTTGATAACCTGTCGCAGAGGTCCATTGTCGGGGGCCCGAAGCATTCCATGTCCATGGTGTCCATCGGGTCCAACGCACCGCTCGGAATCCACCCCGAAATAGTCTATCCGTCCGCGGTACCGGAAGAAGACGAAAAGGAAAGCAAATAAGGTGCAGACTGAGCAGCTGTCGGGCGGGGAGCACACCTACTTTTTTGCTCCAAGCGCACGACCACGATTTTAACATTCTATGCCTGATGCTCGTGCCTGATCACACTCGGGTTGTATCGTCCGTGACGAAGACAAGAGAAAGTTGTCTTGGTGCGGAATTAAGATCTGCAAGGCTAAGGCGTGCAGCTTGTTGCTCTCTCGCGTCCAGCATCATAGATATGAGTATGATCGTATATTTGGGGTTTTCAGACGGTCACTATCAACGGTTTTCGCAGCTGGTGTGAGCCGCTTAATGGATAAGGACTTGAAAAAATATGATGATTCTGAAAAGTAATGTACAGTAGCGATGTGTCCAAATTGAAATTCGACTGTTTTACAATATCGGAGCAGGTTTGTCCAGAATCTTCGCCGTATTTTGAATTTGATTCTTCCTCTTGTACAGACACTGTTGCTCGTCGTAGTGCTTTCAGGTGCTCTTTGTTCGCATGAAATTGAATTAACTAGTGCTATTTCATCAATCGGCTGATAGATTACGATATCGGAAATGCAAATAGGTATTAGTGCTAGCGAGAACAACTGAGTAGAAAAAATCATTGCTGGAGTCCATCATCAATGCGCAGCATCAATGAAAAATTGATGAGCGCTGCAATACAAGTTTCCGTAATAACTATGAAATATATGATTTGTTGGTGAAGAACAAGTAAAAAAGTGAAAGTGTAGAAATCGCTGGACCATGTCGCATAAGTCTTGCGCAACATCGCAAAAGAAAACCTGACAAAGTATAGCGATAGGTGCTAGGAAATAACAATAAGTAAGTGCCATCATTCAACAAAGGGATTTGCAGCTGCAAAAGCTATTGCTATTATGGGCATGGATTATTTGAAGTTGGTTGCCTACGTTTTCCAGTCGGGCTGCCGAAAAAGAAGAAGCGCAGCCCTTCCCTATAACACCGATATTACAACTAGTGCACTGCATAACTAAGTTCTGCGCACCACCATATGCACAGGCGTGGGTTCTGAATTCGCATCAGTATCTGCTACTGCTTTTGGCATAATTTTTCCGACTGTCGGAATATTTGCCAAACGAGAAAAATCATACAAAATGTTATGAATTATCAGACAATTTGAATTTGAATTCGCGTTCTCCTATCTATAAGCACTCGAGAAACTGCAATGCTCTGTGAGAACCTATCTTCTGTTCGGTGTTGGCGATTTTCGTGTTGCAGTGTATTTGTTCTTAGCCACACAGCACATCATGCTCACTATTGAAACGACTTCTCCTCGGTGGTTTTATTTTTTGCATATGAAGAAAATCACCTTAGTAGCAAGCCGTCCGCTCTTCCAGGTCGACAATGTTGAGCTATGAAGAAAACAAATTTCGAAACAGCAACACGAAAGATAAAGAACTCCTGGCTTTATATATACCCCGATGTGAAGATCAACAGTATCGGAATACGCAGCATTTCGATCACGAAAAATACGATCAATTCACCTTTCATCGTGCAGTCGAATCTTTGACCTTGCCCTTGATTTTGGTTAAGGATGTGTTTATGATCATTTCCGTGGCTGCATGAATAATAATTTCTTGTTACTCGGGGGTTATAACGTTAACATCCGGTGGATGTCACGACCAGATGTTAATGTGAAAATATACACAGATAATTCACCTCGTTTATGTAGTAAGTTAATCGTATTACACACAGGAAAGAAATGCCGCGGCAGCACCTTCGGAAAAGAGAGGTTTAGCGTTAGGACGAACCACCATGGGAGGCAAGAAGCAGGAGCCGAAAGGTCAGCCCCAAGGGGCGCCGCAACAGCTTGGAGGAGACAAAGCCAAAAGCGGTAGCAAAAACAAAAAAGCACCAGCGACGGCACCAGAAGCCGCGCAAGGAGCAAATGCTAATGCGAAGAACATCAGCAAGAATAACAATATTAAGGCGTCGAACTTGACTGGAAATGCGGCCCCGCCTTCCAAATCGAAAAAACAGTTGGCAGAGGAGCGGCGGCGGGCGGCAGAGGAGCAGAAGGCACAAAGAGACGCTGTCTGGGATAACATGCTGAACCCGGCGTGCGAGGACCTGTCCGAAGGAACGTCAGACGAGGACGAAAGTGCCGCCTTACAGCCTGAGCGAAAGGCAGGGAACAGCGACAAAATTGGAAAGTTTTCACCAGCAAAAAGAGCTACGGAAGATGACACGAGCGCCGGCGATGGTGCTCGCAGCTGCAAGAATTTTTCCAGCTCCGCCAGTGCGGACCGAAAGCTCGTTGATGTCATGATCGCTGCCGATGCTGGCGCAGCAGAGGACGAAGTGGCTAAATCCAGCCAGAGACTTCGAAGACAGGGCCTGCAAAATGAAGAAATCGATGTTGCAAAGCAATACGAGGCAGCGAAGGCAGAGCTCGAGAAACTCCAGAAGAAGGCGGAAACGAACGCGAAAGGCTTGTCGAATAAAGACAAGCGGTCACTGGAGAAATTAACTCAAAAGGTCGCGGAACTGGAGGAAGACGCAAGACGAGATCAGGAAAGTAAAAGCTGTCCGATATTAGACGATAGCGTGCCCGACACTCGGCTGCTTGCAGAAAAATACTCGGAAAAGCTTCGGCCCTTTCACTTTTCGATCGCCGACGAAGCCACAGCCGCATCACAAAGCACCGACCTCATCATCGACCGGTTTTCCATAAGTGTAAAAGGCCAAAAGCTTTTCGACGACGCGCCACTGAAACTTGTACAAGGGCGCAGGTACGGGCTTCTCGGGCCCAACGGGCGCGGAAAAAGCACATTGCTGCTGCACCTCGCAGCCGGGAAGTTTCCGATGCCAAGCACATGGAGCTGCATCTTAGTGGAGCAAGAGGTAGCCGCGTCCTCCCGGTCGTGCGTGGAAGAAGTGCTCTTTGCCGACCAGGAATTGCAGAAGTGGCGGCGAGAAGAGGCAGACCTTTTCGCGCAGCTCGCGTATACTTCTTCTTATCACCTCACTTCCCGTTGTTCCCTTTCCACACAAATATTACTAGCAAAGCCAGCTTCGCCTGCAGGTAGGCATTAGAAGAAATGCAAATGTCAGCTAGCATCATCTAGATAAACAAATCAAAAAAAAAGAAGCGCCGGCCCCAAAACAAAGCCGCGGCGCGCCCAATGTGGTCGTCGCGGCTCCGGCTCGCCCAGATTGGTCGCTCCATTTCCGGCGCGCCCAGTCTGGTCGTCCCGGCTCCGGCGCGCCCAGTCTGATCGCCCCGGCTGCGGCGTTCCCGACCTGGTTGCCTCGGCTTCGGCGCGCCCAATCTGATCAACCCGGTCCCGAACGGTCGGGACGATTTTTGGCTGGTCCGACGGCCGTCGGACGACTTTGGGCTGTCCGACGGCCGTCGGATGACTTTCGGTTGTCCGACCGCCGTCGGACGACTTTTGGGTATCCGACGGCCGTCGGACGACTTTCGGCTGTGCGACGGCCGTCGAGCAACTTCTGAGCCGTCGGGCGACTTTTGGCCGCCCGACGGCCATCGGACGACTTTTGGGCCGTGGGATAGCTTTTGGATGTCCGAGGGCCGTCGGAGGAATTTTGGCCGTCCGACGGCCGTCGGACGACTTTTGGTTGTCCGACGGCCGTCGGGCGGCTTTTGTTTGGTTGTCCGACGGCCGTCGCACGACTTTCTGACTGGCCGCCGGACGACTTTCGGCTGTCCGACGGCCGGCGGACAACTTTTGGCCGTCCGACGGCCGTCGGACAACTTCTGGCCGTCGGACGACTTTGGGGCCGTCGGACAATTTCGGGCCGTCCGACGGCCGTCGGGCGACTTTTGGGCCGCCGGACAACTTTTGGCTGTCCGACGAGCGTCGGACGACTTTTGGCTGTCCGACGGCCGTCGGGCGACTTTTGGGCCGTTGGACAACTTCTGGGTGGCCGTCCGACGGCCGTCGGGCGATTTTTGGCTGTCCGACGACCATCGAACGACTTTTGGCCGTTCGACGGGCGTCAGACAACTTTTGGCCGTCCGACGGCCGTCGGCTCGGACGACTTTCGGTTGTCCGACGGCCGTCTTGAAGTCGAAAGCGAAACTCAAACTCCAAGTGGATTCTGAAACTCGAAGTCGAAACTGAAACTGGAACTCAAACTGAGTGTCGAAATTCAAACTCAAGCTGAACGCTGAAACTCAAACTCAAACTCAATGTTGAGACTCAAACTCAATGTTGAGACTCAAACTCAAACTCAACGCTGAAACTCAAACTCAAACTGACACTTGCACTCTTTTACGCCAAGGTAGTTAGTATCTATACCAGGATAAGATTTCATTTTCAGCATTGTTTAATATTGTTGATTTACATCAACTACAACTTCAACTCAAGGTTAAGGTGTGACTACTGGATTTGTGCTCCTCGTGTTCATCTTCCTGCGCTAACTACTCGATCGCAATTGTCTCAAATATGTTTAGTTCCAAGCCGTGTGATATAGATGCTGCTCGCTGTAACTGCTGCCGCAGTTTACGTTTTCGAATTTCAGTACGGATTTTTGCTTTGCTTGTTGGCTTGCGCGTTGCGACCACGATTGTAGTACTTGTTCTTCCCTCCACCATTTCAGGGTCATCGAGAATGACGGTGTTGAAGCTGCGGGTCTACTAGGTGACGACCCAGTCGCAGCAGCGAAGGCATTGGAGGCGCTCGTGGACCGGGCACAAGAAGTGAGTAGCAATTTGACGGAAAAGGAGTCAGCCGAATCGGAAGTGCGACGCATTCTTGCGGGTCTGGGGTTTTCCGAGGAGGGTATGGAAGCGGCAACAGAGAACTTTAGTGGGGGCTGGCGTATGCGCATCGCGCTGGCCAAGGGCTTGTTTCTGAAGCCCAAGCTCCTCCTGTTGGACGAACCAACGAACCACTTGGACCTGGAGGCGGCATGTTGGTTGGAGGATTACTATCCAAGAACAGAAGAGTTTTTGCACTCGACGACCCAGGCCAGAGAAAGTAGAAAGATCATTCTTATGTTTGCTCGCGCTGGCTGCAATACAGAAAGCATTGCGAAGACATGCGAAGACCAAAAGGGAGTTGATTCTCTATTATGCAGAATGCAGTTACTGCTTGATGTCCTGCTCCTTCGGGTCTTGATGTCCTCCTTCGGGTCTGGGACTGTAAAAGCGATTCGTTAATAGGTGCTTTCAGACGTGTTAGTTATGTTGCTAATTATTTGATGCAAAACCAGGACTCCTGCAATTTTCTCTGACACTAAGGCTGAACAACCGCTGCAGCACATATTTCGTTTTTCTCTGGTTGTACAGGTGTCGTCGTGCATTTCTGTAGAATAAGTATTTGGCAAGCTACCCGCACACGCTGCTTACCGTGTCCCACGACGCCGAGTTTCTGGACCAGGTGTGCACGGACATGGTCGCGCTGGTCCCGGAAACGGGCAAACTTTTGTACGCGCGCGGCAGTTACAATTCCTACAAACAGAAGAAAGAGCAAGAGCGAGCGGCGGCCCTGAAAGAGTACAAAAAATCCGGGCAGCGGAAAGATCTGAAGCCCCGCCCCGACTACGTAGTGAACTTTTCCTTCCCGGAAGTAGACGACGTGGCGCATCACGGGTCCGCCAGCTCGTGGATCAGCGCACAAGACGTGTCCTTTGGCTTCAGTGCAGCTTCTCCCGCAGCAGCAGAAGCTTCCGCCCCGGCTGGGAACGAGGGCACAAGAGCAAGCCGCGACATCAGCACGAGTTCAAAACCTATGAGCAAGAGGCTGCACACGGGTCCAGGGACCGATCCGTCATCTTCGTCTTCGGGTGGCGACGACGCATTGCTGTTCAAGGATTTGTCGTTGCGCGTGGACGAAAGCTCCCGAATAGCGCTCGTTGGTCCCAACGGCTGCGGCAAAAGTACTTTGTTGCGATTGCTGATGAAAATGCAGGTCGAGCCGCAGGATGGCTTTGTGGAGCACAGCAAGCAATTGCGTGTGGGGTACTACTCGCAGCACTTCGAGGAACTGCTGCCTTTAAGGAAGAAAGCCGCAGTCGGCTCTTCTACCACTGCAACGAAGGGGGCCAGCGGCGGAATTTCGGCCTGCGAATTTTTTGTGCAGCAATTCCAACTGAGTGAGCAAAAGGCACGGGCCACCCTCGGATCGTTCGGCCTGCAGTCCGCACAGCATCTGATCCCCATGACGGAGCTCTCGGGCGGGCAGAAGGCTCGTGTTTGCTTCGCCAAGATCACCTTGCAGAAACCGCGGCTGCTGATTTTTGACGAGCCGACCAACCACCTCGACTTGGAATCCGTAGAAGCGCTTATGGAAGCCCTGGAAACCTACAGCGGTGGGGTAGTGCTTGTCAGTCACGACGCGCGACTAGTGCGGAGCGTCACGAATGTCGAGCACGCATCCTGCGCACCCGGCACTGTGTACAAAGTCGAACGGGAAGGGCTCGTTGAGATCTCTTACTCCAGATACGTGCGGCAAGTCTTGAACGAGATCGAGCTCCGAGCACAGGCCAGTCAAGCGAGAGCGCAAAAGAAACAAGCTGAGGCAGAGGAGAAGAGAAAACAAAAGCTGCGCTCAGTGCAAAACAAGTACAAGGCCGGGGGCTCGAAGAAAATATGAGTCCGACCCTAGTAATTGTAATACTGCACATACAGCGATAAATAGCGCTAGATGTTGCGAGAGTCACATCTGACAGCTGTCCTAGTGTTTTTCCCGGATTCAGTCTCAAGACCTTATGGTCATGAACTACTTACACGAAATGTTCAACAGATATGTAAGTGGAGTCACCAATAGATATTGGACGGCCGCGACACGTACAAGTAGTCACAATCACATGACATTGAGTGAGAGAAGATTCTTGTCGCTCCTCGTTCTATTCGTGAAAAGAGGTCGTTGATGAAATTGGCGAGGATTGAATGAGACGTCGCGTGAAAAAGAAATACCAACCCTCCGCGATCGTGTTTTATGTCGACGACTATTTCGTCCTTCGTTCGCACCTCGACGACGTTCCATGAGAGTTATGTTGCAGTTTCTTTCGCAGACAGAGGCAGAGCATCCAAGTTGATGTCCTGCTCCGACGTGGTGCAAAAATTATCTCCAAATTAGTACCAACTGATCACGCGTGTGGATGTCCTCTTGCTCCTCACCAGAAACAAGATGAAGTCTTACACATACCTCTTGGTCGCTCAGTGGTCGGTCTTCCAACTTGCGACTGCGAGACAGCGCATGCTCCGGCGAGAGCCGCGACCGCTACCAGTTAGCGAGGAGGTGGTATCTCCATCGAGCCAGGCGCTCGGTCACCAAGAGCCAGATGAACAAGGAGCAAAAGACGACTCCTCAACCACTTTCCTCGCTCTCGGAGAAGACGAGGAACAGCATGGGGGTGCTAGAGCCAAGCCCAAGGCCACGAAGCGGAAAAATGAAAATCGCGATGAACGAGGGGGTACAACTACAACTTCTCCCGACCACGGAGCGGCACAGCGTGTCAACCAAGGAGATAATTACGGAGACAAGGTGAACTATGACCTGGATGCGATGGATAACGAAGGGTGCTCCAACCTGAACAAGTTGCATGTGCGAGAGTCGAGGTTGCGGTACAACGAGGACCCACTTTCGTATCAGATTCGGCAGCTGGGAACGATGCTGAGCCGCGCGGAACGCATCACGGACACGGATTCCACAGCGTTCCGTGAAGCCTACACAGCGGCACTGCAGCAGCGTGACTGTTTGTTCTGGCTCATCGACGAAGCAAAGGGCGAGCCGGAGCTTGCTTCTCACAAGGCGATCGACCATGCTGTGGAAGGTATTGATGATTTTCTTCGGAACAATGAACTGCTTCGACGTGCAGAACGAAGCAAAGTAGACCATAGTGCATTTGCCGGCTTCTTTCGACAGCGGGTCGCTCGCACTTGCCTTTTTGAAAAGACCTAAAACCAAGTACAAAAAATAAAAATAATGCGCTCAGTATACTTTTTTTGTTCATGATCATGGGCTCCGGTGAAAACCGCAAATCGGTAATACATACTTACGATGCCGTCGTCGCGTCGTTCTTGAAGAAGATTTCGAACAATCAGACAAGAGTAAGCGGACCTGGTCTTTTTTGAAAACACACAGTTAGTGCTCTCGCGCGCGCCGGTGATATCAGCGCGTTGGAGAAGCGGTACCGCACCCTGTTCAGCGGGGAGGAGAAGCCACGCCATTTGAAGTCGGATGTTTCAACCAGCGATGTCTTGCGAAACAAGGTCCGAAGTGGTGAGTTCGAGGACAAATTTGACAACTACCTTGCCATGCACTATGGAAGCATCAGCTTGGAAATCTACTGCAAAGTGGAAAGTGTAATGATCTGTGTAGAAGTTCGCAAAACGGGCAAGAATGTGCCAAGCGGTTGCTATTAAAGAGCACGCCGGGTGGCGAAAAAGCGGTCCCTCTCCCTATCATCTATTTCCCCTCCGGACCATAGAGACAGTGTGATGAATTGCTGTTGGGTGCTGTCTCAAAATAAAAATGCCATACGTCACCGCTTACTAGGACAGAAGTCCGCTATTGCGGGGGGCCCAAGAACAGGCACAGCTATCCGCTCCATCAATATGCATGCACAAAAAATAAAAACTGTGATTGCAATTGCTATTGCACTTTGAAACTTTGTCGAAGATTTCCAATGGCTGACGCCTCCATATGCACATTGTGCAGGAGAACGACAACGCGCGCCCGGGGGAGAAAACCCTCCTGTCGGAGGGGACCGCGCACAACAGCGCGGGCGAGTCCATGGTGGACGTAGTGGAGAAGGCGGGCGCCTGGTTTGGGAAGCAGGAACGAGTAGCAAAGCGGCTGCGAGACGACTACAGCCAAATGCAAAATCACTTGGAGGCGGCTGCCGTCAGTCTGCCCGCAGACATCGAAGCGAACCCGCCGGAGTACCCGGACGGTATCGTGAATGGCGCGAAGGCACTGAAAAACCTGCGCAGCGTCGTGCCAAGCTTCATCCGTCACACGAAGGACAAACTGATGAAAATTTTCGAACAGGTTTGAATGTAGTTTGTCGAATTTAAGAACAAGAAAACAGCAATGCGAAAGTGCCCTGTAGTGCGTGAGAATGAGAAGTGTAAACGTTGTTGGGGATGATGAACCTCCCGTCAAGAACACCCTCCTACCAGAAGAAGAAAAAGTAGGGTGCGCCATAGCAACATGAGGGTGACGAGTGCGGCGCCCAAACTCTCAGTTACTTAACCTTTCTGAATGTATGTCTATTATGAACCAATGAAAAATGATGTTTGTGCCTGTGTTTCTGTGTATGTGAATAACCACCGTAGTTCTTCTTCTTGTATAAAAATAAACGAAACAATTCCCCCGCCCGTTTCAGTTTCTTACTCTTAGCACGTCGAAATTTTGCGAATGTAAGCTTTGTTGTAATTGTTGCCGGCTAATACTGATCAAGTAGAATGATGCAGCATAAAAATCTGCAATGATTCAGCACTACAGTCGTCCTCCCCGCCACGGACGAGATGTTCGGAAGACATGGCCTGTCAGGTGACGGGAACTCGAAAAACACAAAGCCACAGCACAAACGCTCACAGTCTTGGAAGAGCGTGTCGACAGAGACAAATTCAAAACGCAAGGAGGGAAAGAAGCTGCTGGGAGAGAGGGAAAAGATAAGTAGCTCCATATGTTGTATCTATAACTGTGATTTAATGTAACTTGGAGCGACAAAGACAATAAAAATTGTGGAGCGAGAGCCGCACCTGAGCAGACTACAAAAACAAAAGTGGACAACAAGCGAAGCATTTCATTTCTCCTGCCGCCCTCGTCTTTTTTCGGATCCTGCCCTGCAGCATCAGACGAAAACAATGAACCAAGGTTTTATTCAACAAAAGAAGAGGTGTGGCTCTAAGTTCAGGCTCACTGCTATACTTTGCGATAGAACTACAAGTATCTGGTTTTATTGCTAGGGCAGGACTGGTGTTACTTACTCGTTTTTTGGTATTGCATCTTGCACCATCTTTCTTGTTTTTGTTACTTTGATTCGTCTTCTTCAGCTCGACGTTGATATCTTTCGTTTGCCGCTGACCGTGTGTACAATTAGAAAAGGAAATGGAGAACTCCTTGCAGGGCCTTTCGGTACTGGTGCCATACGAGCAGCAGCAGCTACTCAGTGCGCGTCAACAAGCAGAAAGGCAGAGCATTTTGGAGCAGTCCCTGCGTGGCGAATCAGCCTTCGTGCGGCTTTCCCTGGATGACCAGGACTTTTTCCACGATGCGTTGGAGGGAGAAGATGGGTCGTCAGCCTCATCTAGCAGCGGTCCTCGCGATCATGATAGGCCAAGATCGACGTACTTGCTCGCGTTCAATTTTCGTTTTATCGTACAACATGAACATGAGTATCAATCGACTTGATGTTAGAATCTTTTGAAGAGAAGCACAGCTTCTCCTTCTGCTACTGATTGTTTTTGAAGAGATTCCACTGTCCTGATTTGTTTTTATGTCCTCGATCGTGTAGTGAAAAAAGGGAGCACCTGACAGATGATATTGATCAGGGTCGTTGTTCCACCTTCGGAGGTCCTTCATGGCGCAGCGCGTAATCGGGCGCCGGGGACTTCACCACTTCACAGTATGCGACCCGGTCTTGTTGGCCAGCAAGATGACCTCCGCACGAGTGCTTCCTCTCACGAGCGGCTCAGCGGGTCGCAGCAAATTCTCTCATCTCCGCTGCCAACCGTGTCGGATCTCATCTGGGGCATGTCTTCTCTGGGCTCCTATCCATTGTTGAAAAAAAGTATCGTACTAGTCCCACTTAATATGTTAGTTGCACGACGACTGAAGTTGTAGTAATTCTAGTTTCCTAAGAAGACATAACGGAATTATGTGTAATGCGCATGCTGGTAAGGAAAGTGAGTTGCATTTGTAGTGATGCTGCATGGCGCTTCGAAGAAAAAGTGTGAGCAGTGCGATGAAACTTTTTTGCCCGAGGATAGCTCTTCTGCTGAGCATCCAATCCAGCATTCGCAGCGCCTCGGGCTCGCGGGTAGGTCGCCTGCCGCGGGTGGAAGCGTCGCGCGCAATGTCAATAACGCTGGTGCTACAGACAGCTTCATCAGCCCGGTCGCCGGGAGGCCGCTAGGAAAAGTGGTAGAAGGCGAAGGTGGCACGACAAGAACTGGTGTGGACGCCGGCATGCGTGCGAACAACATTGGTGATTTTGGCGGCCTCAGACAAAAAGACGAAGAGAAGATTGATCCTGAACTGCGGCACGAAGAAGAAGGCACTCCGTTGGCAGGTCGATATGTTGGATACGCCGCGTCTTCAGAGGCAGATAATGTAGATTTTCGTGATAAAGACAAGTCTTGTTCACGCGACGGAATCCATTCAGCCGCACTGCTGGACGACGTCGTCGAGCCGAACAGAATAGAAAACAGTTCGGAACTGCAAGAATCCGAAGCTGCGGTGCGGCGCGCGACTCCAGCAACAATCAATAAGTGGGAGCATGGAATCGACTTCAACCTCGAGCTTCCGGACTTAAACCATGCCAGCAGCAGCTCCTGCGCAACCACTTCCGAGCGGTTGCATGAAATGCGAGCGGCGGCGGTTCCCAATTGCCACCTGGAATCGTCACCGGAAGGAAGGGACCCGCTGCTCGACACGTTCTACTCCACCGGCACAGCCTGCTCTGCCGCCGCGCCCGCTGCCACGAATACTGATGAAACCGGCACGGCTGCCACGGACAAGGATGAAACGGGCCCCCGCGGACAGCAGCAGTGCCAGCCGAGAGCGCCGAAAATGGAGGCGGTCTCCCAAGCCACCAGAGGCTGCGACGAAGACGAACTCTCGCCAATCAAGGCGGGCCGTTGCTTCGTCGAAGAAAGAGCTAGGACCAGCGGGGAAGACCAAGAAGTTAGGCGTGGAGTAGAGATCGATGATGCCACTCGTCCCACTGCTTTAAACAAAAACCTGCAAAACGGGGAGGATCGCGCGGCATCTTCTCTTGATGGGGTTCCTGGTGCAGCTGCACTGCGTGAGGACTGCACCGAGGACGTGACGACTCGCGTGGAGAAAGTGAAGCAGAATCTTCAGGAAAGCAGTGACCGTTTGCACGCGCGTGCACAGAAGCTACTGGAAGAGCTCCGCCTCGAGAACGACAATGCTCCAGCTTTGCCATTGCCAACCTTTGATCTTCCAGCTACAGCAGAAAGTCCCGAGGGGGAACCGATAGGCAGTGGCTTTGAAGACGGAAGCAAGATCAACAGGATTGACTGTGCTGGCATCAAACCGAACACAATGATGCCAAGAATTTGTGATGTGGACGACATCAAGGACAGCCAAGAGCTGCATCAGGCGCAAGAAGACAACATGTTGAGCCGCGAGCTTCATGTCGATGAAATCACACGTTCTTCGCAAAAGGAGCCTGGAGAGGGCGGGCTCGGGGAGCTGCCTGAGGCGCGCGGTTTCAGAGGAGTCACTAAGGCTGACTACGATAAACTTTATGCAAGAACCGCTACCGCAACCGCTTCTGTCCCGAACAAGGCTGAAACAACGAGGACAACGAGTGCACCCAGGGAAAACGAAAAGGTGATGCAGGACCCCAGGCAAGATTTAGGTTGTACTCCCTGTCGAACATCTTCGAGCCCGGAGGCCGACGGCGGCGCGTGCAAGACATCGATACGAGATCAAGACGTACAAATTCAAATAACATAAACACAAATTGGAAGATGAAGTAGCGGAGGCAACTTTGTTTTTTTTTATTTGAAAAGAAGTACTACGTAGTAGATAGACGACTCCCGTTGTAATACCTCATCATCCTCTTGTTGTAGTTGCTCTTGATGATGTTGATGCTAGGCGACGACTTGAATTTGATCGAGATCGCGTCACATGTGCTAGTATGTGTACTACAATATAAATATGGAGGCGCGACGGCGACTCCATATTTATAGTTCCCAAAATGAACAAGAACAACAGAGCACGGATCGCCGGGGCTAAAGATACATGAAAAAGAGGAATTTGAAATGATGCAACCGCACCAGGTTAATATGCTGGGAACAAGTCCGCAGCTGGTCGACGAGACTGGAATGAAATTCACCACCCCACGTGCGAGCGGGGTGCTGCCAGATTGTGGTCTTGTTCGCGAGCCGCTTCGGGCGTCGGACAGCTTTCGTCGTGCCTCCCCAGATGCGGTAAAGTCAACATCACCACAGGAGCTGCGCCAGGAGCTATCTACTTCTGCTTTCCATACCCCAGCGAGCGTGTACCACTTGAGTGACCAAGGCAGTGTGAATCGCACCCTCGCGGAGGAAATGGTAGGGGATTGTTTGATATCCCCTGCAGCAAAAGTATCGCACTCGTAGCAAGAACCGCAGGCACATCGTGCCGCAGCACAATTATGACAATATCATATATCTTTACTTTTTTTGTAAGCTAGATCAGCAACATTCCGCAAGCTTGCCATTCTTCTAAAGGAAATCGATATTCTCATGCAATAGGTACTGCTCAAATAAATAGATATAAAATTGATAAATTTGACGACTACGATAGCGATACCTTTGCGATGCATATTTCACCTCTTACGACTTCGACTTCGAGGACGAGACTCCTGCAGCTGGTTACGCTTCAATCCGTAGCGGTACTTTCGAGCAGCCACAGTGGAACAAGAGCAACAGCAAGGAATCCCATGACACGATCGCACACCAAACGCAAACCACGGACGATCCTGCTCCTCGTGGGGGTGCACGACGACTCGCGGCGGACAGTCAAGATCATGCTACCAACTCCACCCTGCTGCGCTCCCCAACGCCAACAAAAGGTGATGCAGGGTTGGCTCTTAATGATCTTCAGGAAAATGCAATGGACAGACGAGGAGGATGTGGCGACGAAGACCACTTGGAGGATCAAAGCACGCCTTCAACACTACACGCCGTTGCAGCAGCTGCGCGTAGTTGTAGCACTGCCAATCACGACGTCAATGTCAGAAACATGGCGGAGAATGCTAATGCATCTGGGGACGAAGAGCCTCCTGCAGCCGCGCTTGCGTCCCTGAACTCCAATGCGCACTCGAGCTTGTCCACAGCCTCCAGCAATGTTCCCACGATTCTTCTGGCAGAGCCAGAAGATGTCGAACTACACGCAGAACAATTGTGTGTCAACCCTGCCGCGAACAAGAACATCAAGAACCACCAGCAGGAAGATTGCCGCATTTTTGACGACGATGATTCGGCGAGTGGCACATTCAAAACTCTAACGCCCGGAGGAGCTACGAGGGAACGATCTAGTCGTAGTCAGGACGATGCAGGAGCATTAGAACTTCAGCAAGGTCGTGAGAAGTCTCCTTTTTTTGCTTCAGCGCTGAGCATCTCCAGCACCCGAGAAGAGCAAGCTGCTGCAAGCACGGGGCCACCAAATGATCTTGACGCTCTTGATAAGGCGACGCTGGGCGGAAGTCTTGTGAAGCTAAGCAGCTCCTTCGAGCAGATGGGAGAAACTCTAGGCCAGACGCAAATGTTCAGCGCATTGGATCACATGGTCGAAGCTCCTGTGCAGCACCAAGAGCGGTCTGATGAAGGAACCTTCAGACCGGACAACGACAGCTGCAAGAGCAACCGTGAGTCTCTCGTCGAACAAAGACCGCAGAATGAGCTACTGCTGGCAGGAGAGAAACAGGAACAACAGCAAAAACATTGGTCGAACTCATCATCAATTATGATAGAGGGCCGGGAGCAGGACGAGCAGCAGGACGAGCAGCACCATGTGATTTTTGACAAGAAGCACATCACCGACACGCGGACGAGCTTGACTGAGCTGGATACAGGAGCAGCCACGGAGGACGAACATTCCTGCTCAACCACGGTTGGAGGCACTGCAACAGGCTACATATGCACTTCAAAAGTATCGGTACCGCCCTAGTAGAAGTAGTTGTAAAAATAATTATTGCACCACACTTGTTCCAGTTCTTTAGTGAAAATGAAATTTTTTGTGATGCTCATTGAGAGGGCAGGAAGGGAAGGCAGGTGAGGTCTCTGCTCCTGCTGCCAGAAAGGAATTACTTTTGATATGGCGAGTGCGATACTTTTGCAAAGGATACTACAACTCGGTGAGCGAAATCACGACTGCGTCAAACTTTCCCTTCTCTGGATACACCACAAAAAGCAGCAATCTGTTGCTGCCGTCCACAGTTAGTACTAGGCGCACTGGACGAGCAGGAACTACGGCAGCCGCGGACGAGGCGGACTCGGCCTCGGGCACCTCGACAGGAAGGGAAGAAGAACTGCTCGACGAGCAGCTGTCTGTACCACATCAAGAAGATGAAGCCCGACACTGTGCTGTTGAGGGTACGCGCACTACGTCTCCCCACAGCAACTCTGTGGCCCCAACAACCACAAGCTCACGAGCAGTCCCAAGTAGAAGTGTCGAAAGTAGAGGACCACTAGTCCCGCAGCGGCAATTAAAGACGCCGGGACAGCATCAGCCTCAGCTAGTGCACGGCCCCAGTGTACGGCGAAGCGCCGCTGGTCATGAGGCGGCTGGACACAAATTGCACGCGGAGCAGCGTCGCGATCTGCATCGCGCGGACCGGGACAAAATGCCTCGGCCGACATTGTGGTCAAAAAATAACAACAAGCCAGACGTAGCAGGAGCTGGTGCGAACTTTACGTCTGCACGGCCCCACTTAGAAACAAGCGGCAGGAACGTCCTGGCTTCTAAAAATGCTGGGCGCGGTGGCAGCGACTCCCGTCGACCGTCTGACGGTGCTCCGGCTGCCCCCCCAAGCCCGGAACAAGTGACCCGGTACCGGGCACTGCGCGTACCGCGCAGCCTGCAGCAGAAGCATTCCGCCGGTCAAGAACAACCACACGAGCAATTACACCCTGAGGACAGCGCCGTGCCCTCGCTATCGTCGACGACGGAAGACCCGAATGGAGCTTTGCAGCACTCGTCGAGTTCAAACGCGCTCAACAGGCTCCGGACCTCGTCGGACTCCAACACAACAGGGAGATCGCTTCTGGACAATTTGTCGAAGGTGATGCATCGTGGGCAGTATCGGCGTTGCAAATGTGTCTGGGTCGTCCGAAAAGGTGCAGATAACTTGTCGTGACGCAGCGCCCTATCACTAATCAGTATACGTACAAAGTAATACAAAGTAAAAAACGCGTCTCACTATTAAGAGGTGGAGGCATTCTTTTTCTTGCCAAATCGTTGTATAATATACTTGTTCCGACGATGAAGATGCTACGCCACTTATTCGAGACCTTCGCGGCCAATCAAAACGTTGTACATGCACTCTTGGTCTTGATGCACACCCAGACATATTTGCATGCGATGGGCAGCAACGAGCTCACAACGAACACGCCGTGATGAATAACGGTCAAGCACAGGGGGCGCACTCAAAGGAGCTCCGGGAGCAGCAGCTACGCCGAGCAGCAGAAAACGCTGAAGCGCATCGAGCCCGTCTCTTGCGCGGCCGTGGTCGATCTCAAACAGACGGCCGCATCGATGGTAATGCCAAGACCGCCCCTGGTGGAGGTGGTGCTCATCACCCAGGAACAGTAGCAGCTGCTCTGCCCTCTGCAGCATCTTCAACGCGCGGGTCGAAAGCGAAGAAAGGAAAGGATCAGCTTCAATTTCAACGACATAACGCAGAGAAAATGAAAAACAAAAAGAACCTTGATGTCAGGGACGAAGCCGCTAGCATTTCATTCTCCAGCGGCCATGGGACAGAAAGACTAGGAGAGCAGCTTGAAGACGGGTCATCCATTCCTCGAGCGCGGTCCATGTCGACGTGCTCCTCCTCGCGCATGCAGCGCGTCACCGCAACCTCGGCGAGTGCTTCTGCAAAGATGCGAAGTGCTGCCCCCGATGCGGCTTTTGCAGGCGGCCAAGAGCAAGCCGCGCCGCAGCAAGTTTTTCAGGACAAAGTAGTTGCTGCGTCGTCGTCCTCGCAGCAGGAGCTTGATAATGCGGGAGATAAATCTTGGTCAGGCGCCGCAGAAGAGTACCAGGATGCTAATACTCCTACGCAGCTGCCACACGGCAGCACCGCAGCGCCTGAGCCGCCTTCCGAAACGAAAATCTTTCGAATTGCTGAAGCGGTCCGGATAGCGCCCGGTCTACCGCCAGAGCTGCGTGGAGACCTGCTTTCACTCCTGGAATCGCGGAAATAGCACACAGCTGCAGCACACCAGCTGTACCTGCAAGGATGATGATGATGATGATGAACGACGAAGATGAGAGCAGGTTTAGGGTTTTGATGGAGGACGGGTCGCGCAGCTGCACAGCAGCCACCCTAGTATAGAAATGAACGACGCGGCGGTGGCCCGTTTCAATGACTCCAATTTATCAGTATGAACTTTCTTCGGTGCGTGAGGAGGTGGATGATCGAAAGCTGGGCATCGCCAATCCTGGTTTATTGGTTGCCCGTTGGAATCGTGAAGTAGATCATGGATTAAGCCTATTTTTTTCGAAAGCTGGGAGCAAAACCCTAGTCGCAGGACGGTCCGCCATTGTGCTGCATCGTGAAAGTCTAAGCCTAGTTCGGTTGCTGCCCTCCATTGGAAAAGATCGTCACTGTGATCCTTGGATCCCCCAAAAGCTCTTTCGATCTGCTGGTGCCAAGTCTCCATTTATTTAGGCACGCCATTATATCAACATTTAAACGCCAAACCATACCAGCCCTGTTTAAAGTCATTAAGAAACTTGAAGAGAGTCGACGACCAAGAGAACCCGAACATCAGCAAAAACCCCTTCAGCAAAGTTGTGAACTTCAGCGTTCACGACGCCCCCTTGGTCACGCCCGCTATGCCCGGGCTCAGGGAGGAGACATAGCGACAAAGGCCGCGCACGCTCAGCAAGTCCCCCAGACTCGCCGACCTGTTGGTGATGTCGGCCACCAGCTTCTCGATGTTTGCAACACATTTCGCCACCTTCTCCTGTGGAATGAACACGGACAGACGAGACCCGTCCGGACTCAGGTCGTAGGCGATCCCCAGGGACACCAAGACCCGCTGCACAGTGTGCGACTCTGATTTTTTGTGTGCAACAGTCCAGCCGGTCAGTGCTAGATACAAATCCAGAAGGGCTGCACAGGACGCCAGGGCCCGAAGGCGCGCGAACAGCGTCGCGTCGTCTATATAAAATGGACAAGCGAGGCGCAGCAAAGTCACACAGATCAACATGTGGACTTCACTGACCCCGATGCAATCAAACACAGACCCGAGACTGCCAAACAGGGCAACGTAGGACTTGATCACCCGCCATTGCCGTGCGCCGCGGCAGCTCTTCCCCCGGGGCCGTGGTAATGCAACAAGATTCTCGCCAGGCGTGGACACGCAAAGCTGGTAGTAGTAGCCCTCTAGGTCGCGAGTAGCCAATGCCGCGGTAAAACCGAACTCGTCGCCCGGCTCCCTGCTCTCATCCGTAGCAGCCGCGCGGCACGGGGGAAGCGCGAAAGGCTTCGCGTGATTCCGCAGAAAAGCCCGCTCACAAAAGGTGTCGGCGATTACATCCCTCTTGGTCTGGAAACAGGACGCAACCGAACCGGACGAACTCGCGCACAGCTCCGCGACCTCCACGGAGTGGCGGGGCCCCAGGAGGCGAATCCTATCCGCCGGCCGCATGTGTTTGTTGTGCGGTCTGAAATCTACACAGAGCCGCGTCTTGTTCTTTTGCTCAACTGGGAACCCGATCGCCGGAACGGAAGAAAGAGGCGCGGCGGGATCAAGTTCGACCCAGATGCCGGCAGCGATATTGGCGTCTGCCTGCCTCTCCATCTCCAGCACCTGTTCCTCTGACGCCCAATGATCGGCCGGCGGACGCCATTTGGCAGGATCCAGCACCGGAGGAGCAGCCCCCTGCGCATCATCTGCAGTCGGCAAGGCTTCTCTCCAGAACCCGCAGGGGGGAATGTCGCCCCGTGTGGTAACACCAGTCAGGAGCTTCTGCCTGCACGCCTTCATCTTTAGCTTGTCCGCCGGCGTCACGAACGGGTCCTGAAGCCTGTCCACCGCGAGGTCCAGAAGGAAAAACCACATCTCCAGCTGCTTCCCGTGGTTTTGATAATTCACCCGCATATGCTCCGGCAGACCCTTCATCGTTATCTCGTTGGCGCCCCGGGTAGCCGAATGCACTGACACGAGCCACCGCGCAAGGATTTCGTTTCTCGCTATAGTTTCCCGTGCGGGGGTTCGCTTTAGCTCCTGTACAACGTCTCGCATCATCCAGGGCATGACAGACCGACACCCATAGGACCGACGCTGATCAAAGATCTCCCCCGCGTGGATCAGGTCCTTCTTCTCATCGTCGGGGGCGGGTGGGAGGGCCATCTTGTTGCAGTTCGTCATCTCCCGCTCGCAGCGAAATAAATAAGGAGATGCGCACACGCTCACGGAGAGATCGCTCACAAGCACCTCAACGAACAGAACACTCACAATCAGTCACACTCACCTCGCGCTCACATCAATCAGTCAAAAAGAAACACAAGAGTGGCACGGACGTTTGTGCCCGCGTCAGCCTGTTTCACGAATTCACGGAGGTAGGACACACACAATCACCGATCTCTCTCTCAAACACAATTATCAGCAGTGCAGGTGGGTTGATAGGCTTCGTAAGGTGTCGACGCAGTAAAACAACATACAGTACTAGATAAAATCGAATCCCGGCGCTGGCGTAGACCTGAAGGTATGTTTATGGTTTTAGCAAAAAGTCGACACCTCATCCAGCCTATCAACCCACAGGTCAGGATCGATGGCAAGGAAATCGGGTCAGATTAGTCAGGAGTTAGAGCATCCGCCATCTCAGGCTCAAGATCAAGATCTTCACACTCCAGCTTTTGAATGCAAGAGCAAAAGCAGGAAGTAGCAGCATCAAATATCCAAGTGGAGCAGCGTTGCTTTGCAACTCAGAGACGGGCCGGCGGAGAGCCAATGCCTGTGCGTGAGTTCTAAGACAGGGCAGGGAACACACTGATGCGAAACAATAGCAAACTAACTAAACTCTACTAGGCAGAAACTTCTTTTTACAACCAAGGCACCTCTACACACTCAAGCTTCGTTTTCTGGTTTGTAGTAGTTCCACAATGTGGAACATCCAAACACGCGATAAGTGCGCGGCGGCAGATGTCAACACCTAGGCGATGTAAACAAAAAAAAACCTAGGACGCAAGCTCTTGCAGCTTATCGTCCGAAATAGCGAACCCCTTCAGGTCGCGAACAAATTTCAGGCGGTCCAATGAGCCGGAGTGAGCAAATTTACAGGCTGCACCCCGGGCGCAGGAGCCTTTCATCCAGTCATGGCAAAGCAGAGGGGTACTAAACTTGCGGCCCGCCCCGGTGTCGCCCTCCCCCGGGCGCTTGCGGCCCGCATGAGCCTGAATCGTGTCGAGCTTCTTGGACATCTTGGACATGGCGGAGTCGAGGATGCTCGTCACCTTGCGCTCGATCTCGGCCGTCATGCTGTTCTTCTCCTTCTCCAGCTCCGCAGCAGTACGCATCGCAGCCTTCAAAGAGACAGTGAGGGCAACTCTGCACCGGAACTGGTAGGGGTTCGCCTGCCCCGCCGGGGCGGCCGGCATGCTCTGGACGACGCCCTTGGCCTTCTCAAAGTACATGTCCCACACCTTCTTCTTCGGGAGGCCGACGGCGGACGGGGTCAGCATGTCGCCGGTGTGGAGCTTCGTGACGTACTGGATCATTGTGTTGGCCTGATCATCATCAAAAAGACCGATGGCGCGCAGAACACCGCAGAACTGCTGCGGGGCCATCTCCTTGGCCGCCATGTCAATCATGGCCATCATCTGCTCCCCATCGTACCGGCGGCGGTACTTTTGGGTCGTGCCGAAGGTGGGCTTGTACTCCTCCGGGATGTTCTCGACCGCAGCATTGTGGGCAACCAGTTGCGCCGCGGTGGGTAACTGGACCCCTGCGTCTCCAAGGAGACCCATGAATTGCTGCGCAGCGTTTGCATTGGCCATTTTGTCGAGTTTGTTGTTCTGAAGCGAGTGTGTATAAAGGTTCAAACGGTTATCAAGTTCCCCTGCAGGCAAGACAGATACAGAGATAGAAGGGCCACCAAAGAAAGCGAAGCACTCACTTCGTGCCCCCACCGGATCTTGCGTCGTCGACTCTCACGAATGCACTCAATCAGCACTCACGTCACGCAGTCACCACTCACATCACGATATTTCGATTTGTACGACCAGAGCGAGGCGATAGAAAAACTTGAGAACGGGAGCGACTGAAGATCACGGGCATCATGTACAGCAGGCTTAATAGCATAAATTTTCTTCGGAACCTTATTGGGTCTTCGTTCCGATGGGGAGCGGATCCGGGGCAACATTTATGATTTATCATCAGCAAGATTCAGGAGCGTCAATCAGCATTTTGCTTACTTACTTCAAAAACATCAATGGGATTACTTGATCACATTCAGCGGGGCAGAGAGCGGCCAACGGATTGCCGTCATCTCCGTGCAATTCACGGAGCAACCGTCGAGATAGGCCGCCATTGTCTGGAACTGCTTCCAGCGGCCCAGCTTCTTGATCGACAAATGGTCCAGGCCGCCCTGACTCACCGCCTGGGCCCCACCAATGCGGAAGCTGTACAGGCCCCACTCACTTCGAGTCGTGTTGACCTTCTTGTTCGGGATCTTGCACCGCTCCAGGATGCTTGCAAAACAGCGGCGGTGGAGCGTCATGGGCTGTTGACTCCAGGCGGCCCAGGCCGCGTCCGAAACACAGTGCGCCGCGCAGAGCTTCCGCGACAAGCCGGCAGTGACAGACAAGTCACAGGAACACCGGAACGACGCATCAAAGCCGCGACCCCCCTGGTCGACCTTCGACTTCGACAAGTGATATCGCGCATCGCCCGAAGGCGTTATCGTGCGCGAGAGGTCTCGCAGCTCGTCCGGGCGGGACAACAACAGCCAAGCCGAAACCGCAAACCCCAACCACTCCGCGCAGGAAAACTGTTGCCCCTTATGCTCAACCTTTGTATCATCGGCGGCGGTAATCACGTCAACAGCGGCCCAGAAGCTACAAAGAACGGGCTTCTCCTGGCTTGGGCTCGCGTCCAGCTGTAGAATTTTGAAACACCGGGCGTACTCCGCCTGCAAGGTGGCCGACCAGGACACCTTGCCATCTACACTCGCCTTGATGTTGGCAAGGTATATCGCCGCACTATTATCGATGCCGCTGCACTTGTGCAAAACTGCGGCAATGAGCCGAAGCTTTTCTTCGTCGAGCGGGGCCCCGACTTCCCAGCCCATCGCACTGCAGATCGGGCTGACGTATTTGCTCACCACGAAACCCTGCGCCGCTTTCGTCCTGGAGGCGTACTGCCGACCCGCGAAATCTTGCACAAGCTTCTCGCGGAAGGCTTTGTTCTGTAGCTTCTCAATGATCTGCCCAAGTGGCAGTTTGCCACCCTCGTCGGCGGCCGCAGCAGCCGCTTGCGTATCCTTCGATCTGTCGAACCTCCGTTTCTTGGCCGCGGGGGGAGGGGCGGTCGGGGACCTATCTTTCTTCTCGTCGGCTGGGGGTTTGTTACTAGCTACTGCCGCACTACTGCTGCTAACGCCGGTCGAGGCGTAAAGCATGGCCCCGTACATCGCAGCCTCTTCAATGTCCATCTTGGGTGGGCGGGCGGGACAAAAAATTCACGACCTACAAAACGGTGTAGGATCACCTCACTGCATGTACCAGAGGACCCTTGCCGGTCGTGCGATCTCTTACAAGTTTCATAATTTCATTAAACGCCAAACCATACCAGCCCTGTTTAAAGTCATTAAGAAACTTGAAGAGAGTCGACGACCAAGAGAACCCGAACATCAGCAAAAACCCCTTCAGCAAAGTTGTGAACTTCAGCGTTCACATTTCTCAAATATTTCTTTCAATTCACTGGCTGTGACCTCGTACTTTGGCGTGGTGGTGCGCGCGAGCAAATCAACGCAAATCTTCTGAATCAAGTGCAAAACCTGAAGGCCGACAAAAACGAGCCTTTCAGGTCATCACGCTGAGGCTCCTGTTGTGACAGTACAAAGGCAGACCCGGGAGGAGCTATCTCAGCATCTGTGGATCGGTCAGCCCAACACAAGGCTGGGCCGACGTCACTCTACAACGAGCTCCATGCCCGGATCTGCGCGAAAATGCGCTGCGAGGCACACTTCCTCCACAAGACCCCCAAAAGGTAGCGAAGCAACGACTGAGCCGAAGCAACGCAAAAAGCTGCACGCGCCTCACCTCGCATCACACTCTTGCGCTCAGTCACGCGAACATCATCGAACTTCAACGAATCAGACTACGGAAGCTGGGGGTGGCGTGTCGTGCTTCCTTGGACACTCTCCTCCTGAACCACATGCATCACGTCACGCCCACAAAAAATTCACGACCTACAAAACGGTGTAGGATCACCTCACTGCATGTACCAGAGGACCCTTGCCGGTCGTGCGATCTCTTACAAGTTTCATAATTTCATAAATCATAGTGCCCTGAGGATCAGCGTTGTATTCTGATTCCGGTCGTTGTCATCGTCTATGATACCGCGATTTGTATTTTTTCTCCTTGTGGGGACTTCGTGTTTGCGTGGTACACCCAGATCGTGATTATTTCTACGAGTTCCTGCTGTGCAAGTGCAGCTTGCTGCGTAGATTGAGATTTTATGTGATGTTTTTGTTGTTGAACCTTTGGAACAATGTTGACAAGAATATAAGGGCGGGTGAGTGTTGATTCGACCATGGAAGCGCCGGCCGCAAGCTTTGCTCCTGAGTCCGGGACGCGGTCTTCTCCCGAGGAAGTACAACAACCTCAAGAGGACAGAGCCGCAGCGTCTTCGCGATCGCAATGTAGTGGTGGATGGTTCTCCACCACAAAAAGCGCGCTCCATCAGATATTTCTGATGGATAATCTGAATGTGTATTCTGTGTTGAGCCTCGAGGCATGGTGCAACGCCGTCAAGGACGGGCTTTGGATGCGACTCATGTCCGTCTACGTCTTGGTTCTCTTCGCCGGCGACCCCCGCAACGCCGGCGTCGTCCTCATGGTAAGCGGGTTGACCCGCGCCTTGTCGGGCGTGGTTACCGGCACACTGCTTGTGCCCGCCTCCAGTGCCGACGTGCTGCTGCAGGCGGCCGGCTGGCTTGGCATTTTGGGATTGCTGGCGAACACGTTCACATTCTGGACCGCCCGAGCCGCAATTTGCAATCCTCAGACAGGAGTCTTCTCGAACTTGTTCAGCAGCATTATTTTTTTGGCGCGTGAAGATGAAAACGTGGAAGAAGATCTTCCTCGTGGCCCCGCTCTGACATGGATCGGTGACGTTGGGACCAGAGGACAGACATTGCTTCATTCTCCGGAGAACGCTGCGAAAGCAGTGAACGCTTTTGATGCCGGGGGTGCGTTTTTACGGAGTGACGTAGGTGAGACCTACCATATCCACAGTAACAAATTTCCCGTACACGTAGAATGTGAATGAATGCGGTTTCTGCAGCATGACTACAAGCTTTTCGTCCTGCAGTGGTCATATAAAGCATGACAGGTGCGTGGCGTTCTTTAAGTATGGCGAAATTTGTGCTGGTTTTGGTACTTACGTGAGTTGCAGCTGCAGGGAATTTGTATTTTTGCATATGGATATGCCATCAAGCCGAGGAGTTTCGCGACGACGAGAAGCAGCGCATGCTGTTTCTCAAGGTTTTGGCAGTCAACTTCATTTGGGGTCTGTTCACTGGCATCTCAAATGCCAGTGGAGAGGTGGCATGGGCGCGTTCAGTGGTGTCCGAGAAGCGCGTCGATGCGAATCTGGGTCGGCAAATGCTGAACAAAGCTACCACCGCCTGCGGGCCCTTGCTCGGCATTTTGTTTGTGATGTCTCTCCAGCACAACGACAAGAACCAGGTTCAGTTTGCAAGCAGAAGTGCCGCGGACACGACAGTAGAACATGCTCAGACCACTCCTGGCTACACCCCGCGAGGAGGAGCTCCAAGGGCCTCCGAATCCGACATGACGTTCTTTGACCGCAGTTCTGCGCTCAACATACTGAATGCGCCGCCAACCACTTCCGGTTCTGACGTGAGGCCACTTGAGCGCAGTTCAACATCAACTTTGGACACGCGGACGAAGCTGCGCGAGCTTCGGGACGCGGGCTGGTCGCTCGAGATGCTGAACCACGTGATGCTCCTCGGCACGCTGCTGACCGTGGTTCCGGTTGTGACCTGTTTCTTTATGCATTGCAAATATGTCTGGGTCTGGAAGACAGTAACTTGTGATGCTAAATCTGCATCATGCTAAAATCTATCTGTGTTGCATAAGTGCCAAAAGCTTTCCACTTTCGACCAAGTTGGGAACGGATTTCTCATGCAGGACAGGCATGACAGAGACCTCGCAGAGTTTGTCATGCTAGGCCCCGCATTCCAGACCTCATGGGTCATGGAAAATCTGCATGACAAGTTGCATTCTTCCAGACCCAGACATATTTGCATTTAATATTCTTCTTTGATCAGCGATTCGAGATGCGTCAGAAAATTCTACTGCGCGAGATTCGAAAGCTGGTTTTCCTCTATGGAAGCGTCAGGTTTGAAATCGTCAAAGTTGAAATAGTTTGCCATGCATAAAATGCAGCCCTCAAAGTGCCTGTCTTGCAGAGTAGGCAAGTGAGGCAGATTGTAAGCCTTTTGAGGGATAGAAACTGAGCTGCTAAAGTAGCATGACAAAAGGCGTCTTTCTTACCCAAACAGCATGACAAACTGGATTTCGGCTCTACCCAAATTTGTCATGCGCTACTTGGAAACTGGGTCACGACTTTCATCCATTCTATGCATTACAAGTTATTTCAACTTTGTCGATTTCAATCCTGACACATCCATATCCTCGATCCCGAAGTTGTCCCTGTCGCAGCAGAGGGAGTTAGCGACGGTGCCTACAACTTGGCACCACCTCCTCTAGGTCCGCCGCCGACGGGAAATATTAAGGCAGATGAAAGAAAAAATGAAGGTAAGAGGGAGAAGATGAAGATGAATCAGCCTTACAGGAGAACCTCCTCTGCTGCCGGAGGGGTCGGAGTCCGTGTTGAGGGGTTGGGGGATGAGAAAGTAGGCTCAGGCTTTCAACACCATCATCTCGATCCAGCTGCAAGTGCCCGAGCGCTGTCGACATCAATGGGCACATCAATCATGGCCAAGAAGCTGCGACCCAGGCCCAGCGGCATCCAGCTTGGCGATTTCTGCCACAAGGTTGAACTCTATTGCGACAGGCTGACAAAGTACAGCTTTGTCGCTGCCCGTCCCGGCTTTGTTCGCCTCAGCTACCCTATCCGGCCCTCTTCGCGGTACGCCAGTCTGTCGGTTTTGAAGAAAACGACTTTGGAGGAAACGGATCTGCTGCTTGGAAAATCCTACGACGCGACAATTAACTTAGCGCCATTATTCTTTGATGAAAATGGCACGTCACTTCTGTCGAATAAGCAGCGCTCTCTTATGAACCACTTCTACAACCTGCACACACACCAGGAGCTGCTTGGGAATAAGGAACATGCTATGGGAGATGAAAGAGGACCTCCGCCAGTGGGAGGACGACCAGGTGAACATGAGACCGCCGCCAGCAACGCAAGCAGGAGGACAGATGATGATGACAATAAAGGCAGCTCTGGTTGTGCTGATCGTTGGAGCACTTCTAGTACTTCTGCAGCCGCAGAGCCGGAGCCGGAGCTACACAAACAACAGAAGTTGAAGCTCGTGCTCCGCATTCCAGAGGTGGACCCCTTGGTGAAAGTGGTTTTCAAAGACAGCAGCCAAGCGCCCCTGCGCGCCACACTCAGCAATCTGAAAATCTTCCTGGATCCGGTCAAGTCGGTGGACTGTCAGACATCGACCATTGTCTGCTCGCTCTCCCCAGAAAGCGACGAGGCCAAAATCCTCAAGCGAAGTCTGGCTGCCTCCTCGGACTCCCTGATGTCGAGAATAGGCGAGATCGTCTCCTTGCGCTCCACATTCCATACCTGCTACAGGCTCTACAAGTGGTGCGGTCACTGGCGGCGCAGCTGCGACATCAAGAGCTCCACCTCGCGCGCAGATCAGGACGCCTCTTCTTTTCCCGGGTCTGATGCGCGCGAGCGCTCCGCGGCTTCTCAAACAGATGCGCAGCCAGCATTGGAAGTAGCGAACCACAGCTGTACTAGCAGAGAGAAGTTCACGACGACGAAACACGACCCCAGGGCGAGCAGTATTGACGTCACGTCCATTGAGGCTGCACTTTTTTCCCCTCAGAGTCGTGACGCATCGAAAAACTCGACAGACAATTTTTTGCGGTCCGCATCGATCCCGCTGCTCAGCGAGAAAAAGACACGGTATGAACGAGCAAGCGCGAAGCCTGAACTTCGAGGAGGCACGCAGGTAGAAGTCTCTAGAACGGGTAAAAATGACGCAGCACCCGCTTCTTCCTTTCCCGGAGCTCAGCACCTGCAAAAGGATTGCGTGGGCACAAGTTCTCTCAGCCAGCCCTTGCTCAAAAATATCGATATTAATAGCCCCGCCGGAACCACAGACCATCTTGGTCTGAGCCCGATCATTGCAGAGGCCTATCGGAAGCACCGCAAGCAGATAAGTGAGGAGGTAGGTACACGTCGAGAGCGAAACCGAGACCGGATATTTCGCGACCTCCAGCTGGAAGACGAACAAGAAGGCCGAACTTTTGCACCCGAGTCTGCACGACCTCCACCTGAGGACAAGCAGGTCCCGCTGGGACCGCAACATGCTAGCGCAGCAGAGATGATGAAAAAGGCTACAAAACAAGAAGGGGCCAACTTCGACGAAAAGTTAGTGCCGCCCCGCCCGTCAACCGGAATCGTGAAACTTGATCGCAACATGCGTAAGCAGCAGCTTCGGGTGAAAATGCAGCCCGCGCCAGGCGAAAAGGGCAACGTCAAGAAATCTTTCGGGAGTAGCGCTTACCGACCCAATCTTTATGGTGCCCGCGTGATTCTGGGATGCGATCTATTGAACGCGGTGGCGACCGGGTTTTCCGGGAAGTTGATTCCTTTGTTTCTGGTGCAGCACTACGGCTTCTCACCGGTGGATGTGCTGTGGGTGGCCTTTTTTTCCAACGTGTGTGCTGTTTGGGTCGCACCGTACACAAAAACCGTCATCAGCTGGACCCGAGACCGTGGCTACCCAGGAAAAGCTGGCGTCTTGCTGGTCTGGCTCCTTGGTGCGGGGCTGTTTGTATCCCCCAGAAAAGTGCACGCATGCTCATACCCGAAAACATATATATCAACCCGCACCACGGGGAGGTTTTAGTGCAAGTGCTACAACGGGGCTGCTCTGTGCTGCTCAACATGACAAACTTTTCTGATACTTTTCGCACGCGAATTGCAATCGCTGGAGCGCGTATAGCATTACAATTTACAACAAAGAAGCATGCATATTATATATAGCATTTTGCATGACAGAGTAAACATGAAATTTCCCCTCTCGTTGCGTTCGTATTTTTCGGAATTTTTCAGTGACACCCACACCACTTCAGCAGCGCAACTTCTTTTTACCTCTCATGCCTGTGCTTTTCTGTGACTATGGGATAGTTTTCCGTCTTGTGTCTACCGCTGGAAGACTTCCTCGCTCGGGAGACCGCCCGGTAAGCATAGCAAATATGTTTGTATTCTAGGTTTGAAAACTTGTGTATCTGCTGTTGATACACAAGTTGCAGAGAAGCGGCTGCTTGCACGACGTAGCAGCATCGCAAGTTTTTCGTTGCACCAGTCTTTTTATTGCAGGTTTATTGTCATTCGTCAAAGAACGCATAAAGAGCACGAAAAAATAGCTGGAGGTGACCACTTGGACGATTCACGATCACGCGCCACACATCTTGTTGCCCTTGAATTCTTGCCAGACAAATCCACACCTAGACTACACATTTGCAATGCATAAGCGCTGGCTTACGACAATTGCGATAATTTTGCGCATATCAAGTGTAAATATGTTTGGGTCTACTTAAAGGTCAAAGTTGCCGTGATGCTGGTTGGTCGTGAGTCAGGAGCTTTCTTGATCACGCCTTGATTTTTGACGGCCAGGAATTTTTTGATGAGGAGGTGTTGCCCATTCTGCATATCAAACTGCGCTCCATCTGTATGTCCGAAATGAAGAATTGGGCTTCGGTTTGCTGCGTAATGTGCATGACATACTTGAGGGTTAAGGTTATGCAAGCCGAACATGACCACAGTGACAAATTTTGCACTCATTCTGCTTCTCGAGTAGACCCAGACATATTATTTGCCATGTATAGGCCAATGCAGTGAACGGTTCCGCGAAAAGCTACCTCCGGGCGAAGCTGGTGAGCTACCTCCCGCACGACAAACTTCCAAACTACATGGCTTGGGACACGCTCAACAAGGCACAGCAGGGCGGGCTGGTCATTTTCGGGTCGCAGCTCGTCTTTTTCGGTGGCTACCGGTTCTGTTTTGCGTTGACGCTTATCTTCTTGGCCTTCCGGTGGCTGGTATTCTACTGGTTTATCGCTTCTACGCACGGCCGCAACTGGTACCGCCTGGATGAAAGAAGTGCTACCTCCTCCGAAGTGCAAAAAGTTCAAGTTTCAAGCAGCAGTATTACGTTCGGCGGAGTAGGGGTTCCAAATCCAGTGACGACTGGGGGTAAAAACATCGGTGTTGCCACCGTGGGGCGATTGATAAAAACAGCGGCTGCAAACAATACCCATAGCAGGGCAGGCGATTCGGCGGCAGCTGGCCTGCCGCGCGAAGCCCCTGCCCCCTCTCCGCCCGAACGCCAGGCCTAGGCCCAGGATCGGCCGCAGCCGTCCCACAAGCTGGCCAGATCGGCGCAGAGGCTGAGGGGAGGGCGCTGCCCAAGGTCTGCACCGGTGCGCGCCCCTGACCCTACCCGGAGGCCCCCCGCGCCCGAATCTGGCTGGCTCCAGCGCGCTGCCGGCCTCGCCAAACTTTCGCCAGAGCTTGGTGTGACAGCTGCCCGAAGGCGCGTAGGCGTATAGGGGCTATGTATAGGGTTGCTCTCATGGATGTGCACAGGCGCGCCAGCATGAGGTAAAAGATGGCGCAAAAGCGCCTGCTTCCGCACAAAAACATGCCCGAGGTGCAAAGTTGTGAAATAGTAAAAAGCGGTCAGATTCTGACGAAAAGGAGACCCCTGACCTCTAGAGGTCTGGGGTCTCCTTTGGGGTCTCCTTTTGCCACTTTTGGCTCGTGATTCAAGATAGAAGTTGTGGAACCTCTAGAGGTCAGGGGTCTCCTTTGTCGTCTCCTTTCGAGAATAGCATGGCGATTGGAAGCAGAAAAAGCCCCGCAGGAAACTCGACCTCTAGAGGTCAGGGGTCTCCTTTGTGGTCTCCTTTTCGTCAGAATCTCGCCCTGTTTGCAGTTTCAATAAAGTAGGCCAAAAAAGGCCCGACCTCTAGAGGTTTTGGTCTCCTTAGGGGTCTCCTTTGGGGTCTCATCGGCTGTAGTGCCACCGTGCAAGGTGTTGCCTATAGGTTTTTGTCTCCTTGTTCGTCAGGTCTTTGGTCTAGTTGGTTGCAGTCTATAGTTCTCTTGGGTACTTTCGGCGGAGTAGGGGTTCCAAATCCAGTGACGACTGGGGGTAGCGACGATATTACCAGCGGCATCGATAGAACCCTAGTGGAAATAGTACCATCTGCGGAGGACACGACGGCTGCCCCTGTTGGAATGAACTTCATCGGCCAGATGAACGGAGAGTCCAGTGCGCCCAGAGGACCGCTGCACAACACTGCGGCGCAGTTGAATGACCAATCGATGCACCATGTTAATCATACGTCAACACTTGATGATGAAGAGAGGAGGTTTATTGTTCCGAGTGAAAGCAGAAAGGCCAAGGGTGAAGATGGTCACGTTGACAGCACCAGCACGACTATTCCTTTTATTGCACATGATCCTGACAGTTTTCCTCGTCCTGCTCCCACCGTTGATGCGGATGCGTTGAGCCTGCACATGAGCCAACAGCCCCTGCTCAAGATCCCGCTACCGCTGGATGACTCCCCGCCATTGCGGAGTGAGGGGGTCAGCAAGCTCCTAGCGGAATGGGAATTTGACGACGACGAAGATGCGGAACTCATTGAGCTGCAAGGCTACAGGACGAACCACGAGGAAGTTCTTGACAACCATGACACGGGTTCCTTTATTGCTGGGAGGTCGACGTTGACGCTCCATCGACCGGAAGAGTCCTCCGCGAGCGAAGAAGAGGACAATGCTGCAACTACGACGCACGCCGAGACTGAGGACGCGGTCGGTTTTTTTGGTACGTCGTCATCAACCGGCGCACGTGGCAGAAGTAGGAATCGTTTTTCGCGGGATTGATCAAGCAACAAGCCTGATGCAACCATGGCAGGGACAGGTTTTGATATTGTCGTACTAGTTTTTTTCTGATTTAAGTACTTAGATAGGTTTTGGTGTCGAGGAGTGTCCCCCGCCGTCAAGAACAACTTTCTGTTTTTTTATGTATTAAGCAGATTGGCTGACCACGGGGACGGGGCGAAGGCGAAGCTCACGGATGTGCCGCAAAAATACTTATTTCGGACGAGGATGGTCTTTTCAGATTTATTTTGCAACAACGAAGTGCGAGTGCCTGCTGGTGACCAGCCTTGGGTATTTTCTGTCGCCATTCTTGATTATGATCATTTGGGGAATCACCATAGCCCCCCGCTTTGATCGTGTTGGTACGACCACTTGCAGTGGTGTGATGTTCTTCATGTGGCGGAAGTTCGTCGGGGATTAACGCTGTTTTCTGTATTGTCTAAATGCACATAGAGTGCTTATTTCGTAGTATCATTCGACGATGATGTTTTTCTTTTGTCATTCCGAGCAAGGAAATCAAACGGAGAGATGGAGGCAGCAGTGGTCATCGGCTTCGCTCAGATGACCGATGACACACGCCTCGATTTTTTTGTTTTTTTGGTGTGTTTTTGATGAAAAATGAGCCACCAGAAGCAGAATGCAAGGAACGCAAATAGTGCCCACCATAGTTACTAGACTGCGAGACGTATAATTAGATTCAGAGTTCATCTTAGAAGCAAGTGAGACCACAAGGACCAAAACCTCCACCTGACATCATCTATTGGGGAACTCTTGTGAAGATCTGTTACGCCACCTAAGCCTAACCCATGGCGATCAAAACCGAGGTTCCTCCAAAGGAGACCATTCCTTTACGGGATGTCTACATCATGATTGGAATCGTTTTCGTCTTCGTTTGCGTCCTGTTTACCGTCCTGACACTTCAGCGTCAGTATGACGAGCGCAAATGGGCTGAACGAGAAAAAAAAGCTGTGAAAAAAAGCGAATGACAAAAAGCAGGCCTATTCTGTATTTCGATTCTGCGACTGCAGCAAGATGGAACCTTGAGCGTAAGCCTCTGGATGTAGAAGTTGTTGAAAAAAGCAATCTTTTGCTCTTTCCGTTCATTGTATCGCTTCGCCGGCTTCTTGTGCCTAGTCCTCCACCATCATTCATGGACAGTTGTAACAAGGAAGCGCTCAGCGCCCACGATGCGTCCTCCTGTGGCACGTCCCTTCAGATTCTGATAGTGTTCGAGGAGGAACAATAATTTGTTCGGTCATGATGAAGAACAAGAATATTGATTCTTGCAGCCAATGAAAGTTCTTGTGATGTCGGTTGTTCCAGTATCCCATGAAAAGTATTTAGATCCTCGCTGTTTGTTTGCTTTTCTACCAGCGCGTTGAAGCTACACAGTAGCCTCTTTTTGGAAACCAAATTCGTTATGCTCGCCCACTCTATCTCCTGTGGCTAGGATCTCCTGTTTGATGTCGTAGTCGTTACCCCCGCCCACGTTATATTAGATTTTGTTTCATTTTATTGATTTTATAATTTTGCAGAATTCGTCCTAAAAATTCAATGCTATTGATGAAAAAGAAGTTTTCATGTAGTTGTTAGTTTTACTTTTACTTAGCGACACTGCGCTCGTCGTCTTCACGCCGATATCCATAACTTTGTATACACTCGTGAGACCACAACTTTCAGTTCAACTACAACAGAACAGACTTCTACGTTTTCTTCGGAGTATTTGTTGTGAAAAAAAAAGATGCTGCGCTTGTCATTCGTGTGTTTGGCGGGATTGTCCTGCTTACCCTGCTCTGCCATCTCAAATTGTGTGTGAGTCAGCTCGTTCCTCAGTAATCTGCTGTGGTGCAACAGCGCAGGTGTGCGGTGCATCTTCGCTTTGCAATTGCTACTACTCTTTGCGCCACGAAAATGCAGCAGCGCACGTCACGGGATCCGTCGAAGTCCTCCTCTGCGGGGTCACAACAAGGGGCCAGCGGAACAAGCTTGTTGGACATCCCAAACCGCGACAGTACCGCCTCCGCAAGTAGTTCCTCGAAAAGAACACAGCCTACGCCCAAACAGGACTACTTGCGGCGAACCAGCAGCATGCCACACGATTCCCTGCAGGCCCAGGGGGAATACTATCACACCTACCTTTGTTTGGACAAAATTCTCGAGGCACAGCACCCAGTAAGTGGGTACCCCGGGGGGGCTCCCGCATCAATCAGCACCACACGAGTGGCGGCCGGCCCCAGCAGTCCAGCTGAAGGACCGCCTGCACAACTCGTCCACGGAAGTGCTTTATTGCCTTCTTCCCTTTATCACAGTGTTGGCAGTTCGGAGGCGAAAGCAGCATCTCCCCTCGTGCCTGGGACGAAACTAAGCGGCTGTCCTGGAGGGACTACGGCGCAGCACGTCGATAGTGCGAAGATACCAAGAACGCCACTACATCATGATGATACAGCCGCGACAGCAGGTGCAGCTGGCTCATCTGCACCACAGCTTCCGCAGGGAGTCCAAACTTCCGAAGACGCAGGCAGCATTCCACACCAAGTGACACAAACCAGCAACGCGTCGAGGCCTCCAGCGCACGAAGAGATGCTGTTTATTGTGATCCACCAGACCTACGAGCTGTGGTTCAAGCAAATTCTGCATGAACTCGAAGCCGTGCACGAAATTTTTTCGCGGACCTGCGTGCCCGAGAACAGCATCTGCGACGTGTGCAACATGCTGTACCGCGTCACCAGGATACAGGAAGTGCTGATCCAGCAGATAACCGTCCTGGAAACCATGACCCCCATGGCGTTCCTCGAGTTTCGTGACTACCTCGTGCCGGCGTCGGGCTTTCAGTCCTGGCAGTTTCGCATGATCGAAATCGCCCTCGGCATACCCCTAGCCCGGCGCAAGTACGGGACCGAGGCGTTTCTGAAGGGAGTCTTCCAAAAGCAGCACTTGGAAATGCTAGAAAAGTGGTCGGAGCGACCCAGTCTCGCAGATCTGGTGGAAAGATGGTTGGAGCGGCTGCCGTTCTACCAGACAGAAGAGTACGACTTCTGGCAGGAGTTTAAGGTTGCGGTTGATGACATGTGCGACAATGACGAGGCGTTGGTAAACAAGGTGCTGGCAGAGGAGAAGCGAGAGGTGGAGTTAAAGGTATGTTTTTTTCGCTGTCAAGCGAGAGCGCTGCTCTTCTGGCTTGTCCCTATTTTTATTTTGTCGCCCAGCCTTTTAATTTTGTGAAACCAGCACTGAAATGTATGACAGATATGCATTGGTATAGACGTTGACGTTTACGTGTTGCGAAGTTGTAGCTCACCCTTGTTGACCACGTTTCCGAGAAGCTACGTCTAGGACAAGGAAAACCATGAATCCTAGAAGAATCATCAATCGCCCAAGATAATTTATTCCAGGCTATCCGCAGCGTTCGGTCATCCTTTGCAAGTCTTTTGGACCCGGACATGCATAAGGAAATGATGAGCCGGAAGGTGCGGCGATGGTCCCAGAAGGCAACCCTCGCTGCACTGTTTATCTTTCTCTACCGCAACGAACCCATGCTGTCAAACCCGTTTCGACTACTAAATTTGTTGATGGAAATCGACGAAAACTTCACGATAAGCATTGCAAATATAATATTGCTCAAGCATTCGCACTGCTGGTGCCGGCGTATGAAGTAATATGCTTCTTTTTGTCCTCCAGAGAATTAAATCGTGCGCATTCATTTTTATTGCATCTGCAACAAGAATAGAAGATTTTGCTTTGGGACTAAGTTCTATAACTCCTATTGCTGAGCGGTGCGAGTTAAAAGTTTGCGACAGGGAGGAAAATCGCCCACGTCGAAACTTTTTTTGCAATTTCCAAACTTTCAAAAGCTTTCGCGAGTTCGCCCACCGCCCACTGTCCATCACCCATTCGTCCCATGTCCATCGCCCAGTCGCCCCCTGTCCATGGTCCAATGTCCATCGCGCAACTTCTATCGCCAAATGTCCAAACTTTGCGCCGGAAAAGAAATTCGCCCACGTCGGCAATTTTTTTGCAATTTTCAAACCTTCGAAAGCTTTTGCGAGCATTCGCCCATCGCCCAACGCCCAGCCGCCCGATGTCCATCACCCATTCGCCCAAGGTCCATCGCACAACGTACGTCCGTCGCGCAATGTCCTGCGCCCAACGTCCATCGCCCAATGTCCATCGCCCAATCCCGACGAGTTTTTTTTTCCGTTTGCAATATTTTCAAGAAGAAACATTTTGCAACTCCCAACAAAATTTTTGCTCCGTATTCACAGGCTCTTTGCCGTTTCCAAAGCTCCCAAACAAAAGCAAACTTTCTCCAACCCGAAATATTTCGCAACGCAAAATATTTCGCGCGTGAAAATATTTCGCCATCCAAAATATTTCGCCACTCGATATGTTTTGCAACTCAAAATATTTCGCGCCTTGAAATACCTTGCGCCGAGAAATATTTTGCAACCGCCGCAAATATTTTCAGCGGAAAACATCCAGCGGGAAACGGCCAACGGGAAACGGCCAACGGGAAACGGCCAACGGGAAACGGCCAAC